TTTTCTTTAATTGTGTAGGGGCGACTTTTTTTTCAGTACATGAACCATGTTTTTTCCACACACTCGATTGAAGGCACAGGATTATAATTTGCATTCATGCCAAAACTAACCTGCCAAATTATTATCAAAGTGCTTAATTGGAGATCATACTGGTAGTGGTACTAAACACCCCGTGAAATCGTTCCATCTGGCTTGCTGTCATTTAGAAGAAATCAAGAAATGTAGCTGATTTCAAACGATCAGTCAATTGACTGATTAATAAAAAAAATCGGGTTCCATGATTAAGAGGGTGTGCATGGTTTTCACCGTTTTATAGAGAAAAAAAAAAGGAGAATATCCACTGAGCTGAAACTACAACAGGTTAGTTTTTGAACATTCTTTTCGGATTTTGAGTGGTTTCAGCATTGGAAACGAACAAAATGCATGAAAAGCAAATGATCCTATGCCTTTAAAGATATACATGTACACGTAGTCCATCATTTCTAATTTGTGCATTTTGTTCGTTTGAAGCAACTAAAGTGCTCAAAATCTAAAGAAGGGTACTGAACAACTAACCTGATGAAGTTTCAGCGAGAAAAACAGCATTCTAGGATCTCAATTTCAAATCAAAAGTGGCTGAATCATGTTTTGAATTGGGCCTGAATTCAGCGTCTCAGACACGTTCTCACTGAGCCGATTGCAGCTACGCGATGTTGCGCACTGATCTGACGAATTATAGCAACCGTGCATGCGTGTGATTCCTGCCAATGCTTGCGCGCTTCGCCAAAAATAACAAAACGAACTACAAATTTAAATTTCCGTACGGTGCGTCTTAAGAAGCACCATTGGAAAGGCCTTCTTTCGTTGATTACTTCAAAATGACACCTGGCCAGAAAGAATAATTTCACAGGGAGTTTAGTCCCCTTACTATCTTTCAACCAAGTATGTTTTTCGACAATGAGTACGCCAGTTACTTTTCGGATAGCTGCAAATGATGGACTATAGCTTTAAAGCTGGCTACTGGCATGACTGGGGTCAATGTTTCCTTCCATTCAAACAGTTGTCCTAATTGTTCACACCCTAATCTTTTACACTCACTCCCACAAATAAAACACTCATCAGTTGCCCTTGTACACAGGTACATGGGAGCCAGTGCATTCCCAATGCCCGACCTGCCGTGACCTCGGGGGCTTTGTTTACAAAAATGCCAGAGAATTATTCACAATGTTTACCTTTGTGCTCTGCTACCAGAGACAAAATACCAAGGGTTGTATGCAGCAACAAGATGGCTCTTATAATCTACGTGTACATGGTATTTTTGGCCATGTCCAAAAAATGAGAAATGTCTACATGTATTGCCCATGAGTATGACTTTGGCTATTTAGGCCATCACCCTCGGTCAAAAATGTTGGCCACCGGTATCAAATGAGGGGAATAATCGTTATAGCGATTTTTGGCAAGGTATACACCTCCAGAGTTTGAAAATATGTGATAGCATTGCAGCGGTGGCAGCTTTTTGGGTGTTATCACCTTTTGTTTCAAAATGTCCATCAAAATGTTTGTTACCACTCTAGGCAGTATAGGCCTACCTTGCGCATGCGTACTATAATAATTTACGCCGTGATTTGATACTGACCAAACCCCAAGGCTGATGGACTAATTCTATGAAGCACATCAATGATAAAATCAAAGCCGTATACACAAAATACCTCGTTTAGATACGGCTAAACTGTTCCACAGAAAACCAGTATGCTGTTGAACTTATGTCTTTGTCAGCTACTGATACTCGCACAAAATATTGAAAAAAGTTGTGGAGGGGATTAAATTCTATATTTTCTGAACAAAGTTACACTGTAGCTGACATTCTTAATTTTCTTACTCATTTTGAAGGGTGAGGAGTTTTGCTAAATTTCTTTTCAAAAAAAAGTCAGATATAATGAGTTTCGTATGTACATGTACAATGTAGGTCAGGGTTATAAAATGTAAAAGTATGCATATGAAAAAACTCTAAACACGTAATTGAGAAAACAGAAAGTGTGCTTGACCCTTTAAATGAGTTTGTGCATCGGTGCATTGATGCAAATCCCGGTGAGAACAGACACACACAGTGTTTCTGTAGTGGGTACAGGCAAAAATGCATGACCACAGACTGTGAAATCATAGTGAAACTTACAAACCAGGCCAGAATGCATGCACAATACACAAAAAATATGGGTGTGTAAGTTTGGACCTCAAATTGGCATTCAATTGAGAATTGTACATGTACATGTAGTTCATGTCCATAATTTGTCAATATGGCGTAATGGCGTGCCACAGTAATTGCAGAGTAAATCCTTGGCCTGTTTTGTGGAGCACTGTCAATTGCAGTAGACTTGCAGCAAGTCTATTATAATCTAATCCCTTTGGTGATTGGATTATGGTCAGTAAATAGCCAATTATCTTCTGTTAAAAAAAAATTGATTATTTATTTGTGACAATCCTACAATCTACTGTATTTCATCACAAGAAAAATCACTTTAATTTTCTTCAATGTCGTCTGAAAATGTCAAACAAAGTATGAATTCTTATTTCCACAGAGCTGGGCTAAACATTTTGGAGCTGTAAATTTTGTCTGAAAGAGAAAAACTGTGTAAACAATTTACTCACACTGTTCTGGGTCTACTCTGTTGAATACACGGAATTTAGGATTTGACTCGAAAACTAAATTCTAATTCAAATTGGCAATTCCATCATTAAATTCCACCCACGTTCCACTCAAATCAAATTGCTTTAATGTACAGGCACATGTACATGTACATGTACAATGTACATGTACATGTAGGTGTAACAAAAGAATATTGTTAGAATGTTGAATCTAGGAAACAATAGTCAATGCACTTTAGCAGCTTACAACTTTTGCCACAGGAATACAAAGAAACAACATTCTTCAAAGCAGAGCAGCTTTTTGACTTTTCTGTAAATCTAAACCAATTTTTGCCAAAAAAAACAACAATCTCTTTCCGAGGTCAAATTTTAATAATTCATTCCCATACCCACTGACATGTAAACAGGATATTATTCTGCTCTTAGCCCGAGTTCATAATGGTCCCAAAAAAGCTTACACTAATAAAGCCTGGATTCATGAATAAGACTCATGTCCCAGGGCACTGACCACAACCACTGATACAGACAATAAGTGGCTTGTGCCATGCAGACAACTGGCCTTACTGTGTACACAGTAAGCCTATTTTGTCAGAGAATGCATAACATGTTAATGGTCAAATATTGACATGAATTTCTCCCCGCCCACCAAAAAGGCAGATGAATCACTAAGAACTGTGATTAAAATTATTCAATATGGTTGACATAATGTGCAAACCACCTGCACTATGTAATCAGGTAATTTTGACTGAACTCTAACGGTGAATACAGCCTATTCACCTCCACAAAAACAGATGGCTGGTTAAATTAAGGATAGATATTGTACTGGCACTGGGATTGTATTTCAACATATCGCCCTGGCCCTAGGTGAAGTGGAAATTATTTCTATACAATCTTTGTCCAATTTGGCATGGTTTTTAATTTATTGGCTACTTGAAAACATTGTAATTTTCGATTTCATGGGCGACAATGTTATTAAAGAGGTTGTGGAATGCTCAAAGATATTTCCGTCATTTTTCAGGTATATGTAGCCTAAGGTATGATGAAATAAAAATGCCTATTGGGTCTGTCATGAAATGAGTACAAAAGGTACTTTTGAGAGCAGTTTTTCAGGTCCTATTTCAACCCGAACGTGCAATTTGTGTAAAAGTCGTCGTTGGGGGCAGCAAACAAAACATAGTAAATCGTGACGTTATAAACAGGACTCGTTTATACTACGCTGCATCGGGAGTCCTGTTTATTACGTCACGATTTACTATGTTTTGTTTGTTGCACGTTGCAACTTTACTTCCATAAAATTAAGCACAATATCTGTCTTTCCTACAATTTTTCTGCCAATATGGTGTATAATTGTGCACATACGCTCGAGTATCTCAAGTGCCGTACTTTAAACACACAGGTTGCTGCAGCAATGGTACGTGCACACATACATGTACACGCCAGTAGGTGTATGTACTTTCCCCCTTGGTGCAGCACACGGGTGCTCGTTTGACACAGATTTCACTCCAGGTCTGGCAATCATTGACAGTTGCATTGTGTGAGATAATGGTCCATGTGTAATTATTCACATGCAAACGAGTACACATGCATAAATAGCTCATATTTTGAGCTATTTTGTGAACATCCAATCCTGCGTTCTCTACATGTATGCAAACACTGCATGATGAAAGAACAAAATACAAGTAGGGCCTACATGTACATCCAATTTTGCCTCAATCCCGAATTGAGAATGGATTTTTGTGGAACACAATGAAAACCACAATAGTTTGATGAGCATCGTTTTACTTGAAACGTTTACGTAACCGTCTCTCCTTTCAAAAGGCCTGCCATAATTTTTTTTTTACACATAAGATTTAATGAAGTTAATATAATGAAGTGTTAAAGGAAGTAAACAAAATCTGAAAACATCAACTGATCAAGAAATGAACTAAATCTTGAAGTAATACAAACTTACCCTTCCCGCTGCTTTCTTGTATCTCTGGACAGACTTCTCCATCAATTCTGCAACAGTGAGGTCCCCACTTCCACACGGGACCACCACTTTGATGGCTCCGAAACACACTGTCACCTTCATGTCCGCGTACGTAGTTTGCTGACGTCAAAATTCCAAATCAACAAATAAAATTCATCAATTCTTTTTCTCTTTGCTTCATCAACTCTTCATAATATTTATGCCTCTGCTGTCAACACATTGTTTTAGGAATGTAGACAAGCGCAGGAATCCTTAAAACTGTTCCACAATTTGGAAGGCTAATTAATTCATTTGATGGTGGGCAGTCCCAGGCGCGGCGTGTTTCATCGGTGAGTCACTACCCGGTTGTTGGGCGCTGTTGCACGGCCGTCCCTCCACGAACAATCACGGTGCTGATGCGTGGTCAAACTTTTTTTTACTGGACCGCCAAAGTCAACCGTTCATTTCGTGGATTAGCTCAGTTAATCTACAAGAAAAGTGCACATAACAACAAAAAATATAAGCTTCAATAATCATGGATGTAAGGTGATATATTTATAATGTCAAAGTCTTGACAGTTTGTGGTGATTAAAATGAAAAACACGGTGATATTTTTGAGAGAATCGTTCACCAATGATAATTGTACTTGTAGTAAATCGTTCAACAACAAAAAATCACACAGATGGTCCCGAACAACTCACCAACTTTTCAAATGAAATACTTCAGATAATGTATCCATTTCTTTCTCACGTCGTTACCTTGATCCTACTTATGACGAACATGCAACAATAGGTAACCTTTTCGGTCGAAAAGGGGGAAATTTGGGTGGGATTTTGAGCCGTTTTGACTCAAAACATCACCACATCCGACATTCGTTGCGGTTATTAGTGGTTCATACCATTATTAATGTGGGGGAGTGCCAGGTTGCAGCTGTCGTAAGTAAGGGGACTTGGCAAAAGCGAAAAAAAAACGAGCTGTGTTTATATTTTTATTAAAAATAATAGCTGATGAATGGGATGTTAATGTAAATACTGTTAATAAAAAAATATCTGGGAAATTTTACAAAATGCCGAGAATAGATTTTCATTTTTACCTCCACTCGTGGGGAAATTTTACCTGCACCCATGGGGAAAATGGAAATCTATCGCAACTGGAAATTCAACAGAGGGCGCTTTATGCCTTTAAGCAAGACTCGTTACATTGTTCCTTCAGTGCTTTGGAAGAACTACCTGCATCTAATGCATGGCTAGCTTTGTAGTCTTGTAAATAAACCAAGTTTCACACAAGCACAACACACTTTTATGGTGTGATGAATGATAACTAGCAGACGACCTACAATTTTCATAATTCCGCCAAAACCATGTTTATTAGATCGTAGTTCATCTGAAGTTTGGTCCGATCCCCGGCCCCCATGCATGCATTGTGCGACTCTCCATCTCCCGAAAATTTCATAAAATAACTTCCTTTTTTCACTCAGTCTTGGTTATAGGCGAGGAATACAGGGAATATGCCAATTATGTCAAAGATTTCGTTCTTGATTTAATTAAAGTGGCTACAGAAACAATAATCCCACGCCTTTATTGACCAGTTCAACAGAGCAGCAAAATAATGTACTCCGAAAAGTGGTGCGATCAGTAGAATACAAAGAGACCGATTCCTTCAAGAAAATAGAGGATTTGGTACCATTTCACCCCACCCCTTTTTTTGTCTGGAGGACAAGAAAGATCATAGTCTATCATGCAGCCCCTGGAGAGGGCTCATCCTGCACCGCCGCGGCCGGCTACATATCGGCACTGCTCAGACTGAGTGTATACACTGAGTAATATAATGCAAAACAACCGTTTTCGTCCTTTTGCACTTCGAACCAATCAGAAGGAACAGATCCACAATTAAGTTGGAGACAATTGGAGCGGTGTCTATTAAGTTGATATAGAGTTTTGTGAGATTTAACATAATGACATGTAAAGGAAGCTGTAGAGAGGATAATCAAGCAAAATCAGGGAGGGCTGCAACCTCGCCAGCCCCCCCCCCCCCCCCCCCCCCCCCCCCCCCGGATCCGCCAATTAATCATTAGAATTCCGGCTGGTGGGCCAAGACGAGCACGGCTTCCTTTAAAGGGAATATACATCATTTGCTTTTGCTGTAATTTTCAGAAATGGATGGAATTGGGGGGTTGGAAATATAAAGCAAATATAGTTACACTGACTTTTTGGAGGTTTTGGGTTCGAAAATGCTATAAAAACCAAGAAAAACGATCATTTTCCTGTAGTCTGGTTCCCTGACTCCATAAAAGAAGAAACAGAGCAGTTTACATACATTAGGGAATTGTAAGGTCAGGGAACCAGTCTAGCTGGCTCGTACCCGTTCATAGGTTTGTAATCGATTGCAAACAAGTGCAATGGTCAATTGGGGCCAGTATTTGAAAAAAAGCCAGTTGTTTCCAACGCTGATCGGCCGATCAGCGTTGGAAATTGATACAAAAATACCACTTTTCTTGAAAATGACAGTATACCAGGTGCCATAATTTTACAGGATGCTTTAGACTGTCATTTACCAACATCCTATTAAGGTATTTTGCAAAAACTTGGTAGTTTTATTTTTCGATGTTTGCAAATGTTGTATATTCCCTTTAAAAGGTTTGAAAACACCGTATCATCTGACCTTCATTTTGGGGGTCCAAAAAAATAATTGGTTTGCAAGGTGTCCGGGATGGCGAGGCTTTGGTCACCGGGCCCGGAGCGTAAATGACGGGGGTGGGCTGCGCAATCATTTACGCTACGTTCCAACAGTCCAATTATGTCAGCATGGTAACCTGGTTGGGCGCGCATTGCTGATTATCGTCGTATGGTGTCTTGAAGTCTTCTACAGCATGGTTACCCATGTGCCCTAATCCGTCATTGGCTTTTTTGTCCGTCAAGACCAATCCCTAGTCCGCAAAGCACCTTTTGCGGAAACATCGCACTAACGTTTAACGATGATCCTTTCACTCAAAACAAAAAAGGGTTTATGAATTAAACACAATCTTGCCATTACTTTGTTAAGGTATTTATAAGCTAAACATCACGTGTCCATTTCCTAAACATCATATGCTTTGAAAGAAGAAAAACTTCCAACAGGAAACGTTTCCATAAACCTGTATTCAAATTAAAAGCCATGTAAAAAAAAAAAAATCACACTGATTTCTTGCACAAGACATAAGCTGACAGTTGTGGAGTAAAACATCCTGTTAATCTTGTACCATCTCGCACCCATCACGAAAATCAAGATATTATATACAACCTTAATGGTTTATCTACCAAGACGGTGTGTTAATCTCGCTGTTTACGTCTAACAGCTTTTATAAACACCTGAAACTAATTAACCGAAACAAACGATCGCTCGTTAACTCGTTTTCAGCGAGTCGTTATCGTCAAGTCTTATCCTCGCTCCGCTGGCTTCGTTAATTAACACACTGAACAGGTGTGTGTAACAGAGGCAAGTAACAGGTTGTTAGTTGGAACCCGTCCCATAAGAGTGGTAAGAACAACTTGTGCTTGTTGAATCACAATCGCGCATAATGGTCATTGATTGGTCAGTAAGACTTCGTTGGTCCCCAGCCGCCCTATCCAAAGAAGCCTCAGAGCTCATTATAAATTGCAGAGTTACCACCACCTTTGGAGAGGCACTGGGGACGAGAGAAGGCTGTGCTTAAACTTTATTGGTTCAATTCAAACACCACTCACGAAAAGAGTATGTGAAAGACTTGGGATTGGGAAAACAAGAAACTTGCGTCCAAAATCACGGGCGTTGACTTTTGTAATCCACCATTAGTGGAAGATGTGTGATGGAATGCGCGAGCGAGAATGTCACCACAGATCAAGGATCTGGAGTGTGCCCCTAGGTTCAAGTTTTAAATGGCTGAAAGTTATGCCTAAAATCCTATAACAATGCTACTACTAGCTAGTACTTTGAAAGAAGGAAAAAGATTAGAAATACATCCTGCAGGTGAAGGTTTTAGGTTGTCTACACTACAGTTACCATTTTGATAACCTCAAGCCTCGGGTGGGACAACACACTGGGTCATATTGAGGGGCACTTCTACCAAATGTACCATTTGCTGATTCGCTTATTTAGGTAAGACGTTTCTGTGTGCCTTTTAAGTTCAAGGCAAACTTACACGAGAGAGCTATCATCGGGTCATCATCAGCCTCATAGCTCACGGGGTAATGAGGTTTACAGACGGTCATGACGGTTGGGGGATCAGGCCCGACCTGGTCGGTGCCACGCCGTAAGCGAGCCCAGACATAGGGAGGACACCCGGATGGGTTGTGGTACTGTTTTGAAAAGGTGGTTTGGGTTGGAAACTTGCCGAGTCCATGCACTTCCACTTATATCCCCTTGAGATATGGAATTTAGCATGTGAGTTTCCTTTTTGCGAACTTGAAAACGTAAACAAAAACTCGGTAAAATTTAAAAACCTTAACGTGATATCACGTCTCGATTCTTCTCACAATACCCCCAAATTCAATTTGTAATAGATTATTAGGCAGTTAGACTAACATGACTAACAGACTATTCTATTTGAAAAACTTCACAAACTGTATTTATAAATAAGGATTTAGCAAGGATTTAGCAACGTCCGCTACAAAGGGATATACACTTGGAAGAGTTGTGCTGGGCCTTAAACCTCGCGTCTTCCTCGGTCTTTGGCCCCGTATCCGGCTTTACTGAGAAGCCTTATCAATCTCGAGCCATCTGTTCCTTGCCCTATGCTCAAACTTATTATCAATTTCTTGAAGCATAAATGACCCTGTTTCTAAATTCATGAAAATATTCAGAGACTGAAACCAAACTCGGAGTTTAGGAACTGGAGAAATTCTTCCCAAGAGTTTGAAGCTCTTCAAGTTCGATGAATCAACACATCGGCATTATTGTTAAGGCATGTTAGGGGCCGGCCAAATGTGCAACCATCATAGAGCAAGGAAACAGATGGTTAAGTTGCATCTCATATCGGGCAAGATTAGACGTAGACAGGACGGGAAGAAAAGGGATTTATTAATATTAGTTTTGTCAACTGGTCAAAGGGAGTTAACTTCCCTTCCAAAATTTCACAAAGCGAGTACATGTATACGTTGCTAAACATGTTTTCAATCTGAGTGTAGCAAAAAAATCTGAATTCGCCGATATCCGATTGCGTCCACTTTGCAGATGGAGCAATCCCAACCCCCAAAACTGGACAGCTCTCGACTTTTAGAAATTTCGTTATCTAATTTACTTGGTCATGTTGGTAGCAAATTATATTCTAGATACTGGCATGACTGGATCTGCTGGAACTAGAAGGCTTACCTTTGTAATAATGACATTCATAAAAGCTCGCTCCTCGTATCCTCGGCAAACAAAAACTCAAAAAAATCGCGAGTTAAACCTCCGGACAATTATTATCCTTGACTAGTGTCTTGCAAATCGACACGGTGTATACGCCTCCGATCCAGGCGTGACGAACCACAGCAAAGAGTCTCCAAACCTATTGGTCCTTGGCACCTCCTTACCGCAGACTTCTACATCTGGTTAAATTAATGCAAAATCGTGGGGGAGTTGTTGAATGGTCCCTGCGGAGACTTTGGTGACCACTTTCTCAATCACCGACCAGTGAGAGCCAGCTATTGGTCGAAGTACTTGCTGACGTCAACTGATTATGCGCGAGAACTGCCAGTGGGTACCCGTCACTGGTCAGTACGTTTGTGATGTCATACATTGTAATTGGTTATTCATAAGCTTGCAAATAATCATCCCTTTCTGGCTCATTTTGCAAAGAGCTACATTAAATATTCATTAAGGCGTTAATTCAAGGGTAATGTGAATTTCACAGGCTGTTTGGCATTACATCAAAGTTTTTCAACGTGGTGCCGATAGAGTTATATTTGGTGGTGCCGTACAGCGCCCTCTATTGGTTCGACATCCTGGAACTTGCAGTGTTTATGGGCACGCAGGCTCAATAAAAAGCCATATTCTGTCTCGATAACATCAAATCCTGGAATATGGGACCAAACCTTAGAGTTATAATTAAATTCCAAAATGTCCTGAAGTTCCCTGAATAACGTCATTACTCAGTGTGGCGTAGTGGTTATAGGGTTAGCGACTCATCGGATCAGAGGTCAGTGGTCCGGCTGTAGACCATATTAGTATTGTTGTGTCCTTGGGCAAGACACTTCACCCCCATTTGTCTCTGCGATGGACTATATAGCCTAGGCATCCCATCCCTGGGAAATAGAATTATTTTCAGTCGCTTCATGTCAAGAAAACCGGAGATAAACGCTGGTGTGATGGGCCATTCATATTGGCTCATGACAGACTTTATGCGCCTATCAAATGTTTCCCTTAAATTTTGCCCGAGGGGTGGGGATTTTGTCACTACAAAAGTGACAATCCCCACGTCTTGAGTGGGGCAGCCTGGGAGGGGAGGGATGGGGGAAACAATTCGTCGCAGAGCTGACAAACCGACGAATAAGCGAAAACCTTGTTTGGAGTAATTCGCGTTTGAAGTTGGACACTTCTCCGGGCGCCGTATTTTACCCTTAATGTTTCGATAAAAAAACTGTTAGTATATATTCTGAATAAAATATGAAACTAAGTATCCAACAGGTCACTTATTTAATCGGAGAAGTTGTGCGATATGATTTTATTTGATCGTAAACGCATTCGTCAGTTTGTCAAATTACATTAATCTGCAATATCCGGTTGTTCTTCACACTGTTTGTATGCTATTCGTCAGTTTGTCGGATCGCGCGTGCAGGCACGCGCAATCCGACAAACTGACGAATAACATTCGTTGGTACTTTGAACGCACACCTTACATAAGCTGGTTACCAGCGAAATGTTTGTTTGCTATTCGTCAGTTTGTCGGATCGCGCGTGCACGCACACGCAATCCGACAAACTGACGAATAACATTCGTTGGTACTTGGAACGCACACCTTACATAAGCTGGTTACCAGCGAAATTTCGTATTCGTCACTATGTCAAATTATGGATTTGTTTTTGTGAGTGATTCGCCACAAGGGGGGCTCTGAATCTCAAAATCCAGACAAAAATTAAGAATGTTGGCATAAATACTTGAAAGAGCAACCTTCATAAAGCCTAAAAATAACAAAAAATCGAAATCGCCAAAATGGTCGATTCGCCGGTTTGTCAGCTCTGCGACGAATTGATAGGCGCATTACTGACTTTGTATTTCAAATCTTGATTCGTTGTTTCAGGCCCTTGGTCTTTGCGTTGACTCCAACACATTATCCCCCCCCCCCCCATGATAAACCATCCCACCAATCACCCTTTGGAAAATCCCCCCCCCCCTTCCCCTCCCAACCTCGTGGCCACTGGCCACACGCCTGCACAACAAAGCATTGGCGAAAGAGGAACGTATGCTTTTCTTCTTCCGTGTTCAGACTATTTCAAAGGAATTTAGTAGACATTCTGAATCTGATCGTGGAGAATACAATAGATCATCTGACATGCATGAACGATTGGCACAGGCAGGTCGCGATGATTTAGGTCACAAACAAAATGGCCCCATGCTTTGAAGACGCAGGGAGCAGGCGGAGTTCCCCAGCTAACACTTCATCTGCTGTGTACATTTCACAGATGTACACTAAAAGGTTTTGAGTTATTAGAGCAGTTTACAGAAGACAACATGCGTTCGTCGACACGATCTCCTTATTTTCCGCGACATACCCGATGGGATAGGGCGACCGGGGAGCCAGGAGTCTTTTCACCGGGGCTCCGGCTGCATGGAACCCGGCCCACACCCGCTCCCACAACACGCAGGCAGTCCGTGTCCTCGGTGCTTTCAGAGGTATTGTGTTGAGATTTACACATATTTTACTGACAAAAGATACCAGAATCTACTTTGGATCAGTGGTGGTGCTTGTTGTATGTTGATATGTACTATTCCGACTATTGAATCGTCCAAACCACAGTTTAGTGAATTGGGACGGTCCGAACTAAAGGATATGTGAACTGTGACGTCATGCCTACAAGAAACCGCGGGGCATCCCAACAATTTTAAGGAATCTTTTGCATGTTATTTTGCCCACATTAAAGAGTATATGTCAACATTAATTATGAACCATTCATATTTCCAAATGAAATGCATGCAAAGCAGAAGAGAAATGTGCGTTGGAAGCTGGCATCACGTGACCACACCATAAACAATTTCACATCGTCGATAGTTGAGAAGATCCCGACTTATTGTTGCGAAGTTATCTATATAAGTCTATTAACTGCGTATTTCTCCATTTTAATTAAATTCTGTATTTTTATCCACAGATTTGTCACAATCTACTAGCGAAAAAGCTTTTCAAGCCAAGGAATATTGTTTACTTGGTGATAAGTTGTGCTACTTTCGTCATGTTGGCCACTGGTGAGAATAAGTTATGTCAAATTATTATATAATTATTAAATAATCCTAAAACTACTTCCGTAGTGAATATGACCTTACGCCATATTGGGGGTACAAAAAGGACGTGAATCTCGGGTTACTTACATCTACTGAAGTTTGCAATTTACAAAGTTCACACGGCAGAAGATAATTGTTCAATAATTTATGTCGATATTTTGTTTCCTAGCAAGTCTGAGCAAACGGCCACTCACGCCAATCCACCTGCAACCATTGGATATCGAGCTTTCCAAAATGTCCCATAGTACACCACGTGACATCTATCCAACCCCGCCATTGGCTGATGGGTGCAACCAATCAGTATCGGAAAGTTCGACAGAGTTCACGGCGAACGGCACGCGCAACTCCAACTCCTCCTCCAGCAAGTCATTGGTCGAGCAAACCTCAGCTTCATCCAATCACAAGGCAGTGACGACAGGCGCAGAGCCGCGTCGAATCGTCCTACTGGTCACCAACCAAGGCTTCTTGGACTTCACCGACAACTTGCTGCGGAGTATCGAGAAATCCGGCTGCCATCCCAACATCACCATAGTGGCCGAGGACCAGGCGTCATTCCAGAATCTTTCCTCCCGTCAAGACGGGGGGCCACTCGTCATCAAGCCGCCCGATTTCAACAGCAGACCTCAGGAACAAGATGCGCTGGATTTCGGAGTGGTGGACTACGTAAAATTTATAAATCGTCGTCCGAAATACGTACTAGATTTCATTCAGCGGGGTTTTGAGGTGTTCTTCGTGGACAGCGACGCCTACTGGTTCAAGGACCCGAGCCCTTACTTCCAGGGTGACTTCGACGTCGCTTACGCGAAAGACTCACCCCATGATTTCAACGCTGGTGTTGGGTACTACAAACCTACGCCAAACACCGTGAAGTTCCTCGAGTTTTGGATTCAACAAATGACAGCTCAGGCCAAATCGAAGAAGCCGAAAGCAGACCAGGACGTCATGAAAATGATCATACGCTCTAAACACATACGTAATCTACGGGTGAAGGGACTGAACCAAGAGAGTTTTCCTTGCGCAAAACATTTCTCAAAGACGAACGAATGCGACAATTACACCTCTGAATCGGCCGTCTTTCATGCAGCCTATTTGCCAGGACATGACAAGAAAAAGGCGATGTTTCAGCAGTGCAATCTCTGGCTCTTATAAAAAAAATTAAAAAAATTGTAGGGCCCCCCCCCCCTAGAAAAAATTAAAAATAAAACCAAAAATCTATTTTTAGGCACTCTGGGTGTTCCTTTCGAGTACATGTAATCTTTAAACTTTATTATTTTAGTGCTAATCCGATGGGAATTTTAGAATAAAGTGCGCCCTCTGCAATTGATAGGGTTAAATTAAAGATATATTATTTTTTTAGATTAGGGAAAATTAAAAAAGTGGGCAAGAGGTTGGGTAGTTTACCTTTTATTAATACTGGTGTGAGGACGATGATGAAATTGAATTTTTTTTAACGAACTCGAGTTTTTATTTCAAGAGTGTTTATTCGTTTTTAATTGAAGGCAAGCGTCGCATCGGTACACATTAATTTTAAATGCAAATGAAGTTTAAACATTTTCCTTTGTGATATGTGTTGTTAATTGATTCTCTATTAAATTGAATGAACATTTATTTTCTTTCGACAATTTTGATGCGAGCCTGCGCACAACAGCCAATCGGAGCCGTCCATAATGAATTATACGAAGCAAAGACTGTTGATTTTCTACGGGAAGAAATAGAACCATAGGCCTATAGGCGCTTTTTGATTTTTGTTCAGCAAAATCACTTCATAATCCCTTGAACTGAATTAATAATCGTTTGAAAATAATTATCTTGTGTACTGAACTTACAGACGATATGAACAAAAGTAGGTATGGAATCGGGAGATGCAAGGGGGGGGGGTCGGCCTTAGCGCATCAAACCCGGTCCCCACAGATAATTATGTTGATGTTTAAATAATGGACTTTGTTTTAACGCCTGGGGCGATGTGTGGACTACACAATTATACGGACAGTTTCATATTTCCCCAACAATTTTCCTTTTGCACGCGTAGATCATAACTTCCTTGATTCGACCACCCCCCCCCCCCCCACCGACATGTGTTAGCGCCCTCTCGTGAACTATTGTTGTCTAGTCAACAGTAAACAATGTCAAGATGGCGTCGTCCAGTAGTGGTGGTCGAACGTCCAAAGAGTTGAAAATGATGATATCTGCGAGTAATCAGGTAGGTTATGAATGGTTATAAAACAGGGAAAATTGTAGCTTATCTGTCCAGTTATCATTTGTTGCTTAAAATCATAAATAATAATCAAAATCAAGTAACTTAGAATGAGTTTAATTGAAGGATGGACCGTTGCAAAAAGGTTGCAAAAATTGCAGTTGAATTTGCCATGTTTGCAGTGATATAGGCTAGGCCTAGCTTAGCCCCACTACTGTAGCCGCGGTATGCTGCGCTGAACCTCTGGCCACACACCGTGGTACTGCGCACTACTGAGGACGAAGTTTTCATAAATTTTACAGGCAGTTTCTTACCTATGGTTGTATTCTATGATGTCCCATCTATCACTTCTGGGATGCTTAGGTCTAATGATGTTCCATTTTCCGAGATATTCTTCAATCTTTCTGGAGCCCATAAGCACTCGTGAAACGTCTGGTGGTGGCAGCCATTTTGAATGTGACAAGAGATGACCTCAAGCTGTGACGTCGCGTTTATGCAAATTGCTTGTCGAGCGCGCGAGGGCGCGAGTTGCAAATGCGACGGCTGTTTCCTGTGTCGTAGATCCTGAATAGAGATCGGTGCACGTGGCCCCCTGACGATAAATGCATGGTACAGGAAACAGCCGTCGCATTTAGAAACTCGCGCCCTCGCGCGCTCGACAAGCAATTTGCATACACGCGACGTCACAGCTTGAGGTCATCTCTTGTCACATTCAAAATGGCTGCCACCACCAGACGTTTCACGAGTGCATATGGGCTCCAGAAAGATTGAAGAATATCTCGGAAAATGGAACATCATTAGACCTAAGCATCCCAGAAGTGATAGGTGAGACATCATAGAATACAACCATAAGAAAGTAAGAAACTGAGAATGTAAGAAACTGCCCTGAATTTTATGAAAACTTCGTCCTCAGTAGCGCGCGGTACCACGGTGTGTGGCCAGAGGTTCAGCGCAGCATACCGACGGCCATGCTTGCAGTGATATAGGCTGATAGGCTATGTACTTGTTGTATGATTTATTTTTAGTGTTGCACTTTGACAAAAGTTTGAGACAGTTTGCACAATAAATTGGGAGTTTGTGCAGCATACACTGTCCCTTATACAGGGGAATATGTATCTTCACTGCATGTTTCCAGTTGAGTGTCTAATATTATATTTGGAAAAACACAGGATGTTGATGAGATGCAAGGGAACCTGGACAAACTGAAGAAGCTGACCAAAGATGACAAAACTGAGGCAGCCATGCTGCGGGCCCGCATCGACGAACAGTCCCAGCTCATCTGCATACTCAAGCAACGAGCCGACGAATCTCTGGCTCGGTCGCAGACCCTGGAACGCGTCAACCGCGACCTGGAAATGTTCCGCGACAACGCTCAGGAGATTATCGAAACCGAGGTCAAGAAGTCGGGTCTGCTGGAGCGACGGTTCAACGAGCTGGCCGAGAATCACGAAGAGATGATACGCATCAAGGACGACTACAAGCACAAGAATGAGGAACTGAGAGCGGAGAACTCACGTCTCCGGGACGAGAACTCGCGTTTGTTCTCAGCGGCGCTCGTTGAGAAAGACGGGAAGATTGACTCATTGCAGAAACAGGTGACGAGTCTTAAGGAACAGTGCAAGGAACTCAACCAGTTCGTCAGGTACTGACTTTTCGTTGAACCAAATTGCTTGAATCAGTTGCCTAGGCTGTGACTCATGTTGCGTTTGTTATGTATTGACATCTTACTACATAAAGTTCAAGTCCTGGGCACAATTGAGGGGAGTTTGTGTTCACCAGAGAAAAAAAGATAATCAACAAACGTGGGCCAGGATTTCATTTTGGTAAAGATTAAGACTTTGGGAAATTAGGAATTTTGGAGAACTTGTGTTCTTGAGCAAGGCATTTTACTACAATTTTTTGTGGTGAAATACACCAATGGCGAGAATGTGGGCCAAGATGTTAGATGTTAGGTAGTGGCAGTTTGGTGACTGTTAATGCAATGAGTTCTGATCCTGGATTTGACCTGGCAACCTGTGTTCCTCAGCAAGCCATTTTACCACAATTTTTTACAAGAAAAGAACGACTGTAATGAATATGGCCCCAATGAGTGTTTATATCAAATGTCTTACTATCACAAAATGTTCCTTTGATACTCATTTTAGCCGACTGCAGACTGAATATCACGAAAAGAGCCAGGCGATGGAGGGAAGAATCAAACATCTAGAGAAACAACTAAATGACACACACAAGAAACTGAAAGGTAGGTCTACGTTTTCCATGAACTTGAGCAGTACTTGCTGAACTTGCTGAGGTTTTTCCACATTTCATTTCGCAGTGACACTGAAAATTAGATTAAAATGGCCATTTGAACTTAAATGCCGGCCAAGATGATTTCATTTTGTTGAAGGCACCTCAACTGCAGCAGTGGCTTGGCTGCACATATCAGCTACAGCAGGAAGGGTCGAGGGACTGGCTTAGGGAATATAATCCAAAGTCCAGTATTTAAAGATATAGTCCATCATTTGTAACTTGTACATTTTGTTCGTTTGAAGCAACAAACGTACAAAAAATCTGAAGAAGGGTGCTGAACAACTAACCTGATGAAGTCTCAGCTCAGCTTCAGCTGTATATTCCGAGAAAAACAGCATTCTAGGATCCGATTTCATATCAAAAGTTGCTGAATCATGTTTTGAATTGGGCCTGAATTCAGCGTCCGAGACACGTTCTCACTGAGCCGATTGCAGCTACGCGATGTCGCGCACCGATTTAATGAATTATAGCAACCGCGCGCGTGTGTGCGTAGTGCCAATGCTTGCACGTGCTTCACCGAATAAAAAAAACGAACTACAGGTACTAACTGAAATTTCCTACGGTGCGTCTTAAGATGCACCGTTGGAAAGGCCTTCTTTCGTTGATTTCTTCAAAATGACAGCTTACCAGAAAGAACAATTTCACAGGGAGTTTTGTCCACTTACTTTCTTTCAACCAAGTATGTTTTTCAACAATAATTACGCCAGTTACTTTTGGATAGCTGCAAATGATGGACTATAGCTTTAACTAAGACCATTTTTATCACCATCCTTATGTAACAGGTGCTCAGTCCCAGCTCCAGCAGCAGTCCGACAATCTCAAGAACTCTGACGCCAACCACTCCCTCAAGCTGGAGAAACTGGCAAAGGAGAAAGACGAAATGCTGGAGCTGGCCATGCACCGGGGCAAACTCATACAGGTAGGGGTTCTGCTTGGTCTGTAGAGGGCAGTGTTTGTTTCAGGTTGTATTTGAATGGTCAGTAGAGGGTGCTGTTTATTTTCAGTTTTGCAAGGAAAAAGTCAGTAGAGGACGCTTGTTATTTTCAGATTGGCTAAGACTAGTCACTAGAGGGCGCAGTTTATCATTGGTTGGCTAAGACTGTTCAATAGAGGTCACTGACTCACTGTTTATTTTCGGGTTGGCTGAGACTGGTTACTAGAGGGCGCTGCTTATTCTCAGATTGGCTGAGATCTGTCAGTAGAGGGCGCTGTATATTTTCAGGTTTGATATAACGGGGCACTAAGATTTCCATAATTCAGGACTAAGATGGGTATTTTCTGTCATGGTACAGGACAAGCAGCGAGAAATCAAAGATCTGCAAAGTAAGGTTGCCGAGGCCGAGAGAGAAGTCAGCAGAATGGAGGACAAATTTGAGTAAGTTCTTGAAAATCTGCTATCGAAAGGCCATTCCCTTTTTTTATTCCTCCATAATAGAAGGCAAAGAAGTTGGACAACAAAAATTGAACTGAACATTTTTTACTTTATATAAAAGTTACTCTAACACAGAAACCAAAAAACAAGCGAGAGTCAGTCAGTTAAGAAGATAGAACACAGACGACAGTAAGCCAGCCTTCTTGGTCCAGCAAAGATGGTAGCCCATAACCGTGAAACTTTCAGCAAAATTTAAACCACTCGCTAAATCTCTTTGTCCATTTTCTTGAAGGCGCGAAGCAGCGATGGTCTCAACCAACCTGCAAGTGATCAGGTTGAAAGGCGAGAAAGACGAAGCCCAACACACGCTCAAGCAAATCAACATGGTAATACTAAAGTCCTCGTTGTTTAGTCTCAGGCTCAGTCTCATATCACTTGATCATACCCTTCCAATTTTTCACCTTCCAAAATGTCTTTTCAGACCTTCCAAAATGTCTTTTCAGACTAGGGCCGTTAGAGGTATGAAATCATGCCTGACTTTTTTAGCGCTCTTCCCTCATTCACTCCGGGTCGGTTAGATCCTTGACTTTTTCCCATAATGCACTGCCCTCTTTAATAACCTCTTGGGAGTATTGTTGATGTTGTGAATAATTCCCATTTATTTCCTAGCGAATCTTGTAAATACTAATACATGTAGTTGCTTTCCATCGTAGTGACAAATTTAAACTACTAAAAATCAACGACCATCACCTTTAATTAATTCACAGACAATAAGATGGACAAATTTCTCTCTTTTTTGTTTGCAGGAATACGAAGCTTACAAGAAACACAGTAGCAGCCTCCTTGCCAAAGAGCGATCGCTCAACGCACAACTCAGGAACCTGGTCTCCTAGCAACGCAACTGATGCAGTCCTTGGTCACCAAGGTAACATAGTATAAACCCTTGCCTTGAAGGAAGAGGATGCTCTTCATTCCCTGAACCTCTTCAGAAGCGAGGCAAATTCATTTCGCAGCTGTGAAGCTTCTTAAAATCTTAAAACAAGTTGCGTTGTCCGCAAGCTCACTTTCAGTTCTAAAATAATGACACAATTTGCCCCACTCATGCACAGGCCTGTTCTAATGTGTTACACAGCTTTTGTGTCACACTACTGGCCTATGCTATCTTCCGCCCCATTCAATGTATTAAAAGCATTTTTTCAAAAAGCAAGCTGCAGATTTTTTTTCTTAATATACCCACAGAAAATATTTATTCATATATCACTTACATCAGATTTGATGTGTTTGCCCAATATTTGAATAAATTTCTTTAAAATCAAATTGTTTCTTTAATTTGTACAAGCATTGTAATTTAATACAAGCTAAGCCTTGTTGGTACATGCATCCATACATTTTGAAATTACGGTCAGACGACCAACATTTTTACGTCAATTTACTTTCTTCTTTTTTACAAAATACAAATGTGCTCATTCAAATTTTGTACTGTATTTTTAACATTTTAGACATTTGTAGTGTCCGCAATTTTACTCTCTACAGCTATCCATTGCTCTGTAAATAACCTTGAAGGCCAAACAAAATAATTTATGCAATAGGCTTAAGAGTGAATTGGTCAGTCTTTTGGCGCTCCCGGCCTGATGTGTCTCCCGCTGTCAATGGTGAGGAGCTCCCCCGTGATCATTGCCGCGTCATGTGATGCCAGGAAGCCAATGGCTGCAGCTGCCTCCTTGTCTTTGCTGTGTTTGCCCAGGGGGTGCTCCCCCTTGCCGCTTTGCTTCACCTAATATCAAATCAATTGCAGATGAAAGTAAACTGAAATTTACAATAGATTGCTGTCTTCAACCGAAAACCAGTACCTTTTTTATTATTTTTGGTAAATAAAAGGGTATTTCGATGGGAAAATGTATTCACAAAAGGGTTTCACGATGGCTTTGTTGACAGTTACGTTCTTTTATAACAAAAAAGTAGACGTTTATGTCAAATACTGTGGGTTTTTGGTCACAATGTTTTTCCTGAGTTCTGTTTCTTTGGCCAAAAAAAAAAAGTATGCCTTATGTCATGCAAAACTATTTCAAAACAGAAAAAAAAAAAAAAATTTAAAAAAAATTGCGCTTTCCATCGTATCAACAATCTCAAAGCGCTTTACAATTATTCCCCAGTTCCTAAGGCCATGAGACCACACGGCATCCGATATCAGCGCATATTCGGTCCTCGACCCTGACAGGTACCCATTTATACTCCTGGGTGGAGTGAGGCAATTGTAGTAAAGTGTCTTGCCCAAGGGCACAAACACCATGTTCCTAGCAGGGTTCGAACCCACGCACCATCGTACATGAGTCAAACAACGTAACCACTGGACCATGGCATTCTACAATATTGCTGTTATTCTTTGTTACCCGAACGACTTCCAGAACTTCGCTGTATATGAAATAATCCAACTTACTTTAGATGGTCCGTGGCCATTCATAAATGTCCCTAAATCCACAATTGCACCAGGGCTAAAACAAAGAGAAAAGTACAATAGGTTTTACTCTCCCTACTTAATGAATATTTATTCCATGTTTTATGTACAGAACGTATTATACAGAACGTCCTAGTTTTCCAACCTTTTTGTACAGCAATATTTATTAGTCAAGTGATTATCAGTTTTTATACAAATGAATTTTGAAATAATTCTTGTACAATTACCTGTATATTTTTGAAAAAGACAAATGTATTTAGAAAGAAAATAAAAGCAGTACTTACTTGACGGAATTTACGCGGACTCCCTTAGGAGCGAGATCTGAAATTGACAAAACCATCGTTTGATTTTATTGTGTTTATTGTTTACTTTGGGATATTAATTTTATTGTTTTTGCACTTTCTGTCCTGTTTTTTTTTTTTTTTTACTCTTTTTCTGTTTGCCTCTTTCCCTTTTTTTCGTATAGTCTTTTCTCTGTTTTGTTCAGTTTGCCTCCCTTGTAGGGACGAAATTCTCCTCTTTCATTTGTTTAGTTTTCAAAGCTTTACCAACTTCTATTTTTCTCTGATTTTTCTAATTTTTGAAGAACTATTAGTCAGCAACTTACCAACAGAAATGCTTCGCATAAATTGGTCTAGCGCCAGTTTTGCCATGCTGTAGACTATCTTATCCGTGCTCTGCAATAAGAAACAGGTACAACACTAGCAGATTTTATGTTTACTGGTAATAGCATTCTGTCTGTGTCGCCAGATTGGGTTTTCGAATGCAATGGAACTCCAGTCTTGAACAAAGACTACTTCACTTCGAGAGGGTAAAATATCCAACACACAATAAAAAATCTTTAGACTCGATCTGAAGTTTTTGCTACAATGGGCTTGATAATGGTAATTATTGTTTGTGCTAATTCCAACTTACCGATGTGAAACTTGGAACATTGTAGTTGATAACAATGCAGCCTGCAAAGACATGAGTATGGAAAAGTTAATGTTTTAGTCCCACCGCATGTCAAACAACAAGGGAGATAGTCGTAGTTCTTAACAACTCACTGGAAAATGCTCGACACCTAAATCAGCAGATATCAGTATACATGTATACTAATTAAAAGATGGCTTTCGATTTTGCAAAACACGCATGGTGGTCTGAGTAATATAGGCCTATATGTTACACTGTTAATATGTTAAGGGCACGTGTGGTCTAGCGGTGGAGCACAGGATTCGTGATCGAGAGGTTGTAGGTTCAAGCCCCACCGTGGCCATGCGTGTTGTGCCCTTGAGTAAGGCGCTTTACCTCAATTACTCCTCTCAACCCAGGTGTTAAATGGGTACCGGCATTGTTCAGTGCTGGGAAGGTAACAGACTCGCTGTGGAGGAGGTGTGGCGATTCCCCCTCACAGCAGCATATGAGTCTGGCCCAATCGCTAATGAAAGAGAGATGGGCACTCCGTTCCTGTGAACACAGGTTCGTCCCCTTTACCTTTACCTTTATGTTACACTAAAACACAAATGCATGAGTGCAGTATAATCTTCACTTACTTCATAGATTAAAATTACCTTTTGTGGCAATGAGGTGCGGTGCCGATAGCTTGGTCAGGTAGAACAAGGATCTTACATTTAGTCTCATCGCCTCATCGTACAGTTCGGACGGCGCCTTGTTCTTGTCACCAAGTATGCCGCCCCAGCTGAGATTATGCACCTGGAACAAAAAAAAATCATGAAGCAAAATATGATGTTAATTAAGCAGTAATCCGTAGCTGTGAACCAGTCGCAGCAAAGGTAATTTTCTCGCAAACCCGTGTGGCTGGTAACCAAATTTTACCAAAGTAATCGATATTAATAATTAGCCTAAAAACGTCCCCTTTCAATTGAGGTTTTTTTGTGTTCTTATTAATTTACTCACCAGAATATCTAGTTTGCAGAATTTCTCCACCGTTCTGGCCACAACTTCCTCTATATTTTTGTCCTCTGTCAAGTCACCGGCAAGGAGCAAAATCTATTTCCAAAAGAAAGCTTTATTCATGAGCTAAACGTATTGATGTGGCCCTCCCCCCCCCCCCAAAAAAAAAAAACAACTGTCAGGAGTAAACAAAACAAAAAGGAACACATCTTCACAAAACAGCTGAAGAAGAGAAGTGTATAGACAAAACTCATGTCTGAGAAATGCTTTCAATTGAGAGGATGGGCAAAAATCACTTTTGGGGCACTTTATGATACACAACTTCAAAAAACTTTACCGAACTCGGCAGTGCCCTAATCACCAGACCCTAAACAGCGCCACCAATCGTGCAACTTATGATCTGATTCACCTGTTGTTCTGAAGCACCCAGTCTTTGGCACTGTCGAGCTAACTCCATCAGTTCGTCCTGATCTTTACCGGTCATCGCGAGCAGGCAACCCGCTGATGCTAGCCGTCTGGCCGTGGCCTGCCCAATGCCAGAAGTCGCCCCTGTTTATAGGGACAGATATTAATTTTAAATAATCATCTTTAATAAAGGTAAAATAGGCCTGCTTGCCATCAAACAAAACTACCAGATTATTATGAAATACCTTACTTGACTGTAAGTGAATAAAGTCTCAATCATCCTTTGAAATCCTGGCACCTAGTGTGCTGTCATTTTCAAGAAGAGTGAAAAAAATTATCGACTTCCAACGACGGTCGGTCGACCGGCGTTGGAAGAAACTGACTTTTTAAATACTGCCCCCAATTTACCAAATTCAGTTAGTCCACATTTTGTTCGCAATCGGTTTTACATCCGTAAACGGGTGCAAGCCAGCTAGACTTGTATCCTGACCTTAACATCCCCCAACGTCTATAAATTGCTCCGTTTCGTCTGAAGTAGGGTCTGGGAACCAGACTACATGAACATAATTTTTCTTTGGGTTTTTTCAGCATCCGAACAATATTTGCTATAAAAATACTAACTCCCAAATCCATCCATTTCTGAAAATTGCAGCAAAAAGCAAATATTGTAAGTCCTTTGACCCAATAAAAATACAGAGAAGAAGTGTAACGACGGACGACTTGTGTCAGAGGAGTCTGTCTAGTTGGCCGCACAGCCGCCTCGAGTTGTCTCAACGGTCGAGTTGTCTCAACTGAGTTGATTCGACTCGTCTTGACCTCGGTGGGATTATTGCTTTGGGCAAAGATATCACCAAACAAGTTGCAAACGCCAAACGCTTGAGTTGTATATTGGTTGATATGAATTCATAAATGAACCAAATCAAACTGACTCGCTCATGTATTCCTCCAAAAAAAATCAGGTATACCTTCCGAAGAGCCATATCCTATTAATCATGAGTACTGTCAAAATAATTGTGTTTTCGGTAACTATGAGATGAGAACCATCGCGAGGATTAAATCTTGCTATGCGGTGAACCTGTTGTAGTTTTCGAGCAAAATTAAACTGTCCTCGAAAGATTTTATGTTAATGACCCAAAATACTCTATCTACTATAGACCTAACTTCGTAAAAGTTACCGGACAAAATAGTCTACAAAGTATGCAGATATCAATACGTTTTGGTGATACATTTTTTACCTGTGATGAGCGCTACTTTTCCCTGGAAAGACGTCATTGTGGCTTTTTGTAGAACACAGACAATCGATCAGCGCTGGAAGAGACAAGTCTTTGTGTATACATTTGCTGAACACTGTTTAGTGTGTATCGTTTGCAAGTCTGAATTTCAGCGAAACACATACCAGCAGAATTGACATCGTGGATGAACGCGCACAGTAAGTTACAACGTATTAGCAATCATGCGGACATTTTGAAGCGGGAATTTGATGTAGGTTTCGCATCCACATTGCGCATACTTAATACATAAACATGACATTATGTTAAGAATGAGGGTGGATATTGGTGTCAAGTATAAAATAAGGGATATCGATTAGCTCTAGAATTATGGTCATATTTTCTGCCACAAAGTTTCCATATCGAATTACACACGAAATTAAATTGGATGGTATCATTGTTTTCTCATTTATTTTTACAATGTTGGTGTTGATATACAATATTGGTTGCACATTGAGTCATGCACTTACAATTAGCAAGACGAGTTTTTAGTCATTTTTTTTTATTTTCATCAATTCACCCACTTTTTGCCAGTTCGATTTCTGTTTTGCAGGATTTAAATACAAATAGTTGATTTAAAAAGGGTAGAGAATTGATTAAATAGTGCTTTTTAATGGATAAAAAAAGGGTTGAATAATTAAACCATCACAAATACCCGAATGTTTTAAATCGTGGGAAGTTTTCTTGACTATAAATATTGACAGTCATAAATGAAGAAGTCGTTTTCACACTTCAACTAGAATAAAGAATAATTATGTGGGATAACTCTGCCACAAAACGGATCAAATTTTAAATACAGTGTAGTTTTGTCTGGATTAAAGCCTCACATTGCAAAGTTTTGAGTCACAGTTTAAAATGTTTTAAGAACCATTGATCCCTCCTGACGATACGTTAGTTCTACTGTTCATCCGTGAAGCGGCACTGTTCAGCACTGTCTGACCGTGACACACGGCCGGCCCGGGGCCCGGGTTAGAGTTGGTCAGCCCGGCGAAATTACCGGACTCCAAGAGTTTCTTCAGGTTCCCGTCATCGGCCCGATTGCCGCTCAGGACGTCCCCCATGAAGGTGATGTAGAGCATAGCCAGGCGGAGTGTCTCGATCCTGGACAGCCGTTTCTCGTAGGTGAAGGTCGGGACGTTCTTGCGCAAAACATCAAAGGCCTCGTTCAGGTTGAACATGCGTCTGCGCTCCCGTACGTTAGCCGCTTTGCGTTGCGACGCAGTAGTCACCCGCCGTCGAGTCTTGGACTTGGACGGTGTATGGTTGACTGCACCGCTCGCGGTCACCTTCGTGGGTGCGTGACGGGGGAGATTCTGGCTGTGCACGGTGATGAACTGGATGCCTGGTAAAGTCCCGTGATGAGTAGCAATCATACCGGGATTTTGATAGTTCACTGGAGTTTGGATTAGTGCACCGGGGGATACCGTTTGAAATTCGGAAGTTTGGGAGTTTGGAAGAGCATGGGTTGGAGAACAGTCTGGTTGTCCCCAAGCAAGGTTGTTTACAGTGCTCCCTTGGTGGTTTGGCAGGCTCGAAGCATCGTGGCCGAAAGGATCAGTTGCCAAGTTGTCGATGTCGATCAAACCGTTCAAATCGGTCAGTTGGTGTCCATCACCAACAGCGTCTATATCATCGAAGACACTGGTACTCAGGTCTGTGTAGACAGGAATCTGGTTCGCGTGAGGCGTCTCTGAGTCTTGGAAGGTTGGGGCGAGATGGCCATTGCTGCTGCTGTTGTTATTGTTAGAGTCCATTCTCAAGACGATATCAAGCAAGGCGTCTGGATCTTGCTCCATACTTGCCGCCATCCGACTTATACCCAAAGTGGAACTTGTTCCGATGGTCGGAGGTTCGAATCCCGCTCTAAGCAATCTTCTTTGAAAACTCTTTCGATGAGTGAAGTTACCAAGTCAGTTTCTCTTGTGGGTTTTTTGAGTTTCAAAGCAGCAGCTTGAGAAAACGTTCACGGAAACCCAATGAATCACTTTTGAAGTAATAACTTGAGTTTCAAATGTGTAATCTGTCTATTGCATGTCACAGTGCAGTACAGCCTGTGTGGTAATTACTACACGTACAGGCTCACTTAATTTGCGGTTACTGCTAGATTTTTACATGCGATGATTTCTGTGATGAGTTGCATTGGAGCTTTTATACTTTTATAGAGGTCTAAAACTCGGTCCAAAAATGGAGGAAATTAACCGTCAATTGGTCAGCAGAGTTTCGTCACAGGTCACTGGCGTCGTTGTATTGTCACCTCATTGGTCGATATGAACTCTCGTAACTTTACCCTGATTCAGTTAATTAAATCGCACCGAATCCCACACAAGCGGTTTTTAGCGTGTACACTTTAATTTCGTGAAAACGGGCATCATGACAAAAAAACACAGGATTTTTGTTGCAGAAGGTCGAGCGTGTAATACGCAAAACCAAACAGATCGGCAGCAGATGTCGCGTGCCGCTGTTTGCCGACAGTTTACCGTCAAGCACGGTCGGCCCCTGGACACTCGACTCGGTCTGCGTGATTCTGGAACAATGAGGGTGGGGCATCCTTGAGTCCACCCCCTCCCCCCCCCCCCCCCCCCCCCCCCCCAACCCACCACAACCCCATACTCCTAGTAATCCCCCTGTTTACGCTAGAGGATTTCCTAAGCTAACGGAGCGGTGTTAAATCCTCCAAAATCGCGCGGGCAAACAAGCAGCGCTCGTGACCGGCACGCGTAGCCGCTCTTCTCCGCTTAACACCTCGGCTCAAGGTCGTTGATGTATCAAGTCTTTTCACCCCTCTCCCAAGAATGGCACAAAGATCTTCAAGTGGGACGGCCCTTTATGCCTACATCAAGATCTCGTCTCTGGCTCTCCAGGGTGCCTCTTGAGCTAATATTTTCCGGGTTTCGGGACAATTTTACTTCATGTTTCTATTTCAAAGAGACAAAACATTGAGAGACACTCGAGATTGTGTTGAGAAAACGTGTCTTGATTTTGTCGAGTCTGGGAAAGCTTGTCGCGACACTTGTTTGAAGGACTCTTTAAAATTTTTGTCGTATTGTGTTGTGTTTTGGGTCAAAATCTGAGTCAACGCCCGAGAAAAGGCAACAGGTTGTCTGAGAAAACCGCTTCACCTGGGAGGGAAAAAAATATAGCAAAGTACATAAAAGATGCACCACTCACAAGACCACGTTTCGATTTGGTATACAATTTTGGGGGACCGAAAATCTTTTGTTTTGTTTTGCTCGTTTTGTTTGTCGGGGTGTTGTTTGTTTGTTTGTTTGTTGAGTTGATGGGTTGATTGTGTGTTTGTTGGGTCATTAATTATGGAGTCGTTTCTCAGTAAGTCGGTTATTTTACTGTTAATTTTACTTCTTCTACTCATTTTGAATCCTTGCACATTCGTTTTGAACAAAGTGAAACATGACAACGAACTGTTGAATGTGCACACAGTTCAAGATCGTCCGAATGTCATCATAATGACTGATCTTGAGTGATTAGGTCACGACAGTTTGAGTTACTGCAAATGTCGGACGACAAATTTATCTGTGAATATTTTAGACCTAAAGGGGATTCCAAAAGAGTCGAAAATATGGCGTTTTGACAAACAAAAACTGAAAAGAAAAGGATCAAAATACCTTCAGCAGTCAGACGCTAAATACAATCGACCTACCACTCGCTAGTACAAACATTTCACAAATTAGCTGCAAGTTCGATAGAACAATCAAGTCAAATCCCCCACAAATAGCTACGTATACATTTCCTATTTACAGAATTTAAAAGCTTTTACTTTCCCTGGACGTAAAGTGTTAAGCCCTTCCCTCTGCCCGTGTGCGATGTTTGAACTTGGGCCGGCAAATCGCATTAGATTTGACGCCGTGTTTTCTCAGCTCAGATTCTCCAAAACTTCAAGTGCCTCGGAGGGTACTTAACTTAACCCCACGTGAGCCAATTGGTAAACTTTTCGTTCCAAAAACAGGCGCTCCTAATGCCTGGAGAGTGACTTGAAGTTATAAGAGGTGTTTTGTTTTCGACAATAAAAGGATCCGAACTGGTGAGAAACATCACTTTAGCGTCTTGTATTGGTTTGTTTGGTTTGGGAGACTTCTGTAAACATGAAGCGGGTGCAGATGTTGCTAATAGCTCTTCCGGACAAACAAATATGACAATTGGTGATGGTTTTGTAACTCGGTGTCTATTAAACCCTTTTGGCAAGATGTTACATCCACGCGCGGTGCGTGTGTGCCACCCCCCCCCCCCCCCCCCCCACACACTCCCCACAATGCATGTGAGGTAAAAGCTAATAAACACAGAGTTGATACAATGGAGCAACCTCTTTTAAAGAGGTCTTTGTAGCCGGATCTGAACATTGTATCAACGGTAAGTGGTTGACAATAAAAGAGGGAAAGCATTATACAGAAACCAAAACTTCGTTCATTCGGAATAAAAAACAATCGTGCACCAAACATTTCCAAAAGGGTTCTGAAAAGAAATATGGTCTTCTTGTGAACACTGTAGTAAATAGTTAAGAAAAAATCAGAGATTATTCGATTAAAAAAAACCAACGTTGACTCAAACGTCGTCTCTGCGACCAAAAATCATTGTCTGTATAAGAAAAAAAGAGAAGAAAATGTAGAGAAGCTTGACTTTTTGAGATATAAATCTTCCTAACGCCGCCTCATCGAACGGCCAAATTCCACGAGGGCGGGCTCAGGGGCTGAAACCCCATATCAATTCGTGAGCGCTCCTTTTCAAGCGTCCACACAGGAACTGATTTTTCCGCTATGGGAATTGCCATCAAAAACGGCGCCTCGATTGTTTTTTTTTGTACACCATTGGAAAACGGAGCACCGCTTTGACTTGTTAAAAGAATATAAGACAGACAATTTTATTCTACATCATACTGATATAAAATATTGAATTTATATTAAAAACAAAGCCCGTACTTTTCAGGATATATATTGTTGTTTTAGCAGAATTTAACACGATTCTGTGTGTAAATCGAGGTTTTCAGTAAACCCGCACCGCTTCAACTCGCCGTAAACACAAACAGCGCCACCGTACGGCATTGTTAAAAAAAGTGTTGTTAGGGAAAGTTCTGGTCTAACTAATTATCTAACATGTATTTTGATTGGACATTGTTAAGGCCCGTACATTGAGGATTGAAGAAGATGATCGCCAATCATAACCCTGCTCAAATACGTCGTGGGCATTGCGTTGTACGAACGTACACTACGCTCAAATCTTGTCACGCCGGCCGGCCGCTCACGTCCACACACAGTACACGTTGCGCGTACGCGCATTTGTATTACATTTTGTTACAATCGTGCTATGCGCAAAATCGGGTTGAATCAGGTAAAATAAATAGGAGCGGTTTTGGCCATAAACAAATTGATATGCACCCGTTGCTTGATTAATTTCCCCAAATCTGCCAAAACAATGTGGTTCCCGAAAGGAGACCTTCAGATAACTGAGGATTATATTCTGTTTTTCAAAAGCTGAACGTCTTGATGTGATATATTTAACAAGTCAACCCTTCCCCTCCCCCATCGTCTGAGTTTGGACCCGCCCCTGATATGAACGATAACTTATAAAATCGTGTTACAAATCCGCTAAACATAAACAGTATAGACTCCTTCGTCAATTGCACTGTTAATTAATACAGGATTGTATACCGTAGGCCTTGAATGCAATCATGATGACCAATGACAGACTTTGCAGGTGTTAAACTGACATCAGCGCAATTTTAGAGCTCAATCAACTTCAGAGTGGCAGCATATGTTTATAACGACACATAGGCCTAGTCTCCTAATCAATTTTAATGTACAGTTCGAGTGCTGGAGCGTTAGGTCATTATATTGCTTGTGCACATGGGCTGTGCATTGTCTCTGGAAAAAAAATATAATTGAAAATATAGATTTGAAAATGCTTTGGAATAATCAAGATGATTCATAAATGTCTCCGTTTGCCAATATACTTCAATTTCTTCCGAAAAAAAAACAACATCACTAGGTTTACATGCATGTACTATATTCATGCAGTTCAGTTCTCAACTACTCAGTCGAGTGTCATGCAGATGTTGATGGGCCCAGTATTGATTTTATAGAATCGACTGAAAGACTGAAATTGCCCCTTGTTGGTTTGTTTTGTTCTCCTGTTCAAATGTTTCTTATACATGTCCTCTTTGTGCTTCCGTATTTCCCCTAATTGTTACAAAACACAGAGCGATATTAAATTAAAGTAATTTAATACAGCTCTAAGTAACGAAACCAGTAGCCGCCATTATTCACAACAAGCGATCATAGATCGGGTAGGGCGTAGTGTTGGGGATGAAAATGTGGGGAGTTAAATGTAAATGGGGGATATAGTTGGGGAGACATGCAGTTAAAGAATAGCAATTTCTGTGGTGTGATCTGAGGCAGTTTCTGATCACTAAAACCAATTTGAGCAAAAGATCATCTGTGAAAGTTTTGAGTTTTGAGTAATTGAATCAGCTACATGTATTCTGAGCAATAGAATCATTATTGTAGGCTACAGTATTTTTACTCGGGGAAGAAAAAGTGTGTGTGGGGGGGGGGGGGGAGACCAAACAATGTCCCCCCTCAAAATGTGTGTGTGTGTGTGGGGGGGGGGGTCCCCTGTCCCCCGTCGATTTACGCACATGATAATTATGTACCATGGCAACTGTCGTAAATGTTGCCGTTGGTCTGTTAAATTGGCTTTTTGTGAGGCAGTCGCATTTGGAAAACGTAGTGAGAAGGTTTCTGTAGTACACAGGCGAAGGCTGGTTGTACAGTTTGACAATAAATGATAATGCAATAAAACGTGAAGGTGTCATTTAAAATAAAAATGTTGAGTGTTACCAAAAAATTACAAACGGTCTGAATCATGGAGGAAGGTCATAATATTAAGTTTCAGCATTGGACTCTTCAACAAACGTAAACTTGAACTTCTTACAATTTGCGAGACCGTCTGCGATTCAACTTTTATTCAAGTTGGTTCAACCATCTATATATAAGAGCAAGTTTTACTCGGCCTCCTAGAAATGTTTGCTTCTGAAAGGATCCGAGACCGCGGCGATCCTTCGTTGACCCAAAACAGGCCCCCGAAATTATAACACGACACTGCGGGCAGCGAACTCACAACGCTAAGCCTTGGTGGTGGAAGCATGGAGCTGTAACTCTATCACGTCACATGCTTGCGCTTCAAATAGCGAGCACCGTAGACCCAACCTCGTTTCCAGGGTGTGGAGCAGGCTGCAGTACGCGTTGCCATCGACAGTTTTGCATAGCCCGGAAATACTACGCAGTGTAGACTTTCGATTGGTCAGACCGCGGCAAGGCATACTTAATGTGTAGTCCTTCTGAGTATTCGTTGCACTCGGTGCAGGGGCGGCAAGCGAAGCATATGAAAGAATAGGGACACTTGGTGGCCACGCACCATGGAGAAAAAATATTTTACCAAGGTCACCACATACTAACGTTTGGTGAACGCTTTTGCAGAAGGGCCGAGTAGAACACGTAAACGAAACCCCTATGTTGACCTCGCTGACCTCGCACAGTCTAGACACGCAGAAAAGCCAGCACGGGGGGCGACCAGGCAGTCAACGTGAAAGCGCACACGACGGCAAATTCCTGTGCAAAATTCAGTCACGAAAAATCGACGAAACGGATCGCCGGTCCGTACGGGAAAATTAGGACGACCCGATGCGTCCGACCCGGCGGAAGACACCCTCCGCATTTTTCCACGGACGTGGAGCGATTTTGGCGCCGCGGGAGCCCGCGGTCTCGGATCCTTTCAGGAGCAAACATCGTCTCGGGGGCGAGTAAACTTCTCTCTTATATATATAGATGGTTAATTAAGCATAATGGCTCTAATTAGTCTAACAGTCAACGTTGGAGCATTCCCGAACTCAGTATAAAACTGTCGTGCACAAAAGATTAACCGTTATCAAAAGGTAAGTTATTTTTTCGTTAATTGTGAACCACGAATATCACTTCATAACATCACAGGGCTTTCATGTTGTCTGTTACAACTTCTTAGGATGCATCATAGAGACACTGCTATCTTTTTATAGTTTGACCTTCAAACGGTTGTTCCATATGTGTGCCTACACTAATAATACAGCACACACGGCCTTCGAGCAATCGGTATACAATATGAGCATAATACACTTTGTGCATGTACATGTACAATATGGATCCACAAATAATATTACCGGCATAATTATGTTATGAGAATCGTAATATTAATAGTATGGTTTAGGACCCCGTTACAACTAGAGAACAAAGTTTAAAGGGAAGATACAACATTTGCAAATATCAGAAAACGAAATGATCAAATTATCACAAAATACCTTACTGCATTGTTAGGGAATGACAGTCTAAGCATCCTGTGAAATCGTGGCCCCTAGTATGCTGACATTTTCAAGAAAAACGATGTTTTTCGAACGCTGGTCGGCCGACCAGCGTTGGAAAAAAACTGGTGTTTTTTCTTCAAAAGCTGCTCCTAAATTTTCACTTTTAGTTATTGCTCGTTTTCTTTGCAATTGATTACACACCTGCGAAGGGATACAAGCCTGCTAGACTGATTCTCTGACCTTACAATTCCCCAAAGTCTATAAATTGCTCCGTGTTATCTTAAGTGGGGCCAGGGAACCAGACTACAAGAACATGATTGGTTTTCTTGGTTTTGCCAACATCTACAAGCCCAAAACGTGAAACAAGTTAGTGTAATTATTTGCTATCACCATGGGCGTCGCGAGGGGGGGGGGGCAAGGGGGGGCACTTGCCCCCCCCCCCCCCCCCCCCCTGGAAAAGCAAAAAAAAAAAAAAAAAAAAGGAAGGAAGAAAAAGAAGGAAAAAAAAGAAAGAAAAAGAGGCGCGAAGACAAAGTGGTGTAAATTAAATGAGTTGGGGGGGCAAAATGTCCCTGCCCCCCTCTAAAACTAATATATCGAGAATGTGTTGAGAAATACAAGCATTTTTTGGCAAAAAAAAATTTGCCCCCCTCTAGAAAAAAATCCTGGCGACGCCCATGGCTATCACATGCCAATCCTCCAAATCCATTTTTTCTGAAAATTGCAGCAAAAGCAAATGTTGTACATTCCCTGTAAGAGACTCATGTTTTGGAACATAATACCTAAACATTTGGCGAAGATACCAGCAGGAAAAGTCAATTTATGTGACTGTCTGTGATCATTTAAACAGTTCACTATAAAGATACCATGTTGAATGTCGTCTCATCTAACTTAATTTTGTGGAAAGAGGGCCGGATTTGCGCGAAACAAACATCACTCGGTGTTGTCTGGGGACAGATTATTCACAAACTGTGTGACTCGAACACGACCTCCTTCCTACTAGTGCAGACGTCTTGCCACTCGGCCATCAAGCTTGCCGGGGTCATGCAGCTGGCGATGGCCAATTCGAATCTGATGTATAGCATCGGATACCGCAACCAAACTTATTCTGAATCAAGAGTAGATTGGCGTAAATTGCGAAAACCGAAAGGTTTTTGTCGGCACCTTTTTTATTCTCGATCGCACAGGAGCACTGAGTACCACGTGGTTGTGTAAATTGCATCATTCGTTTGTTTGTTGCTAAGCAGTGTGTGCCACTGTACTTCAACAGAGAGCGCTATACCAAAAATGTGATCATCATGATCACGTGATCAGGCTCCATTCATTTACTGCCCTTTTTGACCCTAAAATGACTACGCATAGGCGGTACGCCATCAAATAAATTGTCTGCGCTACATACCGTGTATTCATCGTAGAGCATACACAGCCCTCAGCCAACAGTAATGTGCATGAATGGACCCACAAAACATTGTGGGTATGCGTGCACTGTACTGCTGCATGTTGCTTGGACCATTAATGACCCAAAGATCTATATCGTGATAGTATGGTGTTCTAAAACGGATAGGCAAAAACGTCGTGGTACAACTTTTCAAACGTCGTGCTTCAACGTTCCAAACGTTGTGCTTCAAGTTCAACTTGTTCGAAAAGTTGAACCACGACATTATTTTGCCTGTCCGTTTTAGAACACCATTATGATAGTCATAATAACAAGCTCGATCGGAAATATCTCACAGAGTTTTAAGGAACAGAACCACTTGCAGCATGAATTTCGCAGCCAGTGGCGACTACCGTGGGGACGGGCGAGCACTCCAGCACGCCGTCATAATGCAGTACATTGATAAGCTGACATTCCGCCCTGGGGACGAGGTCTTTGACGTGGGCTGCGGATCGGGAGAAGAGACAAAAACGATTGCGTCAAAGGTCAAAGGTGTTGTAGGTAAAAACCAAAAAAAATAAGGTCCTGAATTTGATATACTCAAACACATGATTTTATAAGCAAATCGAAACATTTGAACATTCAAACAATTTTGTTTCATAGGTACAAGAAAAATTGATCACATTGTGACTTGATATGCCTAAAAATTGGACTCCATGAAAAACGGACTCATTTGGTTAAATTTTGATTCAACAATGTCCCGTCCGCCATTTTTACTATAGAATTTATACGGGCAATTTAGATGAACATTTTCGAGTTGAAATGTCTCAGACATTAAGAATAAATAAGACTGGAAAGTGGGACTGTGCTTCGTAACTGACTGTAGTTATCACTCAGAACGTGACGGATTCCGTTATTTTTCTTTTACAATAGATTAAAAACTGATGAAAAGTGGGCACCGTGCGTGTCGCTTTCAGACCAGCGGCCAGTTTCATAGAGCTGCTTAAGCACAAAATTTGCTTAAGCACAAAAACGTCTTGCTTAATAAAATCAGGTTACCTGCCAAAACTTCATGCGATTGTTATGCTAAGTAAACAACGGCTAAATACCGGTCACAAGCAATGTACATCACATGGAGTTTTGGCCGGTAATCAAGTTTAACTAAGCAATGTTTTTTTCTTGCTTAAGCAAATTTTCTGCTTAAGCAGCTCTATGAAATCGGGCCCAGGTTTGTGAGGAAACATCACCCCGGGCAACGCGTGACCTCAGCTGCGTAAAAGTGGCGTGTAACCAATTTTACTGAGTTAGAGTCCACAATAGGTACAAGAGACCATATTATACAGGAGTCCTTATTTCTTATGACACTGTCAATATCAACTGTACACAACGGGACACCATGTATTACAGTCCATGTATAAGAGACCGTATTTCACAGGAGTCCACACTCTCGAAACATTATCTGGTATATCGATACTTGATTAACCGCATAATTAATCCTTTGCACATCCGTCCAGGTATCGATTCTTCAGAGGCAATGATAGCGGTTGCCAATCAGAGCAACTCGGCTCCCAACATCGAGTACGTTGTCGAAGACGCCCGGAGTGTCGGAGACAACCCCAAGTGGCGGGGAAAGTTCGACAAGGTCCTGAGCTTTTTCATGCTGCACTGGATCCCGACTGAGGAGCAACCAAGTGCTCTGGGTGGCATCCTGAGCTGTTTGAAGGCAGGAGGGGAGGCACTGTTCCTCATAGACACCAAAGACAAAGGACCGCACGATATGAGCGCGTCCGTCTTGTTCCTGAAGAACCACCCAAAGTGGGGCGTGTACGCCAAGGTATCACATGCGCAGTGAGCACTATACATGAAAGTCGATACTTTTACCCATCACCGTATTCGGATTTCAAATCAATTCAAAAAATGTTTTCATCTCTTACAGGATTATGAGTTACCAGTGTATTTTTGGAAGCGATCGATTCCAGACACAGTCAAACTGTTGAAGACATTCGGATGTACCGTGCTAGAAGGTGAAATCAAAAGTCAGGAATTTGCCGTGTCCGAAGTGCAAGTGAAACGTGGGTATATTTATTTGTTTATTTTTAATTGTAAATAGGCCTACATCGAACAAATTCTAAATTACAGGTAATGATAATCAGGTTGATATAATTGACCGAAACGGGATTTGAACCTGTTTCACCGTGATGGTGACCGTGCCGTAGCTTCTGAGGACTGGGTTTTGCAGTTCCTGCCTGATTCCGTAGGTTCCCCCCCCCCCCCCCAGAATATTGTTCTGGGGTTTTCCTCCCACCTCCAAAAACTGTAATTTCTTCTTATTATTTTCTCTCTACATGTGTCTTCAGACTTGTGAGCTGCAGTGCCTAGGGCGTTTTTGAAAAAATATTTGGCTTTATTTGATACCAGAAATAGTTGATAATAATAAAAATATCTCAACTCAAATTGGTTCAACTTAATATTGCTTCAAAAAAAATACACAAACCCGTTTCTCTTCGTGGTTTGCTTAATTCTTTTTGAGAAAAAGTTGTCCCTTTGTATTGGGTAGGCTCTTCAGCCATATTATGCAGGTTTATGCGTCAGCGACGAGCCACCGACAAACAAAATAAGACATTCACAATTTTGGGAGACCTCCAAAGTAGGGCTTGAAATCGAAAGCTTACTTGGTAGAGAGCGCCGTTCCGTTATCCGGAGGTCGTATAGATAAAATACCTAATTATACTAATTTTGTGCAGAATGAACATTGCCAGATTCCCTCTCTTGTTCATTGATTCGAGTCTTAGGCCAAAAAAATATTCGGTCTCTGGTCAGACCAAAGTTCCGGAATTGACGCGGCCACGCGGCTTTTTTTTCTTTTCTTTTTTTCTTTTTTTTTCTTCTTCAAGCTTGGATTGTACAGACAAGGTGGGTACTATTTTGCTTTTTTGGTGTCCTCATGTACATTGGTGTCCTCCATAATTTGCCTTGGTGCTTTCGATCATTTGCCTTGGTGCAATTTCCCATTCCTTGGTGCTCTTTGGTAAAACAAAATTGAGGAGGTGCGGAAATAGAGGGCGCTGTTGGAGCTACCGCGGAACATTTTGAAAAAAAAAGATCGACGCGCATGATTATAAAACGACGCGCGCGCTGACCAGAGACCGATTTTTTTTTTGGCCTTAAGATCAAAATTTTGGATACTTTGAAATAACACTTATAATCATAAGCCCAAATGCAGATTCGTTTTTACTGTGAAATCACTAAGTGTGTAACATGCGTTTTCAGCGGATAATATTAACGACTATAGTCATGTAATTAATTTTCATAATAATTCAATGTTTTACTGTATGTTCCAATACGGATCCGATTAATTAGCTATACTGGTTTTTGTTCATCTTGTTTGTTCTACCCTCTACATATAGTGCTTTGGAAAACTACTTTAAAGGTTGCAGATCTTGTACCAGCAGAAAAGCAGGACGAGTTCCTTGAAGACATATGGCAGTGGGCGCTGTCACGCAGTGCGGATGAAACCAAGTCACGGTACCTGCATGTGGATGAATCTGTGGTTATACACGTTCGTAAAGAATGAAAAAAGACGTCCGGGTGCTAGACTGGCCGCCATCTTGTTACTATCAGGCAGATATCACGAACGAGATGCAAAGCATATAGGCTGGACTTTGTTTTATTAAAAAGAACGTACTAATATGTCAAATGTACTAATGTTTGCCCTTCCTCTGTATTGAAACTTAGTATTAGATATTTGAATCTATAATTTGTAGGTAGTCCTAAAGTATCGATAGGGAAGATTTGTCATGGGGCATGTGCAGTGGTAATCGGGAGTCTCGGATGACTTGATTAAAAGAATTTAAGACAAAAAAAAAATCAATTTTGTTATGCCTCTGTCTTGAATACTGTATATTTTCATTGGCCTAGAATGATCACGTGTTCAGTTTATAAAAAGTCATGGCACACTCCCAGTGGGACATCACGTACACGTGTACGGTGCGGACGGTGTGAAACGCTTGTTTCGTTGGTACCCACGCTAATTTCACCATGTTTTCACACATGAGTGGGAGCAGCGAACTAGTGACGATCAGATGTTTCGAGCACGCGACATGCATGTGAGTTGGTCAACGTTCGATTGCCATGATTGTTGTGTTTACTGCTGTTTGTTTTCGTGATTTTTACATCAAAGTCCGAAGAATCCAAGGCAGAGGTGTAACAAAACAATTGTTGACTGCTGTGATGTGGGATATAACGTTTTGAACACCCTCGGGGCGCATAGCTTCGTCTCGGGTGCTATGCGCCCATCGGGTGTTCAAAACGTTATATCCCACATTGCAGCAGTCAACAATTGTTAAATGTACCATGCATGCGTATTAGCTGCCTGCATAAGAAAATCATTGGATTGCAGCCTCGATCCCATGAATCAAGCTTTATTTTGATCGCGCAAGGCATGCTGGGAACCAACATGGCGCAGCAAGGTCGTACCCATGGAAACAAGGTAGAGTTGGAACTCCTATTTTAAGCTAATGAATACTAAAATTATATCATTGTAGAACATACGTTGTTTTGTTTAATCATGGCTCTTTATAAACATCTCGTTTAATGATCTATAAACATTAAGTCAATAAAACTTTGCAAATGTGTGACTGATTTTAATATTTAAAAATTGGTTCCTCGTTGCGAATTTTGTCTTTTGTAAATGTCTGGTCTTCTTTGTCCTGTGATTGGTGTTGTTTCCTTTGATGGCTGCTGGTATTGATTTTGATTAATCATTTTCTTTTCTTTTGTGTCTCTTACTGTTACTGTACCTTGATCTTTGTCAATTTCGTGTATACTTCGTTCTTTACGAATTTTGCTTCTTGTTTGTGTGTGGTTTAGTCCTTCTTTGATAGCGTTTGATCGTTGTTTGTTGGTGTTTGTTCTTTGATTGCTGCTTTGTGCTTCAATATTCTTGGTTTGTCTTTCGTTGTTTTTATTGTTGTTTGTCCTTTTAGTTTTAGCTTTGTTTAATTTTGGCTCTTTTGGACGACCATGTCGACAGAAGCCTCGGGTTTAAGATTTATTGTCGCAATTGGCTCTGTGAATTTGAAAACTGTGAATAAACAATACGTGAAGTCCACAAAATGTAATCCAAGCTATGACAGAAGTGTACATCGATTACTTTTATTTAAGTGTGATAAACATATCAGAAAGTCGGACTGAGATTGAGCAAACAAAGGTATTCATCTGGGCATGGAAGAAATTCATTCGCAAAATTATCATAGAATCTCAACAAATACAAGGACAATACTTATTGCCTAAGACAAAACAAATATAAGAAATTTACCTCCTTGCATCCTTTAGTTCTTATTAATCAGAATTATCAGCAAATTTAAGGAGCAAAATGGTGAATTCATCGAAAAGGTTGGCGCGGCCGACCACTGAGTACCACGTGGTTGTATAAATTGCGTTATTCGTTTGTTTGTTGCTAAGCCTTGTACGCCACTATATTTCAACAGAGAGCGCTATACAAAAAAAGTGAGCATCAGGATCACGTGATCAGGATACATTGTCATTTACTGGCCCTTTTGACCCTAAAATGCTATATGCGTAGGCGGTACGCCATCGAATAAATTGTCTGTGCTATAGACCGTGTATTCATCGTAGCTAGAGCGTACGGCCCTCAGCCAACAGTTGTACTGTGCATGAAGAGACCCACAAAACATTGTGGGTAGGCGTGCACTGTACTGCTGCATGTTGCTTGGACAATTTAAGACCCAGAGATCTATATTGTGATAGTATGGTGTTCTAAAACGGATAGGCAAAAACGTCGTGGTTCAACTTTTCAAATGTCGTGCTTCAACGTTCCAAACGTTGTGCCTCAAGTTCAACTTGTTCGAAAAGTTGAACCACGACATGTGCCTGTCCGTTTTAGAACACCATTATGATAGTCATAATAACAAGCTCGATCGGAAATATCTCACAGAGTTTTGGAACAGAACCACTTGCAGCATGAATTTCGCAGCCAGTGGCGACTACCGTGGGGACGGGCGAGCACTCCAGCACGCCATCATAATGCAGCACATTGATAAGCTGACATTCCGCCCTGGGGACGAAGTTTTCGACGTGGGCTGCGGATCGGGAGAGGAGACGAAAGCGATTGCGTCAAAGGTCAAGGGTGTCGTAGGTAAAAAAAAAAATGAAGTCCTGAATTTGATTTACTCAACACCGTGATTTTAAGGCACATCGTTTTATATGCAGATCGAAACATTTGAACAGTCAAACAATTTTGTCTTGTAGAAAACAAGAAATATGGATCACATGGTGGCTTGATATGCCGAAAATTGGACTCCACGAAATACGGACTAATTTTGTTATAGGCCTATCTCGCATGCCTAAGTGAAATCAATTGTGACGTCAATCCGCGGAGTGGTCTCAAATAATGATCCCGTTCGCCATTTTACCATGGGATTGGTATGGGTGATTTAGTCGAACTTTTTCTAGCTGAAATTTATCAGACATTAAGAATAAATAAGACTGGAAAGTAGGACAGTGCTTCGTAACTGACTGTAGCCATCACTCAGAACGTGACGGATTCCGTTATTTTTCTTTTACAATGGATTAAAAACTGATGAAAATTGGGCAGCGTGGGTATCGATACGTGAGTCCAGGTCTGTGTGGAAACATTACCCCTGGTATATTAACGCGTGATCTCGGTGGCGTATGGCGTGTAACCCATTCTTCTGCGTGTTATAGGAAAGTGAGAGTTAGAGTCCATAATATTGGTAAAAGAGACCATTATTTTGCAGGAGTCCTTATTTTTTATGACACTGTCAATATCAACTGTACAAAACGGGACACCATGTATTACAGTGCATGTATAAGAGACCGTATTTCACAGGAGTCCACACTCTCGAAACATTATCTGGTATATCGATACTTGATTGACCGTACAATTAATCCTATGCACATCCGTCCAGGTATCGATTCTTCAGAGGCAATGATAGCGGTTGCCAATCAGAGCAACTCGGCTCCAAACATCGAGTACGTTGTCGAAGACGCCCGGAGTGTCGGAGACAACCCCAAGTGGCGGGGAAAGTTCGACAAGGTCCTGAGCTTTTTCATGCTGCACTGGATCCCGACTGAGGAGCAACCAAGCGCTCTGGGTGGCATCTTGAGCTGTTTGAAGGCAGGAGGGGAGGCACTCATCCTCATAGACACCAAAGACAAAGGACCGCACGATATGAGCGCGTCCGTCTTGTTCCTGAAGAACCACCCAAAGTGGGGCGTGTACGCCAAGGTAGTATGACATGCGCAGTGAGCACTATACATGAAAGTCGATACTTTTACCCATCACCGTATTCGGATTTCAAATAAATTAAAAAATGTTTTAATCTCTTACAGGATTATGAGTTACCAGTGTATATTTGGAAGCGGTCAATACCAGACACAGTCAAACTGTTGAAGACATTCGGATGTACCGTTCTAGAAGGTGAAATCAAAAGTCAGGAATTTGCCCTGTCCGAAGTGCAAGTGAAACGTAGGTATATTTATTTATTTATTTTTAATTGTAAATAGGCCTACATCAGACTAATTCTAAACTACATGTAATGATAATCAGGTTGATATAATTGACTGATACGGAATTTGAACCTGCTTCCACTGCTGTGACTGTGCCCTGGCTTCTGCAGACTGGGTTTTTCGGTTCTTGCCTGATTCCGTAGGTTTTCCCCAGAATTTTCTTCTGGGGTTTTCCTCTCACCTCTAAAACTGTAATTTCTTCTCATTACTTTCTCTCTACGGGTGTCTTCCGACTTGCAAGCCGCAGTGCCTATAGGGCGCTTTTGAGAAATCCTTGGCTTTATTCAAGTACCAGAAATAATTGATAATAATAAAAATATCTCAACTCCAATTGGTTCAACTTAATATTGCTTTAAAAAAATACAGAAATCCGGTTCTGTTCGTGGTTCGTTTAATTCTTTTAAAGCAACAAAAGTTGTCTCTTTGTAAGGGGTAGGCTCTCCAGCTATATTATGCAGGTTTATGCGTCTGACGAGCCTCCGACGAACAAAATAAGACATTCACAATTTTAGGAATCGAAAAACTTGAAATCGAAAGCTTACTTGGTAGAGAGCGCCGTTCCGTTATTCCGGAAGTCGTATAGAAAAAATACCTAATTATACTAATTTTGTGCAGAATGAACATTGCCAGATTCCCTCTTCTGTTCATTGATTCGATTCTCAACATCAATATTTTGAATATTTTGAAAGAACACTTATAATTATAAGCCCAAATGCAGATTCGTTTTTACTGTGAAATCACTATGTGTGTGTGTGTGTGTAACCTGCGTTTTCAGCGGAGTCATGTTATTAATTTTCATAATAAGTCAATATGTTACTGTATGTTCCAATACAGATCCGATAAATTAATTATACTGGGTTTTTTCTTCTTGTTTGTTTCCCCTCTACACAGTAATTTGGAAGACTATTTTAAAGGTTGCGGATCTTGTACCAGCAGAAAAGCAGGACGAGTTCCTTGAAGACATATGGCAGTGGGCGCTGTCACGCAGTGCGGATGACACCAAGTCACGGTACCTGCATGTGGATGAAACTGTGGTTATACACGTTCGTAAAGAATGAAAAAGAAGTCCGGGTGCTAGACTGGCCGCCATCTTGTTACTATCAGGCAGATATCACGAACGAGATGCAAAGCATATAGGCTAGACTTGTTTTTATTAAAAAGAACGGTTATGTCAAATGTACTAATGTTTGCCCCTCTGTTTTGAAACTTAGTATTAGATATTTGAATCTATATTTTGTATATAGGTGGTCCTAAAGTATCGATAGGGAAGATGTGTCATGGGGAATGTGCAGTGGTAATCGGGAGTCTCGGATGACTTGATTAAAAGAATTTAAGAAAAAAAAAATCAATTTTGTTATACCTCTGTCTTGAATACTGTATTTTCATTGGCCTAGAATGATCACGTGTTAAGTTTATAAAAAGTCATGGCACACTCCCTGTGGGACATCACGTACACGGGTACGGTGCGGACGGTGTTAAACGCTTGTATCGTTGGTACCCACGCTACTTTCACCATGTTTTTACACATGAGTGGGAGCAGCGAACTAGCAGACGATCAGTTGTTTCGAGCACGCGACATGCATGTGAGTCAGTGGCGTTCGATTGTCATGATTGTTGTGTTTACTATTGTTTGTTTTCGTGATTTTTACATCAAAATCCAAAGAATCCAAGACAGAGGTATAACAAAACAATTGTTGACTGCTGTGATGTGGGATTTAACGTTTTGAACACCCTCGGGGTGCATATTATAGCTTCGTCCCGGGTGCTATGCGCCCCGCGGGTGTTCAAAACGTTATATCCCACATTGCAGCAGTCAACAGTTGTTAAATGTACCATGCATGCGTATTAGCTGCCTGCATAAGAAAATCATTGGATTGCAGCCTCGATCCCATGAATCAAGCTTTATTTTGATCGCGCAAGGCATGTTGGGAACCAACATGGCGCAGCAAGGTCGTACCCATGGAAACAAGGTAGAGTTGGAACTCCTATTTTAAGCTGATGAATACTAAAATTCAATCCTTGTACAACATACGCTGTTTTGTTTAATCATGGCTCTAAACATCTCGTTAAAATGATCTTAAACATTAAGTCAATAACACTTTGCAAATGTGTGACTGATTTTAATATTTAAAAATTGGTTCCTCGTTGCGAATTGTGTCTTTCGTTACTGTTGTGTCTTCTTTGTCCTGTGATTGGTGTTGTTTCCTTTGATGGCTGCTGGTAATGTCTTTTGATTAATCTTTTTCTTTTCTTTTGTGTCTCTTACTGTTTGTTACTGTACCTCGATCTTTGTTAATTTCGTGTATACTTCGTTCTTTACGAATTTTCCTTCTCGTTTGTGTGTGGTTTAGTCCTTCTTTGATAGCGTTTGATCGTTGTTTGTTGGCGTTTGTTCTTTGATTGCTGCTTTGTCCTTCAATATTCTTGGTTTGTCTTTCGTTGTTTTTATAGTTGTTTGTCCTTTTAGTTTTAACTTTGTTTAATGTTGGCCCTTTTGGACGACCATGTCGACAGAAGCCTCGTGTTTAAGATTTATTGTCGCAAGTAGCTCTGTGAATTTGAAAACTGTGAATAAACAATACGTGTAGTCCACAAAAATGTAATCCAAGATATGACAGAAGTGTACATCGATTTTTGTATTTAAGTATGATAAACATATCAGAAGGTCGGACTGAGTTTGAGCAAGCAAAGGTAATCATCTGGTCATGGAAGAAATTCATTCGCAAAATTATCATAGAATCTCATCAAAATACAAGGACAATACTTATTGCCTAAGACAAAACAAGATATAAGAAAATTACCTCCTTGCATCCTTTAGTTCTTATTAATCAGAATTATCAGCAAATTTAAGGAGCAAAATGGTGAAATCATCAAAAGTGGGCGCAGCCGACCACTGAGTACCACGCGGTTGTATAAATTGCGTTATTCGTTTGTTTGTTGCTAAGCAGTGTACGCCACTATATTTCAACAGAGAGCGCTATACAAAAAATGTGATCATCAGGATCACGTGGTCAGGATACATTTAGATAGTTACTGCCCTTTCGACCCTAAAATGACTACGCGTAGACGGTACACCATCAAATAAATTGTCTGCGCTACACACCGTGTATTCATCGTAGCTAGAACATCACGGCCTTCTGCCAATGGTTGTACTGTGCATGAATAGACCCACAAAACATTGTGGGTATGCGTGCACTGCTGCATGTTGCTTGGACCATTAAGACCCAAAGATCTATATTGTGATAGTAAGGTGTTTTAAAACGGATAGGCAAAAACGTCGTGGTTCAACTTTTCAAACGTCGTGCTTCAACGTTCCAAACGTTGTGCTTCACGTTCAACTTGTTCGAAAAGTTGAACCACGACATTTGCCTGTCCGTTTTAGAACACCATTATGATAGTCATAATAACAAGCTCGATCGGAAATATCTCACAGAGTTTTGGAACAGAACCACTTGCAGCATGAATTTCGCAGCCAGTGGCGACTACCGTGGGGACGGGCGAGCACTCCAGCACGCCATCATAATGCAGCACATTGATAAGCTGACATTCCGCCCTGGGGACGAAGTTTTCGACGTGGGCTGCGGATCGGGAGAGGAGACGAAAACGATAGCGTCAAAGGTCAAAGGTGTCGTAGGTAAAACAAAAAATGAAGTCCTGAATTTGATAAACTCAACACCATGATTTTAAGGCACATCGTTTTATATGCAAATCGAAACATTTGAAAAGTCAAACAATTTTGTTTTGTAGAAAACAAGAAATATGGATCACATGGTGGCTTGATATGCCGAAAATTGGACTCTACGAAATACGGACTAATTTTGTTACTATCTCGCATGCCTATCAGTGAAGTCAATTGTGACGTCAAGCCGCGGAGTGGTCTCAAATAATGATCCCGTTCGCCATTTTACCATGGGATTTGTACGGGCGATATAGTCGAACTTTTTCTAGCTGAAATTTCTCAGACATATAAGAATAAATAAGACTGGAAAGTGGGACTGTGCTTCGTAACTGACTGTAGCCATCACTCAGAACGTGACGGAATCCGTTATTTTTCTTTTACAATGGATTAAAAACTGATGAAAATTGGGCACCGTGGGTATCGATACGTAAGTCCAGGTCTGTGTGGAAACATTACCCCTGGTATATTAACGCGTGATCTCGGTGGCGTATGGCGTATAACCAATTCTACTGCGTGAAATAGGAAAGTGATAGTTAGAGTCCATAATATAGGTAAAAGAGACCATTATTTTGCAGGAGTCCTTATTTTTTATGACACTGTCAATATCAACTGTACGAAACGGGACACCATGTATTACAGTGCATGTATAAGAGACCGTATTTCACAGGAGACCACACTCTCAAAACATTATCTGGTATATCGATACTTGATTGACCGTACAATTAATCCTATGCACATCCGTCCAGGTATCGATTCTTCAGAGGCAATGATAGCGGTTGCCAATCAGAGCAACTCGGCTCCCAACATCGAGTACGTTGTCGAAGACGCCCGGAGTGTCGGAGACAACCCCAAGTGGCGGGGAAAGTTCGACAAGGTCGTGAGCTTTTTCATGCTGCACTGGATCCCGACTGAGGAGCAACCAAGTGCTCTGGGTGGCATCTTGAGCTGTTTGATGGCAGGAGGGGAGGCACTGTTCCTCATAAACACCAAAGACAAAGGACCGCACGATTTGAGCGCGTCTGTCTTGTTCCTGAAGAACCACCCAAAGTGGGGCGTGTACGCCAAGGTATGACATGCGCAGTGAGCACTATACATGAAAGTCGATACTTTTACCCATCACCGTATTCGGGTTTCAAATAAATTCAAAAAAATGTTTTAATCTCTTACAGCATTATGAGTTACCATTGTATATTTGGAAGCGATCGATTCCAGACACAGTCAAACTGTTGAAGACATTCGGATGTACCGTTCTAGAAGGTCAAATCAAACGTCAGGAATTTGCCCTGTCCGAAGTGCAAGTGAAACGTAGGTATATTTATTTATTTATTTTTAATTGTAAATAGGCCTACATCAGCCTAATTCTAAACTACAGGTAATGATAATCAGGTTGATATAATTGACTGATACGGGATTTGAACATGCTTCCACTGCTGTGACTGTGCCCTGGCTTCTGCAGACTTGGTTTTTCGGTTCTTGCCTGATTCCGTAGGTTTTCCCAAAAAAAATCTTCTGGGTTTTTTTTTCTCACCTCTAAAACTGTAATTTCTTCTCATTACTTTCTCTCTACGGGTGTCTTCCGACCTACAAGCCGCAGTGCCTATATGGCTTTTTGAGAAATCCTTGGCTTTATTCAATACCAGAAATAATTGATAATAATAAAAATATCTCAACTCAAATTGGTTCAACTTAACATTGCTTTAAAAAAATACAGAAATCCGTTTCTGTTCGTGGTTTGTTTAATTCTTTTAAAAAAAAAAAGTTGTCCCTTTGTAAGGGGTAGGCTCTCCAGCCATATTATGCAGGTTTATGCGTCTGACGAGCCTCCGACGAACAAAATAAGACATTCACAATGTTGGGAATCGAAAAACTTGAAATCAAAAGCTTAATTGGTAAAGAGCGCCGTTCCGTTATTCCGGAGGTCGTATAGAAAAAATACCTAATCATACTAATTTTGTGCAGAATGAACATTGCCAGATTCCCTCTTCTGTTCATTGATTCGACTCTCAAGATCAAAATTTTGAATATTTTGAAAGAACACTTATAATTATAAGCCCAAATGCAGATTCGTTTTTACTGTGAAATCACTATGTGTGTGTGTGTGTGTAACCTGCGTTTTCAGCGGAGTCATGTTATTAATTTTCATAATAAGTCAATATGTTACTGTATGTTCCAATACAGATCCGATAAATTAATTATACTGGGTTTTTTCTTCTTGTTTTTTTCCCCTCTACACAGTGATTTGGAAGACTATTTTAAAGGTTGCGGATCTTGTACCAGCAGAAAAGCAGGACGAGTTCCTTGAAGACATATGGCAGTGGGCGCTGTCACGCAGTGCGGATGAAACCAAGTCACAGTACCTGAATGTGAATGAAACTGTGGTTATACACGTTCGTAAAGAATGAAAAAGAAGTCCGGGTGCTAGACTGGCCGCCATCTTGTTACTATCAGGCAGATATCACGAACGAGATGCAAAGCATATAGGCTAGACTTGTTTTATTAAAAAGAACGGTTATGTCAAATGTGCTAATGTTTGCCCCTCTGTTTTGAAACTTAGTATTAGATATTTTAATCTATATTTTGAATAGGTAGTTCTAAAGTATCGATAGGGAAGATGTGTCATGGGGCATGTGCATCGGTAATCGGGAGTCTCGGATGACTTGATTAAAAGAATTGAAGACAAACAAAAATCAATTTTGTTATACCTCTGTCTTGAATACTGTATGTTCATTGGCCTAGAATGATCACGTGTTGAGTTTATAAAATGTCATGGCACACTCGCTGTGGGACGTACACGTGTACATGTACAGTACGTACGGTGTGAAACGCTTGTATCGTTGGTACCCACGCAATTTTCACCATGTTTTCACACATGAGTGGGAGCAGCGAACTAGCAGACGATCAGATGTTTCGAGCACGCGACATGCATGTCAGTTGGTCAACGTTCGATTGCCATGATTGTTGTGTTTACTGCTGTTTGTTTTCGTGATTTTAACATCAAAATCCGAAGAATCCAAGGCAGAGGTATAACAAAACGATTGTTGACTGCTGTGATGTGGGATATAACGTTTTGAACACCCTCGGGGCGCATAGCTTCGTCTCGGGTGCTATGCGCCCCGCGGATGTTCAAAACGTTATATCCCACATTGCAGCAGTCAACAATTGTTAAATGTACCATGCATGCGTATTAGCTGCCTGCATAAGAAAAATCATTGGATTGCCGCCTCGATCCCATGAATCAAACTTTATTTTGGTCGCGCAAGGCATGGTGGGAACCAACATGGCGCAGCAAGATCGTACCCATGGAAACGAGGTAGAGTTGGAACTCCTATTTTAAGCTAATGAATACTAAAATTCAATCCTTGTACAACATACGTTGTTTTGTTTAACCATGGCTCTAAACATCTTGTTAAAATGATCTTAAACATTAAGTCAATAACACTTTGCATATGTGTGGCTGATTTTAATATTTAAAGATTGGTTCCTCGTTGCGAATTTTGTCTTTTGTAAATGTTTGGTCTTCTTTGTCCTGTGATTGGTGTTGTTTCCTTTGATGGCTGCTGGTAATGTCTTTTGATTTATCTTTTTCTTTTCTTTTATGTCTCTTACTGTTTGTTACTGTACCTCGATCTTTGTTAATTTCGTGTATACTTCGTTCTGTACGAATTTTCCTTCTCGTTTGTGTGTGGTTTAGTCCTTCTTTGATAGCGTTTGATCGGGTTTTTTTTCGGTGTTTGTTCTTTGATTGCTGCTTTGTCCTACAATATTCTTGGTTTGTCTTTCGTTGTTTTTATTGTTGGTTGTCCTTTTAGTTTTAGCTTTGTTTAATGTTGGCCCTTTTGGACGACCATGTCGACAGAAGCCTCGGGTTTAAGATTTATTGTCGCAATTAGCTCTGTGAATTTGAAAACTGTGAATAAACAATACGTGTAGTCCACAAAAATGTTATCCAAGAAATGACAGAAGTGTACATCGATTACTTGTATTGAAGTGTGATAAACATATCAGAAAGTCGGACTGAGTTTGAGCAAACAAAGGTAATCATCTGGTCATGGAAGAAATTCATTCGCAAAATTATCATAGAATCTCATCAAATACAAGAACATTACTTATTGCCAAAGACAAAACAAATATAAGAAATTTACCTCCTTGCATCCTTTAGTTCTTATTAATCAGAATTATCAGCAAATTTAAGGAGCAAAATGGTGAAATCATCAAAAGGTGGGCGCAGCCGACCACTGAGTACCACGCGGTTGTATAAATTGCGTTATTCGTTTGTTTGTTGCTAAGCAGTGTACGCCACTATATTTCAACAGAGAGCGCTAAACAAAATGTGAGCATCAGGATCACGTGATCAGGATACATTTACTGCCCTTTCGACCCTAAAATGACTACGCGTAGGAGGTACACCATCAAATAAATTGTCTGCGCTACATACCGTGTATTCATCGTAGCTAGAACATACACGGCCCTCTGCCAACAGTTGAACTGTGCATGAATAGACCCACAAAACATTGTGGGTATGCGTGCACTGTACTGCTGCATGTTGCTTGGACAATTTAAGACCCAGAGATCTATATTGTGATAGTATGGTGTTCTAAAACGGATAGGCAAAAACGTCGTGGTTCAACTTTTCAAACGTCGTGCTTCAACGTTCCAAACGTTGTGCCTCAAGTTCAACTTGTTCGAAAAGTTGAACCACGACATGTGCCTGTCCGTTTTAGAACACCATTATGATAGTCATAATAACAAGCTCGATCGGAAATATCCCACAGAGTTTTGGAACAGAACCACTTGCAGCATGAATTTCGCAGCCAGTGGCGACTACCGTGGGGACGGGCGAGCACTCCAGCACGCCATCATAATGCAGCACATTGATAAGCTGACATTCCGCCCTGGGGACGAAGTTTTCGACGTGGGCTGCGGATCGGGAGAGGAGACGAAAGCGATTGCGTCAAAGGTCAAGGGTGTCGTAGGTAAAAAAAAAAAATGAAGTCCTGAATTTGATTTACTCAACACCGTGATTTTAAGGCACATCGTTTTATATGCAGATCGAAACATTTGAACAGTCAAACAATTTTGTCTTGTAGAAAACAAGAAATATGGATCACATGGTGGCTTGATATGCCGAAAATTGGACTCCACGAAATACGGACTAATTTTGTTATAGGCCTATCTCGCATGCCTAAGTGAAATCAATTGTGACGTCAATCCGCGGAGTGGTCTCAAATAATGATCCCGTTCGCCATTTTACCATGGGATTGGTATGGGTGATTTAGTCGAACTTTTTCTAGCTGAAATTTATCAGACATTAAGAATAAATAGACTGGAAAGTAGGACAGTGCTTCGTAACTGACTGTAGCCATCACTCAGAACGTGACGGATTCCGTTATTTTTCTTTTACAATGGATTAAAAACTGATGAAAATTGGGCAGCGTGGGTATCGATACGTGAGTCCAGGTCTGTGTGGAAACATTACCCCTGGTATATTAACGCGTGATCTCGGTGGCGTATGGCGTGTAACCCATTCTTCTGCGTGTTATAGGAAAGTGAGAGTTAGAGTCCATAATATTGGTAAAAGAGACCATTATTTTGCAGGAGTCCTTATTTTTTATGACACTGTCAATATCAACTGTACAAAACGGGACACCATGTATTACAGTGCATGTATAAGAGACCGTATTTCACAGGAGTCCACACTCTCGAAACATTATCTGGTATATCGATACTTGATTGACCGTACAATTAATCCTATGCACATCCGTCCAGGTATCGATTCTTCAGAGGCAATGATAGCGGTTGCCAATCAGAGCAACTCGGCTCCAAACATCGAGTACGTTGTCGAAGACGCCCGGAGTGTCGGAGACAACCCCAAGTGGCGGGGAAAGTTCGACAAGGTCCTGAGCTTTTTCATGCTGCACTGGATCCCGACTGAAGAGCAACCAAGCGCTCTGGGTGGCATCTTGAGCTGTTTGAAGGCAGGAGGGGAGGCACTCATCCTCATAGACACCAAAGACAAAGGACCGCACGATATGAGCGCGTCCGTCTTGTTCCTGAAGAACCACCCAAAGTGGGGCGTGTACGCCAAGGTAGTATGACATGCGCAGTGAGCACTATACATGAAAGTCGATACTTTTACCCATCACCGTATTCGGATTTCAAATAAATTAAAAAATGTTTTAATCTCTTACAGGATTATGAGTTACCAGTGTATATTTGGAAGCGGTCAATACCAGACACAGTCAAACTGTTGAAGACATTCGGATGTACCGTTCTAGAAGGTGAAATCAAAAGTCAGGAATTTGCCCTGTCCGAAGTGCAAGTGAAACGTAGGTATATTTATTTATTTATTTTTAATTGTAAATAGGCCTACATCAGACTAATTCTAAACTACATGTAATGATAATCAGGTTGATATAATTGACTGATACGGAATTTGAACCTGCTTCCACTGCTGTGACTGTGCCCTGGCTTCTGCAGACTGGGTTTTTCGGTTCTTGCCTGATTCCGTAGGTTTTCCCCAGAATTTTCTTCTGGGGTTTTCCTCTCACCTCTAAAACTGTAATTTCTTCTCATTACTTTCTCTCTACGGGTGTCTTCCGACTTGCAAGCCGCAGTGCCTATAGGGCGCTTTTGAGAAATCCTTGGCTTTATTCAAGTACCAGAAATAATTGATAATAATAAAAATATCTCAACTCCAATTGGTTCAACTTAATATTGCTTTAAAAAAATACAGAAATCCGGTTCTGTTCGTGGTTCGTTTAATTCTTTTAAAGCAACAAAAGTTGTCTCTTTGTAAGGGGTAGGCTCTCCAGCCATATTATGCAGGTTTATGCGTCTGACGAGCCTCCGACGAACAAAATAAGACATTCACAATTTTAGGAATCGAAAAACTTGAAATCGAAAGCTTACTTGGTAGAGAGCGCCGTTCCGTTATTCCGGAAGTCGTATAGAAAAAATACCTAATTATACTAATTTTGTGCAGAATGAACATTGCCAGATTCCCTCTTCTGTTCATTGATTCGATTCTCAACATCAATATTTTGAATATTTTGAAAGAACACTTATAATTATAAGCCCAAATGCAGATTCGTTTTTACTGTGAAATCACTATGTGTGTGTGTGTGTAACCTGCGTTTTCAGCGGAGTCATGTTATTAATTTTCATAATAAGTCAATATGTTACTGTATGTTCCAATACAGATCCGATAAATTAATTATACTGGGTTTTTTTCTTCTTGTTTGTTTCCCCTCTACACAGTGATTTGGAAGACTATTTTAAAGGTTGCGGATCTTGTACCAGCAGAAAAGCAGGACGAGTTCCTTGAAGACATATGGCAGTGGGCGCTGTCACGCAGTGCGGATGACACCAAGTCACGGTACCTGCATGTGGATGAAACTGTGGTTATACACGTTCGTAAAGAATGAAAAAGAAGTCCGGGTGCTAGACTGGCCGCCATCTTGTTACTATCGGGCAGATATCACGAACGAGATGCAAAGCATATAGGCTAGACTTGTTTTATTAAAAAGAACGGTTATGTCAAATGTACTAATGTTTGCCCCTCTGTTTTAAAACTTAGTATTAGATATTTGAATCTATATTTTGTATAGGTAGTTCTAAAGTATCGATAGGGAAGATGTGTCATGGGGCATGTGCAGTGGTAATCGGGAGTCTCGGATGACTTGATTAAAAGAATTTAAGACAAAAAAATAAATTTTGTTATACCTCTGTCTTGAATACTGTAGTTTCATTGGCCTAGAATGATCACGTGTTAAGTTTATAAAATGTCATGGCACACTCCCTGTGGGACGTAAACGCGTACAGTACGTACGGTGTGAAACGCTTGTATCGTTGGTACCCACGCAATTTTCACCATGTTTTCACACATGAGTGGGAGCAGCGAACTAGCAGACGATCAGATGTTTCGAGCACGCGACATGCATGTGAGTTGGTCAACGTTCGATTGCCATGATTGTTGTGTTTACTGCTGTTTGTTTTCGTGATTTTTACATCAAAATCGGAAGAATCCAAGGCAGAGGTATAACAAAACAATTGTTGACTGCTGCGATGTGGGATAAAACGTTTTGAACATCCTTGGGGCGCATATCATTCGGGTGCTATGTGCCCCTCGGGTGTTCAAAACGTTATATCCCACATTGCAGCAGTCAACAATTGTTAAATGCACCATTCATGCGTATTAGGTAAATTAGCTGCCTGCATTAGAACAATTATTGGATTGCAGCCTCGACCCCATGAATCAAACTTTATTTTGATCGCGCAAGGCATGGTGGGAACCAACATGGCGCAGCAAGATCGTACCCATGGAAACGAGGTAGAGTTGGAACTCCTATTTTAAGTTAATGAATACTAAAATTCTATCCTTGTAGAACATACATTGTTTTGTTTAATCATGGCTCTTTATAAACATCTCGTTAAATGATCTATAAACATTAAGTCAATAACACTTTGCAAATGTGTGACTGATTTTAATATTTAAAAATTGGTTCCTTGTTGCGAATTGTGTCTTTCGTTACTGTTGTGTCTTCTTTGTCCTGTGATTGGTGTTGTTTCCTTTGATGGCTGCTGGTAATGTGTTTTGATTAATCTTTTTTTTTCTTTTGTGTCTCTTACTGTTTGTTACTGTACCTCGATCTTTGTTAGTTTCGTGTATACTTCGTTCTTTACGAATTTTCCTTCTCGTTTGTGTGTGGTTTAGTCCTTTGATAGTGTTTGATCGTTGTTTGTTGGTGTTTGTTCTTTGATTGCTGCTTTGTCCTTCAATATTCTCGGTTTGTCTTTCGTTGTTTTTATTGTTGGTTGTCCTTTTAGTTTTAGCTTTGTTTAATGTTGGCCCTTTTGGATGACCATGTCGACAGAAGCCTCGGGTTTAAGATGTATTGTCGCAATTAGCTCTGTGAATTTAAAAACTGTGAATAAACAATACGTGTAGTCCACAAAAATGTTATCCAAGAACTGACAGAAGTGTACATCGATTACTTGTATTGAAGTGTGATAAACATATCAGAAAGTCGGACTGAGTTGAGCAAACAAAGGTAATCATCTGGTCATGGAAGAAATTCATTCGCAAAATTATCATAGAATCTCATCAAATACAAGGACAATACTTATTGCCAAAGACAAAACAAATATAAGAAATTTACCTCCTTGCATCCTTTAGTTCTTATTAATCAGAATTATCAGCAAATTTAAGGAGCAAAATGGTGAAATCATCAAAAGGTGGGCGCAGCCGACCACTGATTACCACGCGGTTGTATAAATTGCGTTATTCGTTTGTTTGTTGCTAAGCAGTGTCCGCCACTATATTTCAACAGAGAGCGCTATACAAAAAGTGTGAGCATCAGGATCACGTGATCAGGGTACGGTCATTTACTGCCCTTTTGACCCTAAAATGACTACGCGTAGGCGGTACGCCATCGAATAAATTGTCTGCGCTATAGACCGTGTATTCATCGTAGCTAGAGAGCATACACACGGCTCTCAGCCAACAGTTGTACTGTGTATGAATAGACCCACAAAACATTGTGGGTATGCGTGCACTGTACTGCTGCACGTTGCTTGGACCATTTAAGACCCAGAGATCTATATTGTGATAGTATGGTGTTCTAAAACGGATAGGCAAAAACGTCGTGGTACAACTTTTCAAACGTCGTTCTTCAACGTTCCAAACGTTGTGCTTCACGTTCAACTTGTTCGAAAAGTTGAACCACGACATTTGCCTGTCCGTTTTGGAACACCATTATGATAGTCATAATAACAAGCTCGATCGGAAATATCTCACAGAGTTTTGGAACAGAACCACTTGCAGCATGAATTTCGCAGCCAGTGGCGACTACCGTGGGGACGGGCGAGCACTCCAGCACGCCATCATAATGCAGCACATTGATAAGCTGACATTCCGCCCTGGGGACGAGGTCTTTGACGTGGGCTGCGGATCGGGAGAGGAGACGAAAACGATTGCGTCAAAGGTCAAAGGTGTCGTAGGTAAAAACAAAAAAATGAAGTCCCGATTTTGATATACTGAATACCGTGATTTTAAACTAAACATAGTTTATGAACAAATATATTACCAAAAAAAAGGGAAAATCGTTCATTATTGACTTGTGTGTATAGTGCTGAAATCGATGACATACGGACTCTTGGTTGTATTGCGCATGCTCCTTGGACATATTAAGAAAGTGACAGGTCACGTGTGAGGGTTAGAGTCCATATAAGGTAAAAACCATAGCGCAAAAACAGACCAGATTTCCTAGAAGTCCAAATGTCATATGACACCGTCAATAGCCATTGCACAAAACAATTTCGATAGAAAAATCGTCCGATATCGAAAATCGATACTGATTCACTGCACATTCCTATACACCTTCCAGGTATCGATTCTTCAGAGGCAATGATAGCGGTTGCCAGTCAGAGTAACTCGGCTCCCAACATCGAGTACGTTGTCGAAGACGCCCGGAGTGTCGGAGACAATCCCGAGTGGCGGGGAAAGTTCGACAAGGTCGTGAGCTTTTTCATGCTGCACTGGATCCCGACTGAGGAGCAACCAAGTGCTCTGGGTGGCATCCTGAGCTGTTTGAAGGCAGGAGGGGAGGCACTGTTCCTCACAGACGTCAACGACAAAGGACCGCACATCATAAGCGAGTTCAACGTATTTCTGAAGAACCACTCAAAGTGGCGCGTGTACGCCAAGGTATGACATGCGCAGTGAGCGCATGCGCGCTCCTGTTCGCCCATATCCATGCAGAAAAAATCTGGATAGGCCACTGGCCGCGTTCAAACTTCAAAGAGAAGTCACCGTCCGCCATATTACTACTAGGCTTTACAATGGAATTGTAATCAAGTATATATTTTGCAATTTAAGTGTCATATTTACCTTAGCTTTGTGACTGAATGTATTGATTTATTTTTTATTATAGAAAAAAATAATATCAGAATAGTTCATATCATTTTTTTCAATAACAATTGAATGACATAAGACATGTCTATTTTACGATTGGAGGGGTATATCCTGGTTTCCGTACAACAATCCAACGGAGAGTTTGGTAACCAGCACGTAGCATCAAAAGTTTGGGTATAGCGGAATTGGGCAATCCACTTATCGATATTCTTAGCCATCGCCATATTCGTTTTCAAATAAAATGACTAAAATTACCTAGGAGCTGCTTGCATAATTACCTTACGCAATAATTTGTTGTAAAATCTTCTGCAGGATTACAAGATACCGATGTATCCATGGAATCAATCTATGCCAGACACAGTTAAACTGTTGGAGGAATTTGGATGTACCGCCCTGCAATGTGAAATCAAAAGACAGGAGTTTCCGTTATCAAAACTGCAAGTGAAATGTGGGTTTCTCCATTTTCATTTTTTTTTTTTTAAATACATCATACAAATTTGGTCTTTGTACTACAATGTATAAGTAAGTAATTATTATATTTTACCGCTAACTACTGTTTCTCCATTTCTTTCCTTTTAATTTTGTTTTTCTCTCGCTATAGTGCTTACTAAGACCATGTTCGGTGTTTTCGATCTTGTCCCGGCTGAACAACAAGAGGAATTTCTGGAAGACGTTTGGCAGTGGACGTTATCACACAACGCAGATGAAAGCCAGACAGCGGCTGACTCAGTGTACTTACATGCAGACGAATCTGTGGTTATGCACGTTCTTAAACGATGACAAGACGTTTGGGTGTTACAGACTGGCCACCATCTTGTTACTAAGGCATAATTGTCACGGACGAGATGCAAAACATGTAGACTCTAGGCTCTACATAACACACAGACCAAGCTGCCGACACAGCAAATTAGATAACTTGCTAAAAAGAATGGCGCATGAGTATAAACAATACAGAGAAACAACATTTTTCGTCTTATTTTTTGTATCATACACTCTTATCAGATCAATGTACAGGCCCTCTTGTATATAAGCTCTGGCAGACTTGTTTTCTTAAAAAGATATTTATTTCAATTAAACTCTTAAACATTTTTCCCCAAAACGATTCTCTACAGTTTATCGTAATAAATTTTTCCCAATCTGTGTTAAAAAATTTTTTTTGTAATACTCCGAGGGAACAGGGGCGGGCGGGTGGGTGCAGCTTTGCGGCTCAATGGGAGTTTTTAGGGGGTAGCAAGTGATGCTTTTCTTCTTCATGATTTGGCTCTTTTTGTTGCACTCCAAGGGGGAGGGGGGTAGACCCCCTGCCCCTCCCGTCGGTCCGCCATTGGGGAAGATGTTGCATGCATGGGCAATGGTACGTAGTTGGGAGTCTGGGTAAGGTCGGTGGGTAAGGCGTGGTTTACTCACCAGGGCCACGTGCATGCTAAGTAGGTCTCTAAAGTTGTTTCGGATAAGAGTTTGGCTGAAAACCGAACTCTGGTACAACTAGTGATCACGCATCCAAACGGCACCAGTATCAAGTTTTGATGACCGTCCCTGATAGGCACTTTTAGCCCACAATACACCCAAAAAAAAGGGGGGGGGAAACAAAACCCAGAACCCAGTGTAGTTTGAATCCGCAAGTGTTCTTGAGGTGATTAAAAGTAAACATAAAGAAGGTTGATTCATTCATGTGTTGAGTGTTTGGTTCAATGTTTGTTTTTGGTGTCATCATTTTGACCGTCTGTCGATCACTAGTATCCACTCAGTCTCTACTAGAGGGCGCGGCGCTCACATCTAGAGGGCGCCTACAAGTCATATCTCGAGTAATGTACGCCCCGTGTGTAAATATTATTATTTTTTTAACTGAAGGAAACTATTCTTTGCTGCTTTTTCTGCAATGATCACAGTGCGCATGTTTCAGGAATTAAAAGATGAATTTTCTAGAATTTCCACAAATGTACCACGCATGCGTATTGAGGTAGATGACTGATTAGGAAAAAAAATGCATTCATGAATATTAAAATTCAATCCTTGTACAACATCGACATTGTTTTGTTTAATCATGGCTCGAAACGAAATTGTAAAAAATATCTTAAACATTAAAGTAATAAAACGTTGCATATGTGTGATTTATTTTAATATTTAAAATAATGTATTTTTTCTGAAAAGTTGTTTTTGTATTACATAAATATATACATAAGGCATGAAAGAGGCTCTACACACACTGATCTTGCGAAGTGGAACTGTTTTTGACACCAACGGAAGCTCTTTTTTTGGTACAGATATCAGCAATAAATGCACTAAAAATGCATGCATTGAGTATACAACAGGTAGGTTTTGAAATAAAAGAATCTGAATTGTAAAAGGAATTCCTAATGAGCTCTTTTTTGAATGTCAAACGTTTGCGGAATGAAAATAAAAATACAACTGGACGACTGGCGCAGAGCGTCTATTTCCGACACCGACCTTCTGACTGGTCTTTTTTAAATTTTTGGTAAGGAAATTAGGAAACGGAGAAAGTGGAAGGGCGAACGTAGGTTATTGAGAGGGAAAGAATGCTGCATCCTGATGCCACTTTTCTCATCATTAAATCTCATTGTGAACTTAAGGTCAGTCATTACTCCTAGAACTATGAGGCTCCGCGTGAGCGGAGCCTCATAGATGTAGAAGCCCGCAAAATTGTCTGCAGCACAAAACACTAATAAAGTACAAAAACGTCCATCAAAATGCAGACATTTCACACAGAACCGCTGCACAGTTTGCCCCTATACTCCGTACTTTACCTCTTGACTAGACCCGTGAACGTGGCGTTGTATACAACGCCACGTTCTTGTTTCATTTCGAACCTGGCGAAATCGATCCGACATACATAATTCCGTATGGGTGTTGAGTACTCACCTAGAAATCTAAATTTGCCCGTCCGATTGTTTCGGCTGTGTAATTTCGACGAAATTTGCCCATCAGTAAAGACCCATACGAACGTGTAGAAATTAGATTTTAACCTGACCAGCCTGACAAATACCCACGGACGCGTCTGAGTCGCTTGGACAGATTGACGGCTGTTTCATGTCGCAACCCCGAAAAAAAACCCCCGCAGACGATTGGCTGCTCAGCTCATTTCGTGTACAGTACGCGTGTGCACACACACGCGGGCGCACGTGCGATCCGACCGCGTGCGGTGCGGTGAGAGAGGAAAGGACTTGAAACTTGTCTAAAACGATGTCTGTTTTAGCTGTGACAGTAAACAGCCGTCGAATCATACGAAAATAAAACGCAATGCGCATGCGTCAGTTGGGAGAAAATGGCAGCTAGCACTAGCAGTAGCAGACGGACTTCATGAACCGGGGCCAGAATTTTCCTCAATTTTCGTCAAATGCAAGTTTTTACGTACAAATAGAATTCAAGACAGCTTCATATGTGAGTACTTATTACATGGGCAAAATAACGTCCAGTGTGTGTAACGGAGGGAGTCAGAGGGACACGTTCGCCAGGTTCGAAATGACATAAGAACGTGGCGTAGTTTACAAGCCACGTTCACGGGTCTACCTCTTGACATACTCACGTATCATGCGCGGAACTAGCCCCATAATGTGGCCAGTTTACTGGACTGCCTCCGTAAACATAGGCCACACGTCCACCATCTTGGAATCTGACTCGCCGAAATTTTGAAAGTGATTTCCACATTGCGACTTCAAACCCAGTTCATTTATGCTTTAACCCTAACTCCCTAGGCCTTTTTGTTAGGATGTAGCCTCAATCCTGCAAAATCTTCCAATTGGCCTCATGGAAAAATTGCATATAGCCTCAATCCTGCAAATTCCTCCGTTGTTTCTTGAATATGGTCCATGGAGGGGTGACCACTGCCTGAATCCTGCAAAATCCTCCGGCTATGACTGTCAATAGGCTGAGGCAGAGGCAGTGACATCCTGGAGCAGTGCGGAGGATGTCAAGTATAATCAAGGACTAAATTTATGCATGGCTGAGCATACACAACACAAGGTCCGGCCCAAGACCTTGACACAGTGCGTACTCCGAAATCAGCAACGCACTTTTGCCATGTAACCTCAATCCTGCAAATTCCTCCAATTTGCAAAAAGGATTTTGGAGGATTCAGGGCGGTTAGGGTTAAAAATACACTTACCCTCTTAATAACAAAATTAGAACCTGCTGCCAGTGTCAGTTGCCCAGCTGCTGCGTAATTTACGACATTTTCTGGACCATTCTTGGCAACTTGATCCAACCGTGGAGCTATCTCCATGGTCCAACTGAACAACGCCCTCGCGCAGATCGTTCACCTGTCAATCACGCGTGCAGGACGCACGCCGCAGGCCCAGTGGTAGTCCGGTTCCCAGACCAAAAGATTCTGACTATTCCTGATCCTAGGAATAGTCAGAATCTTTTGGTCTGGGAACCGGACTACCACTGGGCCTGCGGCGTGCGTCCTGCACGCATGATTGACAGGTGAACGATCTGCGCGAGGGCATTGTTCAGTTGGACCATGGAGATAGCTCCACGGTTGGATCAAGTTGCCAAGAATGGTCCAGAAAATGTCGTAAATTACGCAGCAGCTGGGCAACTGACACTGGCAGCAGGTTCTAATTTTGTTATTAAGAGGGTAAGTGTATTTTTAAAGCATAAATGAACTGGGTTTGAAGTCGCAATGTGGAAATCACTTTCAAAATTTCGGCGAGTCAGATTCCAAGATGGTGGACGTGTGGCCTATGTTTACGGAGGCAGTCCAGTAAACTGGCCACATTATGGGGCTAGCGCGGAACTAACATAGGTGGATTCTGTCGGATTTTAGGCCAAAATGATGCAAAATATGCCCTTTCCGCACTGAGCCAACCTGACACTTGAAACGTGCATGCATATGATCGAGCGATGATTTTCGGTTCGCTCGGAGCGCGCCGCGGGGGGTACGGTACAAGCGAAATGATAGTATGTGCATGCGTACAAGTGCATGTACCGTACCCCCCGCGGCGCGCTCCGAGCGAACCGAAAATCATCGCTCGATCATATGCGTGCACGTTTCAAGTGTCAGGTTGGCTCAGTGCGGAAAGGGCATATCTTTCATCATTTTGGCCTAAAAACCGACAGAATCCACCTATGTTAGTTCCGCGCATGATACGTGAGTATGTCAAGAGGTAAAGTACGGAGTATAGGGGCAAACTGTGCAGCGGTTCTGTGTGAAATGTCTGCATTTTGATGGACGTTTTTGTACTTTATTAGTGTTTTGTGCTGCAGACAATTTTGCGGGCTTCTGATCACGCGGATTATGATAGTTCTAGGAGTAGTCAGTCATTGCAAAAATGTTGAAAAGACATGAATCTGGACTGGAGATTCTGGGTGGGAGTTGGGACTGAGTGAGAAACATTTCCAATTTTGTTAGGAAACTGCACTTGACTCTCCATAGATTTGTACACAACCAAAGACATGGCGTCATACTACGTTCTTTCCGTTGACCGTCTGGTTCCCTGACCTGCATGACCTGACATTATTATCCTATTCAACATCACAATCTTTGCATCTTGCATGTCTTGGAACCAGACTATCAACAGAACGGAATCTTGGACTTTGTTTCTTTTTAAAGGAAATCCTCCAAACTGCCCAAACTAAGCCACAGATCAGTAAGACAAAAATGAAATCTAGACATATTTCAGTAAAAACGTAGGATTTGATTAGTCCGAGTAACTTGGACCCAACTTATTGCCTTTTTTAACGGCTCATTCGAGTGAAAAATGGCCTTATCCAATGCCTGCTACCAAAGCGCTCGGGTTGGAAGGGCAGTTATAAATGTGAATAGATTCATAAAGGTGTTTTTGCAATACACTTTTAATTTTATACAGTAATGAAAGCAGTTGAAATTTGAAAATCTCGTTGCGGCTGCCGTAACATTCCCAATACTCAATAGCCACTAAATTGTTTTTATTAGGGCCTTTGTATTTGAATGAGGCTGTCTACTGACAGTACATGTTTACCATTACTCTTGGGCCTAATTTTCTTCATTTCTACCACTGACTTCACATGATTTCATTGACTTCACATGCTTTCATTGACTTCACATTTTCATTGACTTTCTCCATATTTTTGCTTTTGCAGAGACTCACTTCATCCAATATTCCGCCAGCCAACCAGTCGACCGTGGCAGCCCTTGCCCAGGTTGAGAGAGAGAAGATCTTTCAATGGATCATCGAGCTCGCCGGGCCAGAGACCAGAGAAAATGCCCTGCTTGAACTGAGGTAACACCTTAGGCCAAAAAAAAAAAAAAATTCTGCTTCCGGTTTTGGAAAGAATGTTGCAACCTGACGCTACTTCAGTGGGTGTGTAAAAAGTCTATGGAATGTCAAGAAAATTTTCTTAGTACATTTCCTAACAAAATTGGAAATATTTCTCAGTCCCAGATTCATGGCTTATCATCATTTTTGCAACTACTGATTCTTTCTCCGGTTTCCCTACCTACCCTTATTCTGACAGTCCCTACCCTAATTTTTTTGGCGGAAAAATGAGGGGAAAAAACAGCCCAAACCATACATTACTACCTTTTACCATTAACTACATGCAGACGCCTCTATACACAATCATACTCATCGCCTCATCATAATACAATAAATTGGCTACCTACCTACCCTATTTTCAAATGCCATATAATTGAAAGTACAATGTAGAACTATTTTTTTTGGCCTAAGGTAGTGGCTTTTTGGCCGGCGCTGGCTTTCTTTTAGAAAACGTTATTTTCATGGCGGCTAAAGCACCCCCCCTTCCACTTTTTGACGGTGCACCGACCTTTAATTTTCAAAGTTGGAGAACACTGCACGTATATGTATTATTATTTTTCTCATTACCAGCAAAAAGCGAGAGACTGTGCAAGACTTAGCTCCCATGCTGTGGAACTCCTTTGGAACAGTGGCAGCTCTGCTGCAAGAAATCGTCAACATTTATCCATACATCAACCCTCCAGCTCTAACAGTAAGTTTCCCTGCGGAGGTTATCCTGAAGGAGTCAATCACAACTCATCCAGTCACAAGTGTGAACTGTGACAAAATTGTGACAGGACTTATGATTTGCTTGTGCCAGGACTTGTGATGTACTTATGAGAGGACTTGTGATTTATTGTGACATGACTTATGATGTAGTTGTGACTGGACTTGTGATTTACTTGTGATTTACTTGTGACAGGACTTGTGATACCTTGCAAGTTACATTTTGCATGAAAGACATATCGAAGTAAAGTGGAATACAGTGGACTCCTACTAAACCGACATCGTACAACTCGTCAAATCGCTCAAGTCGGCCGTCTGACTAAGTCCTGATTGTTCGTAATGCATTTCCATTGAATTTTTTTATTTCTAAGTCGGCTTTTATAAGTCGCCATTTCGTCGTTGTGTTACTCCTGGTCTCCTTTCCATAAAAAGCATTACAAATCCTTTGTGTAAGTCGGCATTCAACAAATCACGCATGGCATTGACTATCTGTACCGCGGTTGGCAAAATGTCGAGTGAAAAGTGGTTTCGCACGGCCCGTGATCGCTGCATGCATCGGTGTCGAAAAAGGGTGTCCTACTGCATACATCGCATATGCAGCGTGAGCATATCAATACCAGTACCCCCTCTAGGCTGTACGCGTGTGCTCTGTCCATTTTGGGGGTCGTCTTATTGAATGACTACTGCTGCAGTCAATGCGTGCATGGTATATATCATGGAGCTAGGGTGGTATACATATGTATCGTGGTCTCCACTATCAAAACCCCAAACGTGATGATACAATTCACGGATTAATTTGCTGGATTTAACTGAAGCATTAAGGAGATAATCCAGGGTAAATCAAAGCCAATTAGTGCAATGAATTATGTGTGCAAAAGACCATTCATGTAAGTCAGCAAAATGACAACTTACAGCATATATTGGTATTCGCGTAAGTCGTCACAAAGTCTCGGGTCCCGACAGTGCCGGTTTAGCCAGAGTTTACTGTAATTCTTTTCTTTATATAACATCTTTTGGACTGCGTGTTATTTTTACCCAGAATAAGAAATATCCATTGCAGTCTAGTCGTAAGTCCAAATTATATTTGTGTCGTTTTTGTCTTTAAGGCCCATCAATCTAACCGTGTGTGCAATGCCTTGGCCCTGCTACAGTGTGTGGCCTCCCACCCAGAAACGAGATCAGCGTTTTTACAAGGTCAGTTTCACAGCTGCACTTGCTCATTACAAAATGTTTATAATGTGCCCATTTTTTTAAAACATTTATCAGAAGTCTGTGTGTTTAATTGTTAGCTCGTTTGAGCAAGTACAGATTTTAGGTGTCTTCAAAAAGTGGCAGATTGAAGCAGAAATGAGTTGCGAATGAGAAAAATTTGTCAAATGTATCATAGTTCAAATTATGATTCTTCAATTGACCAACATTTGTAAATTTCAGTATTTTCAAAAGTCAGTTTTAAATTAAAGTCATAGTCTATTTCCCACTTTACTTTTGTTTCAGCTCATATCCCACTGTTCCTGTACCCATTCCTCCACACGGTCAGCAAGACAAGACCGTTTGAGTACCTGAGACTGACCAGCCTTGGGGTCATCGGCGCGTTGGTCAAGGTATTAGAAAGAGTGTCTTCAAACTTGAGTATTTTATAGCTAAGGCTATTTTTTTTAGTGATTGTGGGCTATGGTGAGTAGCCATAGACAGCAATGCCAATTTTTGACAGAGCCTTAGTATTACTGGAAAGTTCTTCAGAAACACCATGGACCTTATTCACATGTTTTTTTTTTATTTGTCGTGTTCCCTGAATTTATGTCAGAAATTGTTAACTGTTGAATGGGGTGGTGCCAGACTATTTATGCAGCCTTATTTTATTTCTTCTTTTTTTAAATCTGGCTTAAAAAAATAGGTAATGTTTAATTACAAATTTTAAATTATTCATTTAAGCAGACTTGAATTATTTAGTAATTTACTTGCTTTCATTTCTCTTTGCAAGTTCCAAAAATGAAGATTTTACCTCACTTTCAATTCAACATGGCCGACTCGTGAATAAGGCCCATTTGTTTCAGTTAGGAACATGTGAAATTGCACACATGCGTATTGGAAGCTGCTAAATCTAAAGAGACATTCTCGACTTCATAGTGATGTTTGAACAATGTAATAACTTCAAGATAAACATGTCAACCTCATTTTAGCAATTCTTTTGTGTATTTTGTGTCTTTTTTTCCCCAGACTGATGAGCCCGAGGTCATCAATTTCCTCCTGACGACAGAGATCATTCCTCTGTGCTTGAGAATCATGGAGAGCGGAAGCGAACTTTCCAAAACTGTAGGTCATTTTAATATTAATTGAAGTAAATTTCTTTTAAACAAATCTATTGCTTCTGTAGAGAAAAAAAAATATCGAAATTTAATATCCCAAAATCATTCTTTCTTCTTCAGACTGTTTTATTTTAATTCATTTTTTTAACGTTCCGTTCCTGAATGAAAAATAAATTGAGATGCTTTATTCCGTTTGTATCAAAGTTAGGTGCTTGAATCCATATATGGTTGTGTCTCAATTTTAGGTAGCGACGTTCATCTTACAGAAGATTCTTCTGGATGAGACCGGCCTGTCGTACATCTGTCAAACCTATGAGAGATTTTCACACGTAGCTATGATACTGGTAAGTTAGGGAACAGTTTTCCTAGCACAATGGTGTCATGGAGTAAGGGTTTATGGAGCCCATAGTGAAGCCACTTTCGTGTATCAAGGGGCTTAAGCCTAAAAACCTGGGCCCTTTTGACTAGGAACCATCCTTCATCCTGCAAAATCCTCCAATTGCCACCATGTAAAAAATGGATACAGCCTCAATCTGCCAAAAATCATCTGTTATTTCTTGAACTTATTCAGTGGAGAGGTGACCACTGCCTCAGTCCTTCAAAATCGTGCGACTGAATTTTACACACGTTGGAGCAGTGCTGAGCGGTATAATCTAGGCATAATTTATGCAAGGCTAAGCAGTAACAATGCAAGGTATAGCTTAAGACCGTGACACAGTGCATACTCCAAAATCAGCTGGCGCTAAAATGGCATACATCCTCGATCCTCCAAAATCCTCCAAAACCGCCCAGTTGATTTTGGAGGACAGAGAGTTAGGGTTAACCCTAACCCACCTCACTCCTCCAAAATCCTCCTGGCGGTTTTGGAGGATTCTAGAGGATTGAGGATGAATGGTGATTGAATCAAATGAGGATTCTGGAGGATTGAGGATGAATGGTGATTGAAGCACATGAGGATTTGGAGGATTGAGGATGAATGGTGAATGAAGCACAAGAGGATTTTGGAGGATTGAGGATGAATGCATTTTGAGGCAGGACTGTCTGATGATTTTGAAGGATTTGGCGTTGGTTATATCCTTCATTTAAACACGAGTGCAAAGTTTTGGGATGAGGAGGATTTTGGAGGATTGAGGATGAATGCATTTTGAGGCAGGACTGTCTGACAATTTTGAAAAATTTAGGCGGAGTTGCAAAATTTTGGAGGATTTTGGAGGATTGAGGATGGTTGTAAGCAACAAGGGCCTAGGGGGTTAGGGTTAATGTACATACGACCTTGCCCATTTCTCTTGTGTTATTCAGTTGTTGCATTGGAGTGCATGTTTAACCCTAACCTCTTAGGCCCTTTTTGCTAGGAACCATCCTCAATCCTTTAAAATCCTGCAAAATGAAGGATACCCGGCACCTCAACCCTTCAAAATCGTACAACAGTCGTGCCTCTCAAAATACATTCATCCTCAATCCTCCAAATTCCTCCTAGTCTTCAAAGAACATTCATCCTCAATCCTCCCAAATCCTCATGTGCTTCAACACCATTCATCCTCAATCCTTCAAAATTCAAATGTTTCTCAAACACCACTCATCCTCAATCCTCCAAAATCCTCCAAAAGCCGTCGGGAGGATTTTGGAGGATTGAGGAGGGTTACAGTCAATAATTGGTACTTCTTACATTTGTTATAGTGCAAAATGGTGATGACTTTGGCCAAGGAGCCCTCGGCCAGGCTATTGAAGCACGTGGTACGTTGCTATCTCAGGCTCTCTGACAATGCCAGGTGAGTACAAAGTTTATTTTTCTCCTCGTAGTTTTATTTTCAGGGATTAGAGCATGTGTTTGTTATAACATTCATGGAAATACAAGTCCTGGTCGTAGCTTGTATTTTACACATTGCATTGTTCTGTGAAGGAAAATACAGACCTTTTGTTGCTGCCACTGGTTTCTAAAATTGACCTATCGCCGTTTGCGAGTTAGCCGCGCCCCTTTAACAACCCTATGGAATTTTGTACGTTAAGTTTGTTTGTCTCAGATGTTGCGCGTTCCGCGTCCATTGGACAATATTCCGCAAGCTGCGTTGACGCTATTCTACCGCGATAGGTTAATTGATAACAATAGCATTGATATGATGTTTCCATCAGTGACGCACGCATAAGTGTTCACTGAGTTGTGTCATGCAAAGCATTTTTTCTCAGTTTAAGTACAGGGACTCCAAGTACTAATTTGGATGACGTTGATTTTTCAGAGCAAGAGAAGCCCTTCGCAAGTGCCTGCCAGACCAACTCAAAGACAACACTTTTGCCCCAGTCCTGAAAGACGACACGTCGACCAAACGGTGGCTCGCTCAGCTCATTAAGAACCTGACCGATACCGGGGTACCAGACCCGCGTGGTATACCCCTCCCACCCCAGTAGGCTCAGAGGTACACAGATAAAGACCCGTAAGCCAGTAGCCATTTTGGATTGCTCGTGTACAAGTCTATGAGGCTCAGAGTGAGGCTAAGGGTGCAGAGTAGTCTGGTGCCTTGGATGTGACTACATACCGAGTCATCCCATTGACTTTGGGAATGAGACTGTAATGGCTGCTTTGTGAAAGGAGTCATTGTTACTCGTAGAGGCCGTCGGATGACACTTGATGATTTTGTTCCTGTAGGCATGGAAAACTGTTTTATGTATTGCGTTCGTCATCTTGCTGAAACAATCGTGAACGTGCAGGGCACATGTGCTCACAGCCCAACTGTTTCTCACGTGCAAGCTGTATTTTGCGTCTGATGTCAAAAACGTGAAATACAAGCTCGTTTATGCATCTGATGTCTCGAAACGTTAAAATTCTGAAAACAGAACGCTGTGGCTTTCAGTACCTGGCACTGGAGGTAGGAAGCTACGTTTCTTTTGTGGCATTTTCCACAGTGAATTCTTTTCCGACCTGGAAAAAATGTTGTAAGTGCTATTGTATAATATATCATATAAGCGTACGGTAATGTCGTTTGGATTCAAGAGGACAATTTTGGGTGAAATTTTCTACCTGCTGGTTCGATGAAATGTGACTTTGGATTGTCACTAGTTGGGCTAAACTTGTATTAAAAGAACCAGCTGATATGCTGTTCTTGCAGGTGAAGTTTTTTTTTTAATTCAAGTGCAGTTTTAGGCAAACAAGGAAAGCCATTGCCTACTTAAAGGAGATTTTAAAGTATATTGTAAATAACTTGTAAATATCTTTGTGAAATAACCTTTGCAACAGAAATGCCAGTTTTTCAGTGTCACTTTCAAAAATGTCCCGAATGGTGCGGTTTACTTCATTTTGTACCAATCCAAAAAAAAGAAGTCAATTTAAATGGGAGAACAAAATATGGCCGTCACAAAAATTGAAGTAACATAAAAGTATGTGACTTTTAGTCTTAATAAATCCTTTATATGTCAGAACATGACTTTATGTTATTACTGGGGTATTTTTACGGGGCTCACAAATCTCCCACAACAAAATCCTTGTGATTTTTTCCCAAAGTACGTTTATTAGGTGCGTACAGTTTCTATTATTAAATTTCAAACAAAAAAATCTTTTTGAAGATGTCATTACACTTAAAACAAGAATACCAATATGCACGTGGTGCTACTCATATATATTTTCTCCATTTATTTAAGCAAGTTTTTAGATTTCTTTTTGTTTAAACCTAACTCCAAGCAGAGAGTTATTCTCAAAATATCAAATATCATTGTTTCTGCTCTTTTAGTTTTTCACCAACGAATATTTGCACAACGCAAAATATACTTGTCTGATGTGACTTTTTTTTTGTTTTCTTTGTTATAAAAACTAAGCATTTTGAATCCTGTTTTTGTTGTATATGTTACTTTTACTTACAGCTTTTGTTCTGTATATTTCATTTTTTTTTTTTAAATTCTGTCTCCAGTTTTCTTTTGTTTCAAATGTTAAATATGAAAGAGACAGGGTTTATTCTTAAAACAATTTTACAAAAAAAGAAGTAAAATCATCATTTTAAAGGTTTTATACAATTTTGTCAAGGTTTGTTAATGAAGTTCTGCTTAAAATCGTAATTAAGATATTGAGACACAAAGGTTGAAACTGAAAATCCTTTGAAATATATTAATTAAAAACCAGTTAATTATGTATCATTTAAAGAAATTCTCAACATTCATTTAAAAATTGAATATCTTTTAATATTTTCTTTTGTGCTTATTCAGTTCATTAAAGCAAAGCATTAAGTGTGTTCTCTTTCCTCCCACAAAAATGCATAAATATCAAGTATTTCAGATGAAACAAATGTCAATAAATATAATTTAAATAATTCAAAAGTTTAAGTCTTTGTTTACAGACTTGAATAAATAACATAAAATACAGTCTTTGTACAGTTTTTTTTCTTCATAAGGTCTGTTTCATTTCGTTCAAACTCTTGAGCAGCAAATAAATGCCTTTAACTTATGGGAAAACAAGTTACTGGTGTACTTGAAGCAAATTATACAGAATTACACAAATAGTAACATTGCCTTTTCTTGATGTGGGCTAAATTTTCCTTGCCACTTGTACTTTCCTGTCACTACTTTAACCTGACACTGGCAATATATAACATGCAAGCTTTCTTGTTTATACTCTCTATTTGTGAAACTCACTACTCGTGGATTTTAAGATGTTTTGTTTTTCATTTCCCCGATATTAACTATTGCATGAGACTTGGGACTATGGAACACAGGCACAATGCTTTTACTCGAGACTTGGACTATGGTACACGGGTAGAACACTATCATTAACTTGAAATCGATTATAAAAATGATACTGTCAACTGTTGATGGTAAAATTCCTGTACTTTGCATTTCAAAGAACATACATACCATCAGTCTGGCTCCATCCGGTTTCAACAGGACAGATTCAGCCGCTTCCTGCGTCTTGGAGACAGAGCCAGGTGATCTTTGCGAGGGCTGAGCAGGCCCAGTCGGACGGACACGGGGGTCTGGGGTTCAAACATGTCCCACGGGGTGCTGGGATCGGGCAGGCTGATCTTGAGCAGTTTGCCAGCTCTCAGATGCCCTGGGTAGCAAGTTGGTGTACGGAGAATGGGAAAATCAAGTTTTTAGCATAAAAGGATGGTTGCATCATAGAGCTTATGAAACATGTGTCCAAGTCTACAACTGCACTTTAATAAGCTATTTGGAAACTGGACATACACACAACTGAAGATGAGTGAAGGATTTTTATGGGAGATGAAGATTTTAATATAGGGCTTTCCTTTAATCGAGTACAGAGTGTCTCTAAACACTCTATATACCCTGTATTGATTGAGAGCTTGTAAGAAAAGAAACACAAGCTTCTTTAGGTGGGGCACAAAGCATATCCTCAATTTTACTAAAATTCTTCCAAAATGCCAATCAACAGTCTGTTGTGACTAGCTGGTGTGACTTTCTTAACCAGTTCATGCCGGGATTATTTTGACAAGAACGGAACGAGGTGCCGGATTACTTTTCACTCGACCTCAAGCCAGGCGGGTTGAAGCCATCACCCTCGGGCAGCACACTCATACTTCCGGCCTCGCTCGCTGGGAGCGGGTAGCTGACAGATATTTCCAGCCTCGCTCCCTGCGTGTTTAGTCCACCATCATCCGTTCAAATACTGCAAAACCTTTGTGGGTTTACACTTCATCCACTGCAAACTGGTTAAGAGGGTTCATGAGCTTTTGTTTAACCCAACAAGGTGATAGGGTTAAAAAGGATGTTTTTAAGGAAAAAGTTTCATTTGGTGTGATTTCAATTCTTAAGCATATTACCTGCACTGGTTGCCATGCCGATTGGGTACATGCCGATGTTGTTTCTGATATTAGCATCAGCGCCTGTATTTAAGAATTTAGGAGAACATACATAAACTTATACTGTCATCAGATTGTGCAAATTGCAAACAAATGGTTAAGACAGAAAGTCACTTGCTTGCTTTGAAAAATGATTTCATTACCGTTGATGAGAAGTAGGTTGGTCACTTTGACATCACCCTTGAAGGCGGCCCAGTGTAGTGCCGTGTTGCCCTTACTGTTCTGGGCATTCACATCGCAACCTGAAAGCAAATATTGATAAAGTATCAATCTCAATCAATGAATATCAATGAGTGCCTCTAAACACTCTATACCCAGAGGCATTATACAGATCTCTCATGTGCAATAAAATTAAGACTGTTCTTTCCGACTCACATCACCCATTACATTCCCACTTCCAAACCAACTCCAGAAGTAACCGCTTTTTCCAACAAAGGATCAGGACACGGCGATACGGCAGTTCATTCGTTCCAGCAGCTATCAAATGGTACAATGAACAACTGGAACGATGAGCTGTCGTGTGGCTGACTCTGATCCCTCATTGACGTAATGTAATAATATGTATATATATTTAGTACATGTAGTTTGTTTTTTACATGTAATTACTGGATTTATATAAGGTTGTGGTAACTATATTGCATCTTTACATCTTTTTAATTAATGATTGTATGTTTTTATAACCCGTTCTTTGTCAAGGCCATTTTAATTTCCCTCGTGAGGGATAATAAAGTTCAATCTAATCTAATCTAAAATAGTACAATTAAAGAGCCCATGAAAAGTATTTCTTTTTAAGTGTAATCCTTGAATATGCACCGTAATACCCCTTTAACCTTATTTTCAATTTTCACTTTGCCATTTTCAAGGGTATTTTGGTGCCTTTTGGGTGTTTATGCTAATGCAAATTTCCATATTCATGAGCAAAAGTGGGATGTCATACCAGGCTGAAACCTCAATGTTGCAATTAGTTTATGCAAAAAAAGTTGCCAAAATGTTGGATATTTTGCTAATAAATTCATTACTGACATAGTATAACATTCATTTCCATGTATTTTTAGAATGCTTGATTTAGATTTGATATAATCCATGATGCTGATCACTGAAGCAACATGTTCTTGTTCTTTCCCATTCTCCAAGAACGATTTACTATCAGTGTCCCCTTCCTACATCCTAGGGAATATTGTACCTGCCGAGATGAGCAACTGGAGAGTACTGAGATCTTGGCTTGCTGAGCCTGCACATGCGAATGTGGCCAGATACAAGCATGTGTCCCCATCCCTGTTGGTTACAGATACATCTCCTCCTGAGGAGAAAAAGAAAGAGGAGTCAGATTGGCAAAGGTTACTTACTTGGCACTTGGTTGGGTCTTCTCCTAAGGACTTCCACAAGGGAGTATAACTAGGAAGCCAGAAACACCGGGGCAAACCCCTTCTCTTAGCGATAAGTGTTACTGGGTTCTTTTACTTGCGTTGGGGCTTATACAACACACGGGACTTCCGGCTTAACGTCCCATCCGAAGGACGAAGCAATAATGGTTAAGTGCCTTGCTTAAGGGCACAAGTGTCCGCGCCCGGGCTCGAACCCACGCCACTGTTGCCTCTGAAACACCAGAGCACGAGTCCGGTGCTCTTAACCGCTAGGCCATGACACTCCAGTAGCAGTTCTTTCCTTGTTTTCCACCTCTGTGTCCCGGGTTTGATTCCTACCTGAGCCAATATGTGGAGTGGGTTTTCAGTCCCTGCCTGATTCTGTGGGTTTCCCCAGAGTACTCCGGGGTTTTCCTCCCACATCTAAAACTGTACTTTCTTCTCATTGTCTCCTCTCTTCAGGTCTCTTCAGGCTTGCGAGCTACAGTACCTTGAGCACTTTTGAGGAACCCTTGGTTTCATCACCAGAAAATAAATAATAATAATAATAATAATGTTGGGGGAATCTTGGTTTCATTCCCCAATAGAACTAAAAAAAAACACTAATAATTTAGCCCAAACTGTCCATGTGTAAAGATTTCCTTGGTCTTCAGAACCAATTGATGAATTTGAATTTTTGAAACATATTTAATCGATTTATATCAAATATAATTACCTCTTTCCAAAAGGAAATGTATGAGCTCCTTATGGCCACTGATGCAAGCACACTGTTTCAAAATGCAAAGTAAAAAAATATTAAATGTATACTGAAAGAAATTTTGGTTGTCCATTTGCAGAAAAAAAATAGATGAGTGTTTATGTAGTTGTGTGGAGTACATTTGTCAATTTCAAAGTACAGAACCAGAGGACTCCATATGAAATAGATAACGACTAATTATAAAAAAAACACCAAGATTTTAATATGATTGTGACAAGGATAAATATCAAACTTTGTAAATTTTGGACCCTCTGACTAGCATAGAGGATCCCAGTTTTGACTACATCTTACCAGAAAGAGGGTCATTCCACTCTTCGGAACGGGGAAGTTCACGTCAAACTGAAGCTTGCTCACAAGCCCCTTCACTTGGTCTGCATGGCCCGGGCGATAAGCTGTCTGTGTAAATGGCATAATTTAAAAGAAATGGAGATTTAACAATTCACTTCCTCCACATCACACAAAGAATTCTTTTGTCCGTATTATCTTAAATACTAAAACAAAATACAAAATGAATACCAGTACATGCAAACATTTTACCTTGGCAAGCTCAAATATTGAGACTACTTCTGTTGATCTTGGCGATACGGCATCTGAAAATGAATTGATGCAAAAATGAATACAAAAGTAGGCAAAAAACACACAACCATTATTTTTTAATCAATTAATTATAGATTTGAACATTCTGTTGTCAAATGTTGCAATAAAATGGATTGTTATTTTTTCTTTTACCTCTGGAACTAACATGTCTGCCTCCAATGTTTAGACACAAAGTGAACATCACTGCTACAAACACAGCCAAGGCAAGCGCACCAAATGCCTCAGGAGGGATCTTGTTTCTCTCCAGAAAACCTTCGGCACTTGTCACCAAACCTTTCACCCATTCAGTAGCTTTTGCAAGAAGAAGATAAAATACCCAATATTAGAGTTATTAAGTATTTTGGAAAGACCTGTATTTCAATATTATATTCATGCATTTAAAAAAAAAAGTTGGCATAAGCCTAATTACTTGGGAAATGTAAGCTAATTTGAAAACAAAAATCAAACAAAAATGTTCATTATTCAATCGATATTCGACAATCATTGTTTAAACGAGATGAAATTATTTTGTCCTTTTAATATTATAATTACAAAGTTTGATTAAAATTTATAAAAAAGTTACAGAAGTTAAGTTTACCCCCCTGAAAAAACTGAAATCATAAAATTACAAGTGTTCAAGAGGATCTCTTTGATTTCTGCTATCAATCTTGCACAGATCATGATGGCATATTCCAACATGTCTGCTCCGTATTTCCATATGTCTTGCATGCAGAATCTGGAAGTCACCTCAAGGCTGCTGTTCAGTTTGTCAATGACTGGAACGTCCATGGTATGGCAGTGTTGTAGGTAGGCCTACTCTGAAAAAGAAAAACACGAATTTAAAATTAATGTAGTGGCTATTGTTAGGACAGCCGTAACACAATTTCAATTGCTATTGTTTGTTATGGCATTGCAAAAACACTAGACTAGTGCAACGTTTATATTTGCCCTTCCAACCAGAGTGCTTTGGTTGCTCGATTGGTAAAACACTCCACTACTATGCCGAAGGTTCCGGAATCGAACCCGTGCTGTGCCAAACTTTTTTCCTTTTTTGTTCTTTAACTAGTCTAAAGTTAGTGTTACCATGTTAGCTACTAGTATTTCTCTTTACTTTTATGTTTTTAATCTAATCCTATTTTTGGAAAAAATGCTGCAACCTGATGCCACTTCTGCGATTGTGTACAAAGTCTATGGAGAGTCAAGAAAAATTTCCTAGCATTTCCTAACCAAATTGGAAATGTTTCTCAGTCCCAGATTCATGTCTTATCATCACTTTTGCAAGGAATGAATGACCTTCATTAATGATAAATATTATTATGAAGAAAACAATGGCGTCAGGTTGCAACATTTTTTCCCTACTTTTTATTGAAGACTGAAGTAGACCTATATTTCATTTTCTTCTTCGAAATCCGCGGCTTTGAAGGATTATTTTTAAATGGAAAAAGTCCGAGAACCCCCCCCCCCCCGGTCTGGTTCCAAGCGCCAAAGATCCTGAAGTTGAATGTCAGGTCGACTGCCGTGACGATAGCCACTGCGTAAAAATCATATGTCACCACGATGTTTCACTTTTCTCAAACAAATAACCCCGGTTTCCATAACTTCAAGAAGACAAACGTGCGTTTTCCTTCTATTTAATGCTTACAATCATTCAGCTGTTTTAACCACTTACAATGTCGCTTTACATATTTCAAATAAAATCAGCAAATACAGAATAGACCGAACGATTTCTGGCACAGCCGACAAGAGCAGACGATAAAGTAGTTCATGTCACGTGATTTAAATCTTCATCTTTTTTCAGGCGCTCTGATTGGTTCAAAGTGAAATGTACTCACCACGTGATAACAAGACTGACCTTTGGCCTGGGTGGATGTTCACGTGACCTAAGCAAGATGGCAGCGCCCAGCGGTAGCGTTTTTCATTTGGGGCGGTCTTCCAGTTCCAAATTAGGTGTTATTTACGACACTGAGGGTCGGGAAGTGGAGGTAGTAAAGCTAAAGAATTCTCGATTACATCAGTATTAAATATGACCAGCTGAACTTGCTGAAAGTAAAGATTTTATGCCACTTATTTTTATGCGCTTCTCAGTTTGGAAAGATGCCCAATTTCCGGACAGCTTAGCAGCTTAGTTTATGCATGGAGGAAGGGAATGTCAGACAAGTCGACCGTTGAGACAACTCGACTCGGGACAAGTCGACCGTTGAGACAACTCGACCGTTGAGACAGGTCGACCGTTGAGACAACTCGACTCGGGACAACTCGACCGTTGAGACTGCTCGACTTAATGGAAATGAATACACGTGGAGCAGAAAAAGTTGCACAAATCTGTGGCAAGACCGATCACGGGTGCGGCGCGGGCATACTCGATGTACAGAGGGCGTCGCGTCGGGCCGGTGCGCCCCGCCCGCCCGCGAGGACCGGGCCGGGCCCGGCACGCGGGCACGTCGACCAGCGCGGCAAATGGGCGCACAGGCCCGGCACAAACGATGTCACCGTGCACGGTACGGCCACGTTGACCGACCGGGGATGAGATAAGTGGGCGCACAGGGCTGGCAAAAACGATGTCACCGTGCACGGTACGGACAAGTTGACCGGCAGATGGGCGCACAGGCCCGGCAAAAACGATGCCACCGTACACGGTACGGCCACGTTGACCGGGGATGCGCGCACGTGGCCTTGAAAAAAACGAACGATGTGCACGGACAATCACGCTGCGCTATATCGGCTCTGTTATATGCAACAAAAAACTCATGTGTCATCACTCCCAAACGGCGATCAGCCGCCGTCAAAATCCCCGGTACTATCCCCGAAACTAGGCCCAAAACATGCGAGGCGACTTGTCTCAACGGTCGACTTGTCTTTCCATTTATCGCACATACGGTCGAGTTGTCTCAACGGTCGAGTTGTCTCAACGGTCGACTTGTCCCGAGTCGAGTTGTCTCAACGGTCGACTTGTCTGACCCCCGAGGAAGGAATAGTGGGTTTATGCAGTCTAGTGGCAGCGTTTATCTCTCATGTTGCTCCATGGAAAATGGCACGAGAAGTCATATTCACTATTTACCAATGAAAGTAAAATTGTAGGTTCTCTTAACAGGAATTGTTTTAATAAAATCTACTTTCATAAAAATGTTTTTGACTTTTGGACTGATTTCACTTTTCAGTTGAGTTCAAATTTAGAGCCGCTCGAAATTTCATTTTTTTCAGGTTGAAACAAGGGAGGATGAGGAACAGAATGTCAAGTTACAGGAGACAATTGAACTTCTCCTGGCTGCTGGATATTTCAGGGCACGCATCAAGGGACTCACGCCATTCGATAAGGTTGAGTATTTAAAAATATAACCTTGTTGTAAACCGAGACAGGTCATTATTCACCGTATTATTTACCATGTAGACCCAGTAACTGGACTCCTTTTTTTCGAAGTTTAACGGTAACGGTAAACCAGTATTTTCACAAACATCCAGCTCAGAAAGTTGTCAATATCATGACAAAGACTTGACAAAAATACCTTACAAAGCGGCACTATCTTCTCAATGACAGTGTGTCAAAGACAAACTACTGGGGCTTCAATGGTACTCACGATTATGTTGGTGTTTTCTCATTGGGTAACAATCCTAGGTTGTCGGAGGCATGACGTGGTGCATCACCACTTGCAACTTTGATATTGATGTCGACTTGCTCTTCCAAGAAAACTCCACCATTGGACAGAAAATGTAAGTTTATGGACAAATATACAGTGTATAGTAAAATAAAGTCGCCCAAAATCATGGGTTGGTGCATGAAAAGTATGTACTCTAACAAGTGTAGTTCTGTCATGAAGGGTCCTTCAGCAGCTTTTCATCAATACCTTACTCATCCTCCTCAAGATCTTGTAAGTTAAACACCAGATTTTGAACTCCAAATGTGTTTTATGCTAGTGCCCTAACGGAGAAGATCGTAGCCGTCCTGCCCAGGATGAAGTGCCCCCACCGTATCGAGCCCCATCAGATCCAGGGCTTGGACTTCATCCACATCTACCCCGTGGTCCAGTGGCTGGTCAAGCGGGCCATCGAGACAAGGGAGGAAATGGGAGACCTCATCAGGGCGTTCTCCATCTCCCAGTTCAGTAAACAGCACCAGACCCCAGAGGTAAGCAAGTACAGGGGTCAATGACGTGTGGCTACTAAGCACAGAAATGTGGTGCTTTGCAACTGAATTTTCTTAGCAATATTTTCTGCTTAAAGCTACAGTCCATCATTTGTAATTTGTGCATTTTGTTCGTTTGAAGCAACAAAAAGAGTTCAAAATCTAATGAAGGATACTAAGCAACTAACCTGATGAAGTTTCAGCTAAGCTTCAGCTGTACATTCCGAGAAAAACAGCATTCTAAGATCTCAATTTCAAATCAAAAGTTACTGAATCATGTTTTGAATTATTTTGAATTGCAGCTATACGCGACGTCGCGCACTGATCCAACGAATTATAACAACTGCGCGCGCGTGTGCGTCGTTCCAATACTTGTTCGCGCTGCGCTGAATAACAAAACGAACTACTAATTTAAATTTTCCTACGGTGCTTCTTAAGAATCACCGTTGGAAATGCCTTCTTTCGTTGATTACTTCAAAATGACAGCTTCCCAGAAAGAATAATTTCACAGGGAGTTTAGTTCCCTTACTATCTTTCAACCAAGTTTGTTTTTCAACAATAATTACACCAGTTACTTTTCGGATGGCTGCAAATGATGGACTCTAGCTTTAATAGGTACGTGACAATTTTGCCCCGGTAAAAACATGACATCTTTGTGAAACTTGTTGTCTGAGGCATGCTTTCCGTCAATATTTTCTGCTTTCCTTCAGGAAAAATATACTTTTTTTCTCATTTCTAATGTTTCCGTTAACCCATGCTCCATATTTGTAATCCTGTACCTTGAGTTGCTTCCAGCTTTATAATGGGTAACTTCCATAATATTAGACTCTACAGTTATTAATATGCGACAATATAGCAAAAACTGTAATCCTGGTAAATTGTTCTAAAAATGAAAGTGAAATCTGAACTGTCAGAAAAAAAGTAAATTGCCAAAAGTTTCATGAATTTAAATACTTGCTTAACTCGGAACAAAGAAAACACCACATCATTCATAAAACCTAACAATACATATGTTATGACATGCCTCGAAAACAAAAATACAAAGTGATCCTGGGGAAAGATGTTAAGATGCTAAAAACTGCCAAGATTGGGTTTATTTTCAGGATGTAGAGTTCGAGGAGAGGAAAAGCAAGTCAGTGGATACCATCAGCAGTGTGAAGGACGTCTACAAGCCGCAGAGGCGATATCGGCGAGCTGACGCCCACAGGATGAGGGAGGAGGAAATGAGAGTCCAGTCCACGCTCCTGGAGTACGGAAGGTAAACAGGTCATCATCATTGATTCAGGGAGTCAGGTTGGCACATTGGTTACTTTCCTCGCCTTCCACCGCTGTGGCCCGGGTTCGATTCCCGTCTTGGTCCACATGTGGATTGGGTTTTCAGTCCCTACTTGATTCCGTGGGTTTCCCCCAGAATATTGTTTTCGGGTTTTCCTCCTAACGCTAAAAAGTCAGGAAGTAAGGTTAGCGCAGTGGTTACGTTCCTCGTCTTCCACCGCTATGGCCCGGGTTCGATTCCTGTTTTGGTCCACATGTGGATTAGGTTTTCGGTCGCTACTTGGTTCCGTGGGTTTCCACCAGAATATTGTTCTCGGGTTTTCCTCCCATCTCTAAAACTATGATTTCTTCTCATTGTCATCTTCTTCGTACAGGTTTCTTCAGGCTTTCGAGCTATAGTGCCTTGGGCACTTTTGAGGAATCTTTGGTTTCATTACCAGAAAGATATAAATATTAATAATTAAATATAAATATAAACATTCTATTCAAAGCGTTGTGGTGAAATTTATCACAAGTCCATTTCAGATCCTCCAGTTCCAAGTCCAGTTGAAGGCTTTTAAAATAATCTGTTAACAAAGGCATTCCTTTGTTATTTTTCATGCCCTCTTTCTTCCAACTTACTTAATGAATTGACCCACACCAGTCAATGTTTTTGTTCAGGTTATCATTACGTAGGGTCTTTGAGCGATTGTGGTAAATTATGTTGTTTAAGAGCAATAATTGTATTGCCAGCTTTAAAAATGAGTGTAATTTCGTGGTGCTGAGAATATTTTTCAGCAAATGAATACACTAAATCAAAAGATTGTTAAGAAGTTGTCACTGCACTGAACATGGAACACTGTCTGTGAGTGGTTATGGTAAATTAGGTTGCTCAAGGACAATAATTGTATCGCCAGCTTTAAAATGAGCATAATTTTATGAAGATGAGAAGACTGCTAAGCAAATGAACATAAACATGCTAATTAAAAGTAAGCAAAGAACCTGACGCTAACATAATCTACAACATGGCGTTTTGCCTGATTTTTGGTAAGCAAAACTATTTCCTGCTTAGCTAATGGCTAACAATATTTTCTTCCATCTCGTTGATCAGACGTTACGGGATAAGCCGGACCTCCAAGTCAGAGAAGGAAGCCGAGAAGGAAGCCAAGAAGAAGGCTCTTGAAGCCGGCATGACCAAGGCTCGGGCTGACTCCATGGACTCGGAGGAATCGCGGGAGAAGGAAGAAAAACGCATCCAGGCTCTCATGAAGGGGATGTCGCTCTCTGAGGAGGTGAGGAGTCTCAGTGACCTTTGACATGGGTCTTTTCTTAGCAACAGTCAAAACCTTAGTCTCCAGCTATATGGTTTGAAATTAGCATGAAGAGACTGGACAAAAACGTCACATTAAAAAAACAGCCATGAGAATCTTCCCGTTTAAACAGGAATTCCTGTATTTTTTGTTGCCCAAATTTCCGCATTTTTTATTTATTTTGAGCCTGTTTTGGGGCTTTTTTGCCTGATTTCACATCTTTTTTCCTGTTCTTGCGCAAGTTTTTTTGGATTTTTTTCATTGAAATTCATTCTCATGCCTGAAAAAGGCACCCGGATGGTTACCGAAAGCTCTGACAGAATTTTTCCGTAAGTGCTGATGACAAAGAATCAACTAAGAATTATATGGTTTGAGTCATCTTGCGAGTCTTAAGATACTACATGTGATAACCCTTGATCGGGCTTGTGTCAAAGGTTTCGCAACCCAGGATGCTTATGCCAAATGGTATTTACTTTTATTTAAATACATATGGAACTTTACATTCGGCCAGCAAGAAATGTCATAATGCTTATGCTAAATGGTACATTGATCAGGCTTGTGTCACAGGTTTCGCAACCCAGGATGCTTATGCTAAATGGTATTTACTTTTATTTCAATACATGTGGAACTTTACATTCGGCCAGCAAGAAATGCCATAATGCTTATGCTAAATGGTATATTGATCGGGCTTGTGTCACAGGTTTCGCAACCCAGGATGCTTATGCTAAATGGTATTTACTTTTATTTAAATACATATGGAACTTTACATTCGGCCAGCAAGAAATGTCATTATGCTGATTCTTCTTTGCTTCTCCTATTTTTCAGGGCAAGGTAACAGCCAGTACGGTTGGCTCCATCGTGGGTCTGCAGTCCGAAGAGATTGGGCAGATTGCATCTGAGTATGCAGACAAGGTCTGAAGAAAACCCTTCTCTTTTTTCCTATCATTTGACAAAGGTCGCTTAGTAGTGCAAAACTTGTACTTGAAGGAATATTGTCAATTTTTACAGCTGGAACATGCTTTTAACACAAGTTATGTGACTTTGTGCAAATTTATGCAGTTTTGTAGAATGTGATATTTGTGAAGAACTGTTTTGCAACCCTGAAGTTTCATTAAAGGGAATATACAACATTTACAATCATCGAAAAACAAAACTACCAAGTTTTTACGAAATACCTTACTAGGATGTTGGTAAATGACAGTCTAAAGCATCCTGTAAACTTATGGCACCTGGTGTGAAGTCATTTTCAAGAAAATGGTCTTTTTGTATACATTTCCAACGGTGGTCGGCCGACCACGGTTGGAAAAACCTAACTATTTTTCAACTACTGCTCCAAATTTACAATTTTTTTTCAGTCAAAATGTTGTTTGCTATTGGTTACATGTTCATGAATGGGTGCAGGCCAGCTAGACTGGTTCCCTTAGCTTACAATTTTCCGGCATCTATAAATTGATCCATTTTATCTTTACTGGAGTCAGAGAACCAGACTACTTGAGCATTTTTTTTTTTTTTTTTTCAGCATTTTCGAACACAAAACTTCAAACATGTCAGTGTAACAATATTTGATCTATTATACTAACCCCTCAAATATTTCATTTCTGAAAATTACAGCAAAAGCCAATGATGTACATTCCCTTTAAGTGAAACTCGGATATTGCCAAATTGTGTCATTTTGTTGATACAATTTCAGCATAAACATTTTACTAAGCCTGCCTTTTTACACTGTGGGTGTTAGAAATTGATCTCTTCAGTGCACGTTATCTTCATGAGAATTTGAATGTTGCCGTTTTTTTTTTATTTGCAGAAATCAGAGTTGCAAATGGAAGCAGACAAACCAGAGAGAATGAGCGGTGCCCAGCAACACCAGCGGCTGGTGACATCACTGAACAAGCAGATAGCCAATCAGGAGAAGAAGCTGGCTGAGGTGAGAGGTCATCTCCATAGCAACCTGGACTAGTTGATTAGTTTGAGTAAAATTCACATCGCAACCACAGAATGAATAAAATGATATTTGCCCCTCAAAAATCGGCAAATTTCAAAATAATAAAAAAAAATGAAAGACAGAAAAACGTCACCAGTTTGTATGTGTATCTAAAAAAAAAATAAGGAAAAAAATACAAAACTAGAGATGTGTTTGTGGACAAACACAAGCTGTTTCGGATATTCAAAATACTCTGTGCACGTGATGAACAATCAGTGACGTCACTAAAAATGTCATCTATAACAGCACATTATACGTACATGTCAAGTTATAACCAAATCGAACATATAGGTCTGTAAATATAGGCCTATGATGAACAAAATGCCCCTTTAAGGGACGTCACATGACATTTGATGATGACATCACATGAATTTTCATCTATAACCCATCTCGGCATTGGTACGATCACGAATTTCTTCTAGGACCATCTGTGGGTGGTAGTCTAAGTGTGTACCAGGTCTAACGTCGATCGCATAATTTACAAAAGTGCCAAAGTAGAGTGTTTTAAAACGTGTACAAACCCTATGGGGAAAAATACATCTTTAATGTGATGTAACCCAACACCTGATGACGTCACGATCGCGCATTTCTTCTAGGACCATCTTTGGGTGGTGGTCTAAAAATGTATCAAGACTGAGGTCGATCGGATTTACGAAGGTGCCAAAGTGGAGTGTTTTAAAACGTGTACAAAACATATGGGGAAAAACGCATCTTTAATGTGACGTAACCTGACACTTGATGACGTCACGATCACGAATTTCGTCTAGAACCATCTGTGGGTGGTGGTCTAAGTATGAATTAAGTTTAAAGTCGATCGGATTTACGAAGATGCCAAACTGGTGTGTTTTAAAACGTGTACAAAACATATGGGGCAAAATGCATCTTTAATTTGATGTAACCTGACACCTGATGACGTCATGATCACAAATTTCTTCTAGGACCATCTGTGGGTGGTGGTCTAAGTGTGTACCAAGTGTAACGTCGATCGGATTCACGAAAGTGCCTAAATGGAGCGTTTTAATACATGTACAAACCCTATGGGCAAAAATGCATCTTTAATGTGACGTAACCTGACACTTGATGACGTCACGATCACGAATTTCGTCTAGAACCATCTGTGGGTGGTGGTCTAAGTATGAATTAAGTTTAAAGTCGATCGGATTTACGAAGATGCCAAACTGGTGTGTTTTAAAACGTGTACAAAACATATGGGGAAAAATGCATCTTTAATTTGATGTAACCTGACACCTGATGACGTCATGATCACAATTTTCTTCTAGGACCATCTGTAGGTGGTGGTCTAAGTATGTACCAAGTCTGAAATCAATCGGATTTAAAAAAGTGGCAAAGTGGACTTGTAGAAGAAACGTGTGTTAAACCTATGGAGAAAAAGTCTGAAAAAGGAGAAAAAAAAAAAAAAAAAAAAAAAAAAGAAAAAGACTAGAAATGTGTTTGTGGACAAACACAAGCTGTTTCGGATATTTGAAATACTTTGAGCACGGGATGAACAATCAGTGACGTCACTATAAATGTCATCTATAACAGCACATAATAATATGTACATGTCAAGTTACAACCAAATCGAACATTTTAGTTCTGTAGATATAGACCTATAAAAGAATAAAATGCCCCTTTAAGGGACTTCACATGACATTTGATGAGGATGCCACTTCAATTTCCATCTATAACACATCCATGTGAATATGCATACCAAGTTTTAACCCAATCAGACTTGTACTTCCGAAGTTCAGTTTGAAGAAAAACGTGTACAAAACCAATATGGAAACAATACATCTTTAATGTGATGTAACCTGACACCTCATGACGCCACGATGACGAATTTCTTCTAGGACCATCTATGGGTAGTGGTCTAAGTGTGTATCAAGTATAAAGTCGATCAAGTTTACGAAAGTGCCAAAGTGTATGGTTTGAAGAAAAACGTGTACAAAACCTATGGGGAAAATGTGCATCTTTAATGTGAAGTAACGTGACACCTGATGACGTCACGATCACGAATTTCTTCAAGGACCATCTGTGGGTGATGGTCTAAGTGTGTACCAAGTGTAACGTCGATCGGATTTACGAAAATGCCAAACTGGAGTGTTTTAAAACGTGTACAAAACATATGGGCAAAAATGCATCTTTAATGTGACGTAACCTGACACCTGATGACGTCACGATCACAAATTTCTTCTAGGACCATCTGTGGGTGGTGGTCTAAGTATGTACCAAGTCTGAAATCAATCGGATTTAAAAAAGTGGCAAAGTGGATTGGTAGAAGAAACGTGTGTTAAACCTATGGAGAAAAAGTCTGAAAAAGGAGAAAAAAAAAAAAGAAAAAAAAGAAAAAAAAAAATCTTAACGAAAACAAGAGCTGTTTCGGTGTGTCACCGAAACAGCTAAAAAAAAAAAATCTTAACGAAAACAAGAGCTGTTTCGGTGTGTCACCGAAACAGCTAAAAATTGTTAATCGAGAGGGGACAATTGTACTATTTCTATTTCTGTAAATCAGTCATGTATGGCAAAGTTCTTGTCCTGAATCTTGGCTTGAAATGTAAAGTTTTGAAGAGAAAATACAAATTAATCACATGGTGGAAGGTATTGAAAAACAAACCATGCGTAAGGATGCCGCAAGGCATTTCTGTCAATATCACGACAACTGGCAATTCCCCAACAAAACTTTTAAGTTGTTACAAACTCCAATGACACTGAAGTGAAGTACTAACAACATACAAAAAGACAACAAATAGAAGCTTTGATAATTGTAACATAAAAAACTTCAATAACAACATAAGGGGACACCCGGAAATGGCAAACAGAACGCAAGTTTTACACATGAAGATTGGTCTATTTAACCCTTTCCTTACCATGGGCGACTTAAGTCGACCAGGAAACCACACACAAAACACCCTCAACACAGATATATTCACTACTTTTCAGAAAGGCGGTATGTTGATATGCTTGGCCGCCCATACATCAGCCATAAACTAGCAGAAAGAGTGTTTTCAGATCGTTCTAATGGTGTAGTTTATTCACAATGTTACCATTACAAAAAATTAAGAAAAGTGCTTCAGAAGTATCCACGCACAATTTGAGGTATGGAGTGCCATTTGGTCATGTGGTGAAATGGCTTGCAGTTTGATAAATGATGACCAGATGAACAAACAGGCAAAACTTTCTTCTATTCTCACATATGGACTTCATTTTTACATCACATAAAAGAGCAAGTTTCAAGGAACAAACTTTACACAAAACACCTATGATTTAAATCACTCCTTGGCAGTGAAAATCTGGGTTGAAAAAAGCGAGTTTTGGACTTGTGGTCATTTTGTTCACGCTCTAGTGATTTCCGCATGACTGAGCAAACAATTTGGTCCTGGGGAGAGCCAAGTCAATAAACAATGTGGGCATGAAAGGGTTAATACATTAGGGACATGACAGTAAGCTTTGTTGTTCAAAATTTCAGTTTCTGCTTTTCCACTCTTAGAGGGCGTGGACAGTTGGAACAACCATTTTGATAAATAGTGTCTGTTAAATACATCTGAGATGTATACATTTATTTTTATTTTGTCTTCATCTCAGGTGAGTACACGTCACACTGAGCTGAAGGAGGCCCACGTCGAGACCCAGTCCAAGCTGCAGGAGGTCCAGGAGCAATCCAAGAAGATTGACAAGGAGATGGAAGATCTGGAATCTGTTGAGACAGATGAGAACAAAAGGTAAACAGGGGCAGTTTCATGGTTTTTTGGGGGGAGGAAATTGGTGGGGGAGTATTGGGGTGCAACTGTTCTGCTTGCAGGCCAGGTAGGACAACGGTATGGAGAATGTCAAAGGCATATGGGATCATTCAAGGCATATGGTTACTCCCCAGCTAATGCCGATACCTATTTATACTCCTGGGTGGAGAGGGGCAAGTGGGGGTGAAGTGCCTTGCCCAAGGACACAATATATGACCAGCGGCTGGATTCGAACCCCGGACCCTCTGATCACGAGTCACGAACCCTAACCACTAGGCCACACACTCCCCACTGAGCTGCAAGTTAAACAGGTTAGGTTTTAGAACATTCTTCTTTGGATTTTCAGTGGTGTTATTATTGGAAACAAACAAAATGCATGAAAAGCAAATGATCCTATATGCCTTTAAATTTGGGTTTTCAGGTTGCCCGCTGGTTGCTGATGTGTTATGGATCATAGATTTTGAGCGTTCTTTGGATTTGAGTTGTGTTATTATTTGAAACGAACAAAATGCATGAAAAGTAAATGATCCTATTTACCCTTTAAAATTGTGCCTCATTTCGAACACATGAGGGCACCCACTAGGTTGCACTCCACTGATGTTTAATTGGCTTTTGTTTTTGTGTGTGTTCTAGCGTTTTACAGAAGCTGCGTTCCTTGGTAGCCATGAATGAGAGTCTCAAGAAACAGGAGACAGAGTTCCGCGCTCACTGCAAGGTGTGTCTTCTTACATTATTGGCCAGACAGTTATTTTGAGTCGTTTTTTTTTCTTTAGAGTCCGAAGGCTCAGTGATTATGTCTGAAGTTTGGTGATAATATAGGCCAGTGCCATTTTGATCGTGTTGGAAGTGGTCGGAGCTAAGGCCTCTAAGGGTGGGTTCGAACCCACCCACCTCGTACAATCTCTTATAGATGGGTTTGAACCCACCAACTCGGCACAGTCTTCCAAAGATGAGTTCAACGTACCCACTTGGCAGGGTCTTTGACGGTTGGGTTTCGAACCCATCCACTACTTTTTATTGAAACGGTCTACTGACCTCATTAATGTGTACTTTTTTTTCTAGGAGGAGATGGCTCGTCTTGGCCAGAGCATCTCAGAGCTGAAGGAGGAAGGAGGAGAGACCGAGATGTCAGAGAGAGATAAGATGATCCTGAAACGATACGAGGCGGGGCAAGAAAAACTTCAGAAATTCCGTCTGCTCTTGGTAAGACAATACATCCTTCCATAACAGCAGTCAAGAAGGATTAAACATGGTAGACCAGGGCCTAATTTCATTGACGGCTAGGCAGAAAACCTTGCTTACCAATTTATGTGCTTATTGTCACTTCAGGATCAAGGTGGTTTCACATTAAAAAAAGGGACGATATTTCCCTCTTTTAAAATTTGTTTGTGGCCAACAGGCTCGGAAAACAAGGGAAATCGCTGCCTTGCAGAGGAAGATCGATGACGTGCCTTCGAGGGCAGAATTATCTCAGTACCAGAGACGATTTGTTGAACTATATAATCAAGGTAATGTCTAGAACTTTATTTTTCTTCCAAATAAATTCCAGTTTAACCAAGAATTTGACAATGAATATAATGTTCTTATACAAATTGTGTTTGTGAGGGGCAAAACTAGATAAAAAATGTATATCTCCCCAATGTATATTCCCATCAATAATATTTTATTCAACATTTTTTATTTTGTCAATTTTATTTGCAGTTGCCAGCACCCACAAAGAGACCAAACAGTTCTACACGCTGTATAATACCCTGGATGACACCAAGTTGTACCTGGAGAAAGAAATCACATTACTCAACTCAATCCACGACAACTTCTCACAGTAAGTCCGGCTTGTTTTCTCTTTTAAGAAACTAGAAAGCACTCAGAGAGCACAAACCTCCGCGAAGGCTAAACAATTCCCCGCCATATTGTCAGTAGGCGCAAAAGAAATACTCGCATAAATGGTGAAGAATCCTTAGCAAAATCCTGGAACCAGACACAGATCCGGATCACTTCCAAAATCTAATCGATTTGTACTTGTACCAAGGATCACCCCTAAACAAACTGTTCATGCAAATCCATCCATAAGTTTTTGAGTTATCTTGTTAACAGACAAACCAACCAACCAACCAACAAATTAACCAAATCCAATGAAAACATAACCTCTTTGGCGGAGGTAATAAATGTTTCAACCTTCTACAAATTAGTTATTGCTAAAGCAGTCCCTACATGATTGAGATTTTGTTAAAAAGCCCTTTCGGACAATGATATGATTGTTTCTCATTCTTTTTCAGGGCTATGAATTCTTCCTCCAACAAGGACCAGTTCCTGAGGCAATTCGAGCAGATTGTTGGCGGGGTTAAACAGAACAAAATCAAGGTGAGAGTTAGTGAGTAAAAGAAAACCCAAGGTTTGCAAGTCATGTGATACTGACACATAAGTTTGATAGGTTGGCTTGTCTGACTTGTGGTTGGAGACGAACTCCGGGTTGGTTTGTTGACTGCCCCTACCCTCTAGTTTGCTTGCTGGCTGGCTGACTGGGTGGCTGACTGGGTGGCTGGCTGGGCAGTTTGCTGACAAATTCAGATGTCTGAATACCCCTTGTTTGGCTTTTTGACTGAAGTGTTAGGAGGCTAGTTGAGAACTCAGCTGGCTGGTTGTTAGGCTGGCTTTGTGTGGTCCTGTTAAATACGTAGCTAGTTTAGGTTAAAAGTAGCTAAACGTGATCTAGCCAGTTTGGTTATATGGCTTTGTTATCTAAATTTTTAGTTTTGTTATCCATCTTGTTGGTTAACTAGCTAGTTGTAGTTGGTTACTGTGTGATCACTTGGCAGTCAGACAAACTTGTCTAATTTGTTTTGTAGGTGGAGAAGAAGAAACAGGAGGAGAAGATGAGGAGGGATCAGCTGAATGATAACTACCTGGACCTGGTGGAGAAGCAGAGATTGTACTTCAAGACGGTCAGGGACTTTAAGGAGGTAAAAAGGAGTCTTCACATTTGACTTGTTGACAGATGCTGCTTGCTGCTGCTGGTACTAATGGTACTGCTGGTGCTGGTGTTGCTGCTGCTACTGCTTGCTGTTGCTGCTGTCGCTGCTTGCTTTTGCTGCGGCTGCTGCAGCTGGTGCTGCTGCTGTTGCTGCAGCTGGTGCTGCTGCTGTTGCTGCAGCTGGTGCAGATGCTGCTGCTGCTGCTGTTGCTGCTTGCTGTTGCTGCTGCTGATGCTGCTGCTCTGCTGCTGCCGCTGCTTGCTGTTGCTGCTGCTGCTGCTGCCACTGCCGCTGCTACTTGTCTTTCTGTGCTGTTGCTAGTGTTGATGTTGCTGTGATCAATGTTGCGATGGTGCTGATGAGAGCGACAAATGTGATAACATTAATGCAACTTCTACTGCTGATGATGAAGACACTGACAAAAAGAGTGATAATCAAAGTGATAATATGAATTTTGTTTTATTTTGTTTTTCACAGGAGTGCCGCAAGAATGAAATCCTGCTGTCCAAGCTCTCTGCCGCAAAGTAGTTACTATTTTTTACTAAGATTAATCAAAATATATAAATATAAACTTATGCCATTAAACAAAAATGTCTTCTTTAATTTGTTTTTTTAAATTCTAAGTCTCCTATTCTGTAGACCTATCAAAGTAACACATATCCGGATATTTCAGGTACAAGACGAATGTTAAAAAATGTTTTCTAAACTAAATTGGGTGAATCAAGGAAGAAACCATCCCACCCTTTCTGGAATACTCTAAACCCAAGTTGTTTCTCCTCCATCATTTTTATTTATCCTTCTCCTCGGTTCATTTATCTTTTGGCAATGCAATTACATTATTTTAAAAAGTATAAGAGCAAATATTATTTTGTTATCCTGACCCTACATTGCATAGAGAGCACATATATGCCTGAATTAGTGTCTGGCATCTGATTGGTGGCTTGTTGATCACATGTCATTGAGTTATTCGTCCCAATGGAAGTTCCATTGCAAGGTCACATGATAGGTGGCTCTGACCAATCAGACGATGAGATTTATTCAGGTGTTGTATAAAACAAATGTCTCACATTTGTGTAATAGACAGAAGAATTTCATTCGGTGACAAATAGAATGTTCCATTCCACTCGGCTTCGCCTTGTGGAATGGAACATTCCATCTGTCCCAAAATGAAATTATTCTTACCATTGCACTCGTAAACATTCATTATTTGTATATTATAAAGTATTAACAAAATACTATTAATATATCTTGACAAGTTTCTCAGCAAATTTTTTATGCTCTATTTTGGCAAAATGAATTTCGGATTATTGTAGCATTATTAGTTAACAAAATTTGAAAAAGTAACAAATAAACCTAATTTTGAACCTGACAAAAAAATATAAAAATTTAAAATATTTGTGCAAGCCGTTACAATATCTAAGATGTTAACATCTCTACACATCTTTCATGTGCACTTCCACGTTGAAAACTGTGCCTAATAACTTCCCCCAAAATTGTGTCAACCTGCAAGAAATTACTTTCTAGTGAACTCACATGCTGAAATATGTTCTTCGATAACAGCTTTCACCATTAGGGAACTTCCCAACAGGCTAACTTTATCTTGAATGGTCAGTTCTTTTATTGGCCCGGAGTTGAGATGTTTGATTATCGGATTTTTTTCATATCAAGTAACATTTTGTGCATTTTTTCATTGCCAGATATTGTGACAGTTACATTAATGAAGGTATCATTAGATCTTAATTATTTTCTGATTCTTATACAATAAAAGGTACTCAAGTGACATTATTAAAAAGGATTAATTGGACTTCGTATTTGCATAAATTACATTTTCAATTTTTCTTATAATTTTTTGTGTGGAGCAGGCCTAAAATACCACATATCAAAACAGTGCTTATGGCTATTATGTGTATCAAAAGTCATTTTCATTGTTTTTGTTGTCTAATATTTATGTGATACAAACAATTCAAAAGCATGGTTTATAAAACAAAATCGAAATATTTGAGCTTAGTAATGTCGCACTATAGAGGGCGCTGTGTTAATGATTTACGGGACGAGAATTAGTCAGGTACCTATAAGCATTGTACACTTTCTATGCCAAAATATGTGCGGTAAGTGGGAACCATACGCCGTAGTAATCTACCGAAAACGGGAGAAAGGCTCACTTCAGCAAACAGAAATAACCCGAAATGGAGATTTCGGCAGAAGTTCAAGAAGGCTTACAGCTAGCGGGCGACACAGCACACATCCCTGACAAGGTCTTTAAATATTTGGTCGAAAGGGTCTTTGAAGATATCTTTAAAAGACCGTCTGCGAGATCGTTGAAAGGTGGGCGTTGCAAACACAATCGACTAGGCTAGTTATCGTACGGTCGGCAATCATGTAGTTTAGGACCCCGTGTTTAACTTTATAAATAGAGATCGAAAAAGGCACTTTTAGGTTTTGGACTTAAATGCCTAAACATTTGGCTATGATAGGTAGGCCTATAGCCGGCTAGTTTAGCCGGTTTTCTTTCAGTAAGTGATATTTTATTTAGCCTGCTATAGTAGTGCTAGGCCTACTGCTGCTAGATAAGATTATGCAGCATATTATTATTTAATATGAAAATACAGCATTATTATGAAAATTCCCTCCACCGTTGTGCAGCACCCAATGTAGGTATGTGACAAAACACGTCAGTGTGCGCTGTGTTTTCGGCCCTGTCAATGGTGACCGCATTTTGCGGCTATGCTTTTGCGCTGTTATGTTTGCGGCCGGATACCAGTTAACCAGGGGCATCCCCTGCAAAATGGATTGTTCTGTGAGAAAGAGGAAATCATATGCTACAACCTCGTACCTAGATTTTTGTCATGCGATACGTTAGAGTTGGATTACGTGCATTTTAAAAATTCATCCGAGAAAGTCAGCGTAATTCTACGTGATGTAAGTTAGATTTCGTTTAAAAACATTTACATTCTTAAATTTATGTATTCATTTACAAAACCTGAAAATATAAAGGTAATTGTACGATTCCCACACCCTTTTTTTTAATCCGCAAAAATTGTTTCATACGATCGGTCATCGCGACGGTGCACACAAACATGGCGGTTACCGTGAGATTCCATTGAAATCAAGATGTAGATCATCCTTCTGGAAAACATGCTAAGGGCCTTTGATATTTGAAAAAAAACACCCTTAAAATGGATTTTAATATATATTCTTCATAATTCTCTGGTATTTGATCGAAAAAACATTTGCATCAAGCGGATGATTTTGGATTTAATTCAGATTTAGTTCGCCCCAGTTATGCTTTTTACACATGGGGCTAACATGGGGCGAGCTAGTTTTTTTTTTTTTTTTTTTAGTTTGTTTTTATTTCAGGGTCGTTTTTTTTGTAGGCCCATCCTTTATTATATTTTGTTTACTTAATTACATATTTTATTGATTTTTTTTTTTATTAATTGATTCATATTTTATATTGGACAAGTTTTGATCTGCCAATTCGCTCCAGTCATGTAATTTGTTAGTGATTTTTTTTTTTTCTCCCTGGTAGAATTCAAGGGTGTGGCCTAATTGCAGTTTGGATGATTATGCTGTTAAGTTAATGAAAGTACTAAGTTTTTTGTTCATATTTTATTTTAAAAAAATGAAATACACCCTTTATTTTATTAAGCAAAGAAAATTTTATTTTTTTTAATGTTTGAAAGAAAATTTATATATCTTCTCAGCCGCCACAGGCTTCGATAAAACAAGCACCCTCCATAGTAATTATGATATCACTACTTTCTTTATTTTCAGGTAATTATCAAAAATGCCACCTAAAAAGAAGAAGAGGGATTTTTTTCAAGCAAAGCCAGGCAAAGCTTGTCAGTATCTGATTGAAAACTTCAGTTCACTTCCAGATCGCAATTTGCAAGTTGGACACATCCTGTTCTCGTTCATTACAAATGAACGGTCTTTCTTCAGTACTGTTCAGGTGATTAGAGAAAAGATTGGTGCCTCATTTACATTTTCAACTAACCAACTGCAGAGCCTTGTTCGAACAACACTCCAGAAATATAAACATTTGTCACGTGAAGCTGACGTGAAGAAATTTGATGAGGTATGTCGGAAGCAGTACAAATTCCATCAGCAGCATACACCAGTAGTTCAACTCTCCTCCTCTGAGCCTGTGCCATCGACTGGCATTCAATTTGGAGAACCTGGGCCATCAACTTCTGGCATTCAATCTGGAAAAACCTTGCCATCAACTTCAGAAATTCAGCCTGATGGAGAACCTGGGCCATCTAACCCCAAAGAGCCTCCCAGTCCAAAACAATCACCACCTGCAAGAAAATCTCCTCGAACAGTGCTCATCACACCAAGGAAAAGAAAACTACAGAAGAGACTTGAATTTGTGTCAAAATCAAACAAGAAATTTGAATCTTCTCTCTGAATTTATAACAAAACAAGGTGCAAAAATGACTTCCAAAAATCCCTGATTTTATGTATTTTAGCTTGAAAAAAAATGGTGTTTTTTTTTAACCCAAAACACTAAACTACATTCTATCCCACTGGCATACCACTCAAATGAAAGATCTTGTTGACCTCTTTAATTTGATACCACATTTGTTGTTGTGATATTTGTACTTCTAGAGATATATAAAAATTGCAATTTTTCAGCCGTGTCCACTTTTGGTGGAATTGCCCCAATGGTCATCACACTAATTGATAAATTAATAATTTGTGTTTACTGATTGTTAATCAATATCAATTATCATAATATAATCATAATATATAGTCATTGTAATGTCTTTTGTGAAATTTTGATGAGATTCTGACTTGTAATAAGAAAGTTACAGTGCACCAAAACAAATAGAGTCATGACGTAACCCAAATAACGGTCACAAATTTTCTTATGTTTTTCTTTGTTTTTGGAGGCCGAAATTTCACCACCAATTCCCGAGTTTAAAATAAATGTAACTCTTATAAATTTTCACCTAGAACAGTGATCTATACATCATTTTAAAGTTCTCTTTAAGCTCTTTACAATGGTATCCATTACAGTTAAATTGGGTGAAGTTTAGATTTTTTGTCACATACCTACCCAATGGCCAAGTGGATAAGGGCATGTACTACTACTACTAGGCCTATGTAGTTCGTGAGCGAGAGATCCCGGATTTTCAATTTTTGAATTTTTTTTCATCCCAAAAATATTATTATTAAGAATATTCTTCTTAATCTTTTATTATTTGAAATTGACTCCACGAATTGTGATTTCATGGCTCTAGCGGATTTGTTTTCAAGGAAATAAAGTCCGAAATTGTAAAAATAGTCTGATTCCCATCTCGTGAATACGAAGTGACGACTAAGTTTGTCACTCTAAAAATTTTGAAGTCCCCAAAAAAGTCACTGCGCATGTTCAGTGCTTAGCTGGCAAAATATTGTTTTCTTAAATTTAGCCAGCGCCAGTTTTTGAAGTGTTTGGAGGGAGCGGGGTTTGGTTGAATAAGGAGTAGTGTTTAGTAGAAGAAATCTATGTTCACATCACCTCTTCATCATACATAAACTCTGCCATGGCCTATGTACTATTAGTATTACTAGTAGGTTTTGTAAATAAAATGAATTTGTGAATGAGAAACATTTCCAGTCATGTTAGATAATGACTTGCGAAGTAGGCCTACCCATTAATGAGTAAACTCATCATTCTGTTTGTTTGCCAACAGAGGATGGAAATCTGAAATCACTGGATGCTGCTGTTGTAAAACAGGCCTACGCAGCTCTCTGCACACTAGCACTAGAGGGCGCCAAACATGACGCTAACTCATCAAACTTGAGGTACAGCAAACTATATGGTTCTGAAAAATAACTTCTGCTTGCCAAACAATGAATTGCACTTTAGTGAGTTGAGTCGATAACAATTCAAATCATAAGTAACAGAGTAAGAATACTAACATAACAAGGAAATGACTTTGCCACAGGTCGTTTAAAGGGAAAATACAACATTTGCAAACATCGAAAAATAAAACTATTAAGTTTTTACGAAATACCTTACTAGGATGTTGGTAAATGACTTTCTAAAGCATCCTGTAAAATTATGGCACCTGGTGTGAAGTCATTTTCAAGAAAATGGTATTTTTGTATACATTTCCAACGGTGGTCGGCCGACCACCGTTGGAAAAACCGAACTATTTTTCAACTTCTGCTCCAAATTTACCATTTTTTTTTAGTCCAAATTTTATTTGCTATTGATTACATGTTCATGAACGGGTGCAGGCCAGCTAGACTGGTTTCCTTACCTTTCAATTTTCCGGCATCTATAAATTGATCCATTTCATCTTTAGTGGAGTCAGGGAAGCAGGGTCATTCCATGCCAACTCAACAAATGGTGCACACCATCACCTCTTGGATTTTTTTCTTTTTTGGTGTACTGAAAGATACTTAGGAGAAATGCAAATTCTGAAAATTTGGGGTCTCTACGACTTTTCGTTCTTGCGCAACAGCATTTTGAAATTTGAGGTGGGCGGGGCCAAAAGTGCGTCGCGTCATGAAATTCAATGTTTAAAGGGCCATATATTTAAAACTATACCACCCAGACATTTGAAACTTGGTAATCTGGGCTATTTTTTGCTGTAGATTTCAAATATTTAAACAGAAAGAAAGTAGCTTGTTTCATTTTTAAGTTAGAGGGGCCCCAAAATGGCCCAAAACTCATCTGGACCAATGTTCGGGGGGGTGTAAGTCAAAAATTGAAAATATTTTTTCCACCAAATTTTTTGCCTGTAATAGCCCCCAATTGAAACTACTTTCATGTAAAATCTTACACTTATATTAACTTCATTGAATGAGATATAGCCCTTGCAAAAAGCAAATTGTTGATTTTTACGATAACTTGACCCCCCCAAAAACCAACGTCAGACATTCCGCACCAAATTTTGCTTCACATATGTTTGAGGTTGGTCCTTAGTGAAGTCCTCTGAAAAGTTTCATGTTGGTGTCTAAATGTCTTCAGTGGATAGTTGGGCTTTATAAAGAGTCTATATCTTATGATGCTGCAGGTTCCTTAACATACATACATGTACATGTACATGTACTTGTATTTTACGGAACCAGCACAACAAAATCCCCCGACTGTTGAAAGACTTGGGTCAAGACTACCCATTTCCTGCTCAATAAACAGTTGCTTGTAGACCTACATGTGCATTATATGCAAATTAGGTTAAATGACTTGAGAGTCTTATTCTTTCCATGTGCTCATCACACAGCATGCATGTCATGTATGTAGTAATTAACCAGTTCTCACTTGCACAGCATAGTATAGCACTAGCCTGAACCAAAGAGAAATGATTCAGTTTGAGTAGAGGGTCTATGGTTTTAACCTGATTGATCTTAGTTTTCATTATGGATAAGGGGAAACCTAGTTCATCCAAGGAGTTGCATGTATGGCATGCTCAAACTCATCATGCACCAATTGTAGCAGCTGACCTCAACCCAGGAAAATATGTTTGTGTGGTCTATGCATGATGTTTGGTACATTGCTATTGTAGAAGATGTATCACAACTTCATGAGGATGTGTATGTCCGCTTCATGTACAGGACGGAATCAACAAATACTCTCTATTGGCCACAAAGAGAGGATAAATGTAACATTCCATTTGTTGATGTGTTGTGTTGCGTACCAACACCAGAACTTCTACATAGCGGTGGAAGGCAATACAAACTTAGTGAGCCAGCCATTATGCAACTCACTCAACTTCATCAAAACTACATCACAAGGAATGCATAATTTCACCTGTGAAACTGTAAACAATTATATCAACTGATCAAAAGTCTACATGTACAAATGTAAGCTAAGTTTCATACCCAACTTGTTCTTTATGTACCGACTGCTGTTATTCTAGGTACCGGTACGTGTACTTGTATGTTACGGAACCTGCAGCATCATAAGATATAGACTCTTTATAAAGCCCAACTATCCACTGAAGACATTTAGACACCAACATGAAACTTTTCAGAGGACTTCACTAAGGACCAACCTCAAACATATGTGAAGCAAAATTTGGTGCGGAATGTCTGACGTTGGTTTTTGGGGGGGTCAAGTTATCGTAAAAATCAACAATTTGCTTTTTGCAAGGGCTATATCTCATTCAATGAAGTTAATATAAGTGTAAGATTTTACATGAAAGTAGTTTCAATTGGGGGCTATTACAGGCAAAAAATTTGGTGAAAAAATATTTTCAATTTTTGACTTGCACCCCCCCCGAACATTGGTCCAGATGAGTTTTGGGCCATTTTGGGGCCCCTCTAACTTAAAAATGAAACAAGCTACTTTCTTTCTGTTTAAATATTTGAAATCTACAGCAAAAAATAGCCCAGATTACCAAGTTTCAAATGTCTGGGTGGTATAGTTTTAAATATATGGCCCTTTAAACACTGAATTTCATGACGCGACGCACTTTTGGACCCGCCCACCTCAAATTTCAAAATGCTGTTGCGCAAGAACGAAAAGTCGTAGAGACCCCAAATTTTCAGAATTTGCATTTCTCCTAAGTATCTTTCAGTACACCAAAAAAGAAAAAAATCCAAGAGGTGATGGTGTGCACCATTTGTTGAGTTGGCATGGAATGACCCAGCAGACTACTTGAACATTTTTGTTTTTCTTGGTTTTTCCAGCATTTTCGAACACAAAACTTCAAACATGTCAGTGTAACAATACTTGATCTTTATACTAACCCCTCAAATATTTCATTTCTGAAAATTACAGCAAAAGTCAATGATGTACATTCCCTTTAAATAGCAGATCACTTGACTAGAAACTTGATGATTTGTGATTGACTTGTGGATGACTTGAATACAACTTAGGTTTTGTTCTTCAACAAGTCATTTGCTTTTTTGTTTTTTTTAAATTAACATACACACAGCCCAATATTGGAAGATTGTAAGTGGACCACAGATAGGACGGAGAGCTTTATCAACATCTTCCTGGATCGGAAGGAGACGGTTCGAGTCCTGCTTGGTAACATCAGACAAGTGCATCCACACATTGTTGATGTGGACTGGAGACTAGACTACTACATGAAGGTACAGACCACCTATATTGCTCTTCAAACTGATGCTCAATTTCCCCAAGAAAGTGATAAGAAAAACGACAAAAAGTAAAAAAAAACACCAAAAAAAACAAAACAACAACAAATAAACAGTTGGCAGACAGCCTAGCTTTAATTAGAATAACTTTTCAGGACTCTGGAAATCTTTATGCTAAGCAACACAATGAACATTGCCCAGGATGCGAACCCGAGACCTCAAGACTGATGATCCAGTATTCAACCTATTTAACCAGAAGTTTATTCACATGCTTCAGTAGAGTCGTTCAGAACTAATAATCAACAAATAATCAAAAGACTCTTTTATGAGCTTTTGATTTTCTGCTTTAGCATGAAGTAGATTTATTTCCCTTCAAATTATCACCATTTAAAATGAAGGTTATGAGAGTATCTTTGATTTATCACGGTCTTTACTTGATTCAATTAGCCTGTTTGTCTTTCATTGTGATCAGAGCAACCACAAGGACAAAGTGAACGAAGCGACCTACCTCATCACCCTCAAGACTGAGGAAGGGGGACTGAACAGGAAAACCAAAGATGTCCAGTTCTGTTGCTCCCTTGAACAACTCCAGGTAAATTGCGTTAAAAACAGGGGAGGAGACAAGATTTTACGGGGGGAAGGTGGGGAGGGGGGTTCTGACTTCCACCTGTACAACCTCAGACATTCATGAATAATTAGTTTTTTTCAGGTTTAAGTTACCCATTTGTCAAAAGACCCCCCCCAAAAAAAATTCTGACCCGTTGCCTTTGAGAAAAGCATGTTTTATGTCAACATTTTATAACAGTCTAAAGGTTGTGATACATGAATTTGGTTTTACTAATTGGTTTTTATTAATATATTTTTTGAAGTACATTTTTTTAAATATTTTTTTTTGTACAGGACCTGGTTGGTAAGTTGAAGGACGCCACCCGGAGTCTAGAAAAAGCCAGTCTGTCTTGAGACCTGCATGGGCTACCTGGGACAGATATTGACCATCAGGCAAGAAAGTACAAAATATTTTACCGATTTTCAAAAAAATTCCAAGCAGATACTTCGGTTACTCTGACTTTAGACAATGTCTGTTACAACTTAGTACAAGGAACAGCGAAATAGGCATGATTTTGTATTTACCAAAATAATTGGGGGGGGGGGGTATTAAAAAGCAGTTTCTTTTGTTTTCCAAATGTTCTGAACAAATTTGAAATTTTGTATTTTCTTGCCATTATGAATTTAAGCGATATTTTTGTCTGTATGATAGTGTATATTTGTAATCTTTTTTTATTTTATAAAAATTGCAAACTTGTTTCCAGTACAAATGCTGACGAGAGTTACGACCAACAGTTACATGAAAAGTCTTTTTTATTTCAATTTAAACCAAAATTTGATGAGTTTACATATTCAGAACAAAAAATTAACATTGACATACTTAAAAATGAAAATTTGAAACATTTTCGTCAAGAAATATCTTTGAATCATGTTCTAACAAATCCTTACAAAATAATTCATTAATTAATGACAAAATTATATTGCACTCTGATCAACTATGACAGTACAAAAATATTAAGTACAAATTTTAGAAATATAAAGAATTTTTTTTTTCCTAATTGTTACGTCAATTTAATCCAATACAATTTGCTGATATTCCAAGCATAACTCTACCAGAAGTTGCAAACTCCTTTTTTTTTTCTTTTTTTTTTTCCCCAATACTAGTCCTCTTAAGAGCTCAAAAACAGTTTATGGCCAACCAGCTCCCCAATCTAAAGTGAATTTCATGGTTTTCTTTTTTTTATGTTAAAGGTATTTTACTTTTCAATAATTTCATCTTTTGTTTTCTTTTTGTTAAGCACCTGCTTAATGCAAATGTGATTTATTATAATACATTTTTTTCTTACTTATCAAAGGCAATCCATTTCCAAAATTGGAAACTTTGTAAAACTCTTGGTCCAATTACCGAATGGATATGATTTGGAAAACGTGTTTATTTTCCTTTTCAATAATTCAATTTGTTTTTAAATCTTAAGTTAAGCACCTGCAAAAAGCAAATGTGATTTATTATTATACACGTTTTTCTTTCGCCTTATCAAATGTAATCCATTTTTTTTTTCAAATTGGCAAAATTTGTAAAATTCTTATTCCAATAACCACAAAGGTATGATTCGGGAAACTTCTTAAACAGACTTCACGTTTCAAAATCATTCACGTTGTTTTCCTTTTGCTTTTTATAATTGAAAGATGACTTGTCTAGAACTGAAAAATTGTTGCGACTGCAAAATGCGGTGATCACAGTTTGCTCTCCGTTCTTGTCAGCCAATTGAAATCCTGCATTGGAAAAGTGAAAAACAAAAATTAAAATATGTAAATCACAAAAGAGTTTAAAACAGAAAGAAACGAGTTAAAAAAATAGAGAGAAATTGACTGAGATTTGGAAGAATTATTTTCTCGCTCTTGAGAAAAAAACAACAGTTATTGACTTTGAACACGTACCTGTTGTTTCCTCATCGACTGGGGATTCACGGCCACGTTGATGATCACCGGTTTGTCTGCGTGTTTAGTCAGGCTCTCCTGTATAGCGCCCTCTAGCTGCGAGAGCGTCGTGACGAAGTAACCCTTCCCACCGAACGCTTCCATGATCTTCTCGTAGCGGGTGTCCGGCATGAGACCGGTGGGAGGAAGACTAGGGATAGAACAGCAACATTTCAAATCACAATTACGGACGACACAATTCATTGTTATATGTAAAATTGATTACCATATAAGAATGCTGTGATCAATGCTAAAATCTGTATCAGGATTCTTGACGGTGAATAAAATCTTGACCGAAGACTGCCCAGTTTGTGGACGAAGATAGCCCAGTTTGTGGACAACACACTAATCATTTGAAAATAAACTCCAGAATCAACACAAACAACAAAGAATATATAATTCAAATATGATTTCTTTTGTGATAGTGTGGCATATCTTTTTCCAGTTTTTTCCTGTTTCTTCCTCATTCATCGTATTACAACAGTCTGCTTCCAAATTTTTGAGTCCCTAATTTAAACTAATCTTGAACTTAATAAAAAGATCATCAGTGTACGTATACATTTGTCTGTTTGTTATTTTTTTTTTATAATCATACCACATTTTAGTAAAAAAAAAAAGAGTCAGCACTGAGCATACTTACTCTAGTCCTCTGTTCTTGACCTCCACTTCCTGGAAAGTTTCTGCATCGATGCCCATTGAAATGCCGTTGTTATTGGCAATGATCATCAGAATGGGCAAATTGTACCTACCAAAAAAAAAACAACCAAAGAACAGACATCAGATTGCAGTTCCATTACATGCTCTCATAGTGCAGACAGTAAAAATGACTATATTGTTGTGTTGAAAAGTATCCTTTCAAACCATTATTCACTGCACGCATTTTTATTCTTTACTGTATCAAGGCCATTTTTAGTTGCACCTGAAGGCACCATGATTTTATTGCACAGCTTTAGTAAACTACATGTATAACACAACGCAGTCACCACCATATAACTAACCCCATGACCTTGAGAGAACTTGTGGTAAAATGTGGTAATATGCGGCAAAATGTGGTAAAACATGGTAATATTGGTAAAATGTGGTAAAATGTAAAATCTGGTAAAATGTGTAGGATTACCAGGTACGCATACCGGTATGTGGAAACTGAGTGAGATTGATTTGTATGGGAAAATGAGCTTGGGCTTTAAGCCATGTCCGAAATGGCCATGGATTGCAGTTTTTTTACACATGTATCTATGGAAGTGGCTGCAGCCACTTCCCATAGACACATGTTACTGCTAGCCGTAGCCTCACACACCTGCAGATTGTCTCCATCTCCATCCCAGAGAACCCAAAGGCGCTGTCGCCCTCCACGCACACCACTCTCTTCCCCGGCCACCTGTCCTTGGCCAATAGGGCGGCGGCGATGGAGAAGCCCAGGCCGACGCCCATGGTGCCAAACGTCCCCGCATCCAACCTGTGGGATCACAGAATATAGGCCCACTTAGGACAGGTCTTCTTTATTTAAATTCAGCGAAGGTGAAAGTACAAAGAATCTACGTGTGCGTATCACAGAGGGACAGACCTGTCCTCAGTGATGGCGCTCTATGGAAATAGTCTATTCAAGTAGTAAAATGTAATCTGCAGCAGCAATTGGCTTTGTGCATCAACACAGAGGGCGCTATTTTCTCTACCTATCATACAGACATTGCTCACATTTAATTGGTGATACAAGGGAACTGTTAAACTCACAACAGTGTACTAGATTTAGACTGCATAAGTTGTGTGTTTAATGTGCACAGACCAACATTGTAACATAAGCACAATGTAACATTTGCACTGAAATTCAAGCAAATTTTTTTTTTATTTTTATAAATGCACTCAAGTCTGTACCCTTTCATTCAACTTGACTCCAGTTTGAAATTAACTTATTTACTTTTTATGGGGGGTTATGATCTCTTCTCCGAAAAAAAACAGACTATAAAAATAACCTGTCACACCTGTGTCGTGGGGAGTGGTTCAGAAGCACGGTTCTCCCAATATCCATTGTATTTGATCCCTCACTGACAATGATTGAATCTCGTGGTATCAGCTTTTGGACCTGTAAATTAAAAAGCAGAACTACAAATAACTCCTGCTGACGTGGGATATTTTCTGACTGTTTTCTATATTCGTCTAAAAACAGTTTTTCTCAGTGAAAAGTTGTTTTGAAAGTGAGTTGATAATTTGACATTCTACATCTGTAAGCTCAAAAATGGCTTTTATGTATGTATTTCATCGTCTGAAAAAAGGAAGCCCCAAATGTGAAAATCCTCTTTCTGTCTGAACTCTATAGCAAGAATTGGTAAGAAATGACAAGTTTGACATCGGAGCGCTTACCTTGTCCAGGGCACAGTAGAAGCTCATGGGCAGTGATTTGTCAGCGCTCAGTTCCTGACTAGACTTTTGATTGGCTGACACTTTGCTGCGGAGACTCTGCCACCATGGAGTGTTGCTAGGATACCGCCAATTGGGAAAGCTCGTCTTGAAAGTCTCCAGCATCTTTCAAAAAAAGAAATTGAGGGTTTCCTTATATAAGCAGAGTTGTACAAAGTCATCCGATCTCAACTGACAAGCTATTTGAGTAAACTGTGACAAAGGAATTTATTGGAATTTTTTTTGGCCCAATTGTTAAATTTGTGACCATACTTGAAATTTGACTGGAGTATAACTCTGAAAGAAAAAACAATTAAAAGTGGCTGTTTAAAGTAACAAAAAGTTTTTAAAGAGGCTTCATTCAGATTAGTCAGCCACACATTTATCCCCCTTTCAAGAAAAAAAATCTGTGCAAAATGGGAAATAGTATTCAAACAGTACCTGTGCACTTAAATTATTCATGTTTAGTGGCCACTAGAAAGGCACGCACTTAAATTTGGTTTGTATTCACAATACTGCAAAAAAATGCAAGCATGCAGTCATTGACCTAAACTGACATGGCTAGATAATCAAATACCGTGTATCTTCTCAGTGTCTTACAAGTTTTGCTGCATTATAATTCTCACCTGTTTGGTCACCGAGTTGAGATCTCCTGCCACTCCCAACATTCTATCCGTGCCAATGCTGTTACCTAGCTCCTCTGGACAAATATCAATCTGGATTGAGAAAATGCAGCAAAATGAGTTCAAAAGTTCTTTCGTTTTAGTGTCACCTATGCAGTCACACCAGGTATTCACCGAAACAAATCCAACCACGTACCCCCTTCACCCCATCCATCACCCAATCAAACACTGCCATCAACTCACCCTATCCACCCCCTCATTTACCACTAACCACCCGCCCCCTTTTACCACTAACCCTCACCTGCCCCCCACCCCTTCACACGTACCCTCCACCTCCAATCCAACCCCCGTCCTCACTTCGCCAAACCAACCCCCTCACCTCTAACCTTCACCCAGCCCTATTTACCTCACCTCGACCAACCCCATCCCCTTAATCCAACCCCCCCCCCCAATTTATCTTTAACCCTCACCCAGCCAGCCCCCTATTTACCTCCCTTCACTCCCCCAAATCCATCACCTCCTCCCCCCTCCCTCCCCGAATCCAACCCTCGCCCTCCAACCCCGCTCAGCCGATCCCTTCCATCCTTACTTGAATATATTTGGCATCAGGATTGTATCTTGGAGGCAGACCAAAATGAAGGATCCAGTTGAGACGAGCACCAAGGAGTAGGATAACATCAGCTTGAAGTAATGCCCTGCATCAAAGTATAGTTAAGAGGAGGGAAAACACAGAGATGGTTAAAGGCATGAACTGGGAAGTAACCTAAAAAAAAGAAGGAAATTCTAAGCTTTACAAGACTTCACACAGTGTGATTACATTTTTATGGCAAAAAGTGTAAGGTAAAAAACGGGGAATTCAGGTGAGATGAGGGAAAATTTAATGCCCGTGGTTAACATCTGTTGGTGTTATACATCTGTATTGTTTTGTTGTTGGTGTTGCGTTTTGTTTGTTTCTTTTTTCCCCCTTGTTTGTTGGGTTGTTTTGTTTGGGTTATCTTAAAATGAGGAAAGGAAGATCAAGGCTCTACGCGCCCAAAGTAGCTAGAATGGCAATGGGAGTAACTTATTTAAATGAAACTATTTTTTCCCCATTAACGTATGATACAAGGGAGAAGATAAAACACTGCATATAACATGCAATTTGGAAGAGTCATTTTTTTCACTAAGTGGCTGCACCATTTATGAAAAATGCCCCCTAAATTACAGACCAAAATATTGACCCATCTTTACAAAGTACAGCTTTTCTGCCGTAAGTGGCGTATGGTCGGAACTACTTTTTTCTTAGTCCTTACGTTACTGTATATGTTTAAAGTCAGCCAAGCAACACCTCCCAAAACCCTTGTTCTTAAAATTAAAACCCTTCAGTTTGTCAACATAAAAGAGCTCCTGCACAAAACATCGATCCACGGCTGACCGACGCAGTTCAACCAGACCGTGTTAACTGCAGCGCGGTAAAAGCCGTCTCAAACCCAACCTATCAAAACAAGGCTTACTGATACGGTTCCTCGGTACTGGACGTCTCTCAGCGACTCATGCCCCATTTTGTCAGATCAGGACGAACGCAGCGTGTTTTTGGTAAGTACGTATGCATTATGTATGCACGTAATCCGCCGCGCCGCAGCTACAGTTACTACATACATGTACTGGACTTCCAGTTACCGTACGTGCAAGTCAGCCATCGCGGTAGACTATACGGTTATAATTCACCGCTGAGAAACCATCCCCGAATTGGCCAGAATTTTTTAACGAGGTAAGTTTATTTCAGTTGCTTACAATTATGAGGATAATGCCCAGTTGCCGCTGACTCGAAATCTACTGGAGTGGAATGTAAGGAAGTTCCTGAAAAGAGGCAATTACCGCGCGTTTTAACTTTGGTCTGCGGTACGGTAAAACAACGGCTACGGTCAGACGGTACAATATGGCGGCGCGGTGTGGTTTTACCATGGAGCTATATCCGGCTCGTTAGTAAAAACGTCATACACGCGCACGCACCACTGATTACTAGCGCCCATTGGCTGCAAACGCTCGAGCTGCGTTAACTTCCGGTTCCAAACGGCGCAGAAAGTGCTGGAGGTGACGTCACACTAACGAACCGGATGCGGTTGTGCTGTGCTGCAGTAGAAAATGCTGTCACGGCCTACGGTACACGCGTAGGAAAACGGCGGCTTTATTTGGAATCTTTTCCTGAATGTGTTTTGATTGGAAGGGAATATGTTGGGTTTTTAGTTTGTCATGAATTATTTTGTAAGAGACCGATAATAATATATTCAGGTCCATCTTTTATTATTATTATAATATGGCAAACCTTAATTTCGCCCGGCAAAGTAAATGTTTGAATTAAAAAACAACACATTACCATGGGCGTCGCGATGGGGGGGGCAAGGGGGGGCACTTGCCCCCCCCTTGGAAAAGCAAAAAAAAAAAAAAAAAAAAAGGAGATAAAAAAAGAAAAAAAAAGAAAAAAAGAAAAAGAGGCGCGAAGACAAAGTGGTGTAAATTTAATGAGTTGGGGGGGGGGGGGCAAAATGTCCCTGCCCCCCCTCTAAAACTGATAAATCGAGAATGTGTTGAGAAATACAAGCATTTTTGGGCCAAACATTTTTTTGCCCCCTCTAGAAAAAATCCTGGCGACGCCCATGCACATTACTACTATTTAGCCTGCCAATTTTGTCAGGACTTTCCCAGTGAAAAAACAACAACAGTAGGCCATCATAATTTTTTTAGGCAGTGGTGAGTGGTGAATAATACTTAATAGTACAAGAAAAAAAACCAGAGAACCGAATAAGAGTGGTGTTTATTTGGCTTTCAAACCTATTCATATATTTCATAACATGTAGGAATATATGTTTGTCATTCTGTATACTATTCACAATGACCAGTGGGGGGGGGGGGGGGGGGGGGGGGGTAGTTACATAAAAAAGTAAAATATATAGTGTTCAAAGTAAATCAATTCAAGCCTAGCTGTTTCCTAGTTTTGATGCAAATTAAGACATTGAAATTGAAAAAAAAAATTTTGGATGATTTTTATTTGGCCTGATTAATGGAGATTACTTTTCAATGAATTTACCCAAAATTGTTTTCGTTTTACATCTATAGCGTCCTAGTGTTCACCATGTCGCAGCCTGGCTACCATCCCACTTGCGTGCTGTTTCAGGGCAACGACTGTGCATTTGACGGAACCTACCGCCTTGTTTGCAGGCATCAGATCAGACCAAAAGACTTTCAACCAGGTATATAATTGCTTCTAGTTCTACTGTTTTCGTCTTTTTTGGTCAATTTGGTGAGCCCCAGAAGGGCGTGCAACTTTAGATAATTAAAAAGAAATTTTGGATGAAAAGAAATTTTGAAGTAAGAGTTCAACTTTGTAAGTTTGGAAATTTTAATATCCTGGAACATAGCGGAGCTGCTTTCTGATGGTGTCAAACATTGTAGGTTGTCAGTTGTTCAAAGGTTTTTGAAATGTATCTAAAATCTATAAAGTTTTGAGCATTCGGTTGGGAATTCTTCTCAAGGCATGTTGCAAGGAAATGTCCTACAAATCCTCCACTGTGCAAAACAAAGGTGATTGCAAAGTCTGTTATTTAAACTTTCAACTGGCATCAAGCTCCTTGTAAAGTAATAAGTGGATTGATGATACCTTCCTCAATCTTTCAAATTCCACCAAAACCTCCTGTAGATTTTAATCTGTATTATGATCTAGGAGATTTTGAATATCTTTGAAATATTTATTTTTGGTAATAAAGGTGACAATGTGGAGGTGGACATGGGATATGATGATGATGATCATGATGCAGAAGAACAAGATGATAACAGCACAAATGGAGACGGTGCAAGATGGCGTGATGCGATCGCCCTTGGAGACAAGATGGTGATGTCACTGCTCAGGAACATGTGCAAGAATCAGCCTGCTGGGAAAACTCCATGGGGCTCTACCAATAAACAGGTATGATCTATCTTATAGTCACTGCTATTTGCTATAACAGGTGCCGAGTCAGGATTTTTACAAAAGAGTAGAGGTTCCGACCTTTGGTAATTTGGGCCTATTCTTAACTTAAAGGGAATATACAACATTTGCAAACATCGAAAAATAAAACTACCAAGTTTTTGCGAAATACCTTAATAGGATGTTGGTAAATGACAGTCTAAAGCATCCTGTAAAATTATGGCACCTGGTATACTGTCATTTTCAAGAAAAGTGGTATTTTTGTATCAATTTCCAAGGCTGATCGGCCGATCAGCGTTGGAAATAACTGGCTTTTTTTCAAATACTGGCCCCAATTGACCATCGCACTTGTTTGCAATCGATTACAAACCTATGAACGGGTACGAGCCAGCTAGACTGGTTCCCTGACCTTACAATTCCCCAATGTATGTAAACTGCTCTGTTTCTTCTTATATGGAGTCAGGGAACCAGACTACAGGAAAATGATCGTTTTTCTTGGTTTTTATAGCATTTTCGAACCCCAAACCTCCAAAAAGTCAGTGTAACTATATTTGCTTTATATTTCCAACCCCCCAATCCCATCCATTTCTGAAAATTACAGCAAAAGCAAATGATGTATATTCCCTTTAATAACATACATTTGCAAACATCACAAAACCAAGCTACCAAATCATTATGAAATACCTTACTTGACTGTAAGTGAATAATAGTCTCAAGCATCCTGTGAAATCATGGCTTCTGGTGTGCTGTCATTTCCAAGAAAAGTGGAATTTTTGTTTCAATTTATAACGGTTGTCAGCCGACCATCAAAAATGGCCGCAAGTGCTTGTTATTCTACCTATCTTTTATTCAAAAGACAAATCCTATAGCCATATATCTTTCTCCGGATATTCTCCGACTGTGTGACAGATGCCATGCTTGTATCACTAAACGCTCAATCCCGGCACCTATCTGCAGTACTATTTGCTTCATCTAGCGTTTCAACTTAAGGGAGGTTTTGGACCTTGACTTAGGCAACCCCAGGTCACTATGGATCCATGTATGTACATGTATTGCTTAAGAATACCAAAACCAAAGCTGGATACAAAGCCAAATGTTTCCATTTTCTCTAAGAATACGTTCAAAAAATGAACAAAACATTAAAGGGTACGGTTCACTACCCCTTTCAATTACAGATTTAAATTAAAGATACAGGTTTAAATCAAAGTTTTTAAATAATTTAAAAAAAAAGTTATGTTGTTATTCCCAGGGAAAGAGAAAGGAAGACAGAGATGAAACAGATGAAGTTAGAACCAAACGGGTAGGTAGATTTGAGGTTGAAGCCCAAGGGATGTGTAGCTTTCTTATCATTAACATATTGAGAGTTACAACAGCTTTTGAAAGTTTCATTTGTATATTTTTGCATTAATACATAATTTGGACATCCATTATTTCAAAATCCCACTATTTTGCCGAGCTGGTTGCCAAATCATGCCCACCTACTATACTCATGTTGTATGTGCTGTTTCATGTTTTGAGGAAGGAGTTGGGGCTGTTTTTACCATTTAGCTCTTTTCTGCAATGATATTAATTGCTCAAGATTTGATTATTGTTACGATAAATGCCTTTGTTCAGCTTACTTGATTTATTATGAAACCTTCAATTATCTGTTAACCTTCACAGATAAAGACAGAGGAATGCACAACATCCCAAGAAACTGTTGACAGAGTAAGTTCATCATTTAAAATTACAAAACAACTCATCCTGATTGCTTTGATTGGTTGTTTTGGATCCAGAAACTTTCCTTTTGCAAAATATGACCAATCCAGTTCTGCCTTTTATGCCTGATAATTTTTTTTTTTAAAATCAACCCAGGTTGAGGGCCGTTCCAGTCGGAGTGACCATCTCATGCAGAGCATCCTCTCAGCTATCCACTTCGTCCAGGCAGCCCAGGATCTTGTCACGTCGGAGCTCTGCAGCATCCGGCAGGGTCAACAGCTCCTCAGCGACCAAGTAACTGCGATGCAGAAGACCCTGAACCGCCTGGAGGATACTGTGAAGCTATCCGATACCGCCAGTCAAGACAGCGAGTCTGAGCAAGCCCAACGCCTATGTCGCTGTTTCTCTCCCCATCCCCGTCCTCGCAAACTCTTGGGTCCAACATAACCTCTTCAGGACAAAGAGTGAACAGCCCTGTGGTACAGGCTACAACCTCGATGCCATCAACAACATCAACAAGTAACTACTCGGAGATCATTATATTGAATCCAAGAAGCCAAGCCCAGCCTGACTTGTCCACCTTCCCAACCCAGGATCCCCAGGACCCAAGCCTTTCAACCTTACCCCCTCTTTATGCCATCGAGGAACCACCCGAGTCCTATCCCCAGGTGTCTTACAACTACCACTACACTGACAACACCCAGACCAAAGTCTTTCTGGGCTATCAGGACTCGCCCGTGACCCTCTTCAAACACGAGATTGACGCCATCCTGTCCAAGACCAACACCCCGACGGCCTATGCCTACCGTCTGGCCGGGAAGATCTTCACAAACGAGGAACTCTTCAACGGGAACACTACTGGGAAGGGCCAGATGAGGTGTGGGAAGCCGTTCAAGCAGCTCAATCTCAAGTACCTCGGCTTGATCCTGATGGAGGTGGCAGCACGGTTCCCAACATTTCACGACACGCAGCAGAGCACCAAGAGGCTACATGCTGCCATCAACGAGCGTTGCCGGAACGAGAGGAAGAAGCTTATCTACCACTACGGCGGCAAAACTAATCCTAGTGCGACAGTCTAAAACATGCTATAACCTTTCCGCATTTGAGGCCTGTTTTTGGCAAATAATATTGATTTTTAGAGGACACAGAGGCAAAGTCAGCATTGTAGGCCTTCCAGGGATGAAAGCACATCCCATCTTTGTTTCTCACAAAAGTTTGTTCTATGTTTCATGGATGTGGTGTGGTTACTATTTTAAAAGCACTCCCACTATCTTATACAAACTTCATCAATTGAAACTTGGCTTCTGGATAAAAAGGGCCCCAAAACGACCTTTTATATATACTTGCTACTCATTCTTATGACATATTCCTCTCAAGAAACGCAGGTAAGTTTATCACAACTGGCTTGTTGCCATTTTAAATGTTTTTTTTTTTTTTTTGAAATAATGTCAACAATGAATCATTAAAACATTGAAGTGGTATCCAAACAGAATGTTTGCTTCTGTCTTTCGATGTATGTTTCAGATTTGACATTTTGACATGGCTGTATGGATCAAATCAATCTGATCTTTGTCTGGCACCCAGACTCTCTCGATGTAAACCCTGCAATCTTACCTGGACCGAGCAGCGATGACGCACTGCGGATGATCGTCCTCAACCACTCCTTTACCCATCGGAGAAGGAAGAAACGGGAAACCGTAGCCGTTGACCAACTCTCTGACGTTTCCCTCAGCTCTAGCGTAGGCCGCTCCTGTAGATGTTCAACAAATGCTGCTCCAAAATTTCAATTCCACTATACTGCCTTTTTAATAAAATATTCTCTGAACAATATGCTGTGTTCAAATTGCCTGACGGCAACTGGATGTCACACACGTTTAAGGGAAGTGGCTTCACCTGATTCCATGGCCACATGTCATTGAAAGCAGAAGCCAGGTAATTTGGACGTGACCATAGTTTTCTTTAGTGTCGGATTCTGTTGATCTAATATGATGTTTAGGACAGCTAGAAATGATGGCAGTGTGATGGCACCTGGTTATTTGCCCAAACCCATGTAAGGTAACGGAAGCCAGGGGTGTACCTTCCTAAAATCCACGAAACCCTCTTCAAAAGCTTCTGTAGGATTGTGAAGGGTCTAGGAGGGTTAGGGTTGGTTAATTAATGATTGACTTTAACAGACCTTTTCCGACGATGATGAGTGGATTCTTGGCCGACATCAAGAGCTGGACGGCCTTCTCTACGAGATCGGGCGATGCGAGCATCGGTGGGGGCGGCTGCACCTTGGGCATGATTCTTAAAAGACACAAAGGGAAATATTTTAAAAAAAAAGCCGAATCAAAAATTTGACTTCAAATTGTTTTGTACTTGTTGGGTAGCTAGTTTGCTAATCACCATCAATCTTGGAAGACGACTGTCTTTGGGAGTGCATCAGCACAAAAAAAATCATAGATGTCAGATTTAAAAAGGGACAGGAAAAACAAGTGGAGTCAAATTTATAGAATGTTCCAGATGTGACCAACCTGATGGATTCTTCAGGGACTGATTTGTTGACCATCTCTCCACTGATGTCAATGTAACAAGCCCCAGGCCGTCCATACATACTGGTTCGCACCGCCTGAAAAACAATATTTTGTGAGACACGGGTGATTAGCCCAGAGAGTACTACCACGCTTAAAGGGAATGTACAATATTTGCTTTTGCTGTAATTTTCAGTAATAAATGGATTTGGAGGATTAGTATGTTATAGCAAATATTGTTACACTGACTTGTTTCACATTTGGGTTCGTAGATGCTGGAAAAACCAAGAAAACCAATCACATTTTCTAGTCTGGTTCCCTGACCCCACTTAAGATGAAACAAAGCAATTTAAAGACTTTGGAGAGTTGTAAGATCAGAGAATCAGTCTAGCAGGCTTGTAGTCTCCACAGGTGTGTAATCAATTGCAAAGAAAATGCTGACGAACTAAATATGAAAATTTAGGAGCACGTTTTGAAAAAAACTACAGTTTTCTCCAACGCTGGTCGGCTGACCGGCATTGGAAAAATACAGTTTTTCTTGAAAATGTCAGCACACCAGGAGCCACAACTTTACAGGATGCTTTAGACTGTCATTCCCTAACAATCCAGTAATATATTTCGTGATAATTTGATCATTGCGTTTTTGATGTTTGCAAATGTTGTATCTTCCCTTTAACCGAATCCAGTAACTTTACTTGCTAACTGTTCTCGGTGAATGTTACCTTTTCAATGTAGAAGGGGATTTGCTCGACGCTGCTTGGACGAGCGGCGTACTTGGCACACAGCCGGGCACTTTCAACCTAGAGAGCAGAGTTAGCAGACAAAAAAGACTCTTCAGATGTGAACAAACATTAAAATATTTATCAAAAAAGTTGCAAGTCAACAAGTCTTCCATTGCTGCTTATACCTTTTTTTTTCACATTCAAAACTCTCCATATGACAAGTTTGAATCCAAATACATGTACACAAGCACCATTCTTACTAATGGCCATTTACCAGTGAGCTCATGGATATTCAAATTGTAAAATTCTGACAATCGATTGACTCATCACAGGACACTGAATATTCATGAGCTCACCTGAGGGTATTCTTGGAATGCTCCATCACAGGTCACTGAATATTCATTAGCTCACCTGAGAGTATTCTTGGAATGCTCCATCACAGGTCACTGAATATTCATTAGCTCACCTGAGAGTATTCTTGGAATGCTCATCATAGGTCACTGAATATTCATTAGCTCACCTGAGGGTATTCTTGGAATGCTCCCATCGATTCTTGATCAACATCACTCGATCCTCCAATCACAATCATCGGCCTGATGTAATTATGCCAAAAAAATGGGCACACTTAAGAAGATTAATTGGTACTACAAATTTTAAATGGAGACAGGCGTAGAAGTTAAATTCAATAAGGAAGCTGAAACAAATTATAGAATCAGTCGAAAATTTGAAAATGAGTTCAATAGTTAAAAAAAGGAACTCACCAACAGTTAATGGTTGCATTGGCCAGACCCGAGATGGTGTTCAGCATTCCTGGACCAGACACCACCAAACACACGCCAGGTCTAACAAAACAAAAATGATTTAAAGTGAGGAAAAAATTAACTCAACCGGATCTAATCAGACCCCCCGAAAAATTCTTTTTGATACCTGAAGACTGCCATTTAGGCAAATCGAAATTATGGCACACATAATTATTTTCCCCATTAATAAACAAGATTGAAAGCCCTTGCAATTGTGAATGTTACCTTCCGGTAAGATATCCAATGGCCCCTGCTGCATAGGATGCCTGTGAAAATAAAGGGAAAGTTACACACAACGGAAAGCCGACAAAATAACTCCAAATAGTCATTCGATCTTCAATTTCGAGCAAGATTTCAAGTAAGAACATAAAATCCTCTGATTCTGAAAATACTTCACAGATGTCTGTGAAGACTAGTCTTTACATGTACATGTACATCTGATTTGAAACCAGCCAACTGATCCCGTTAGCTCGGTGGTCAAGTGGTAAGACATCTGCACCAGAAAGCAGGAGGTCGTTGGTTCGAGTCCCACTCAAGTGGTTTTTCCAACTTTCACTCGGGAGGTAACAACCCGATGCAAAATTCCATCTTATGAATAAGACTATTCTTACAAATTAGAAACAAGCTGAACATTATGATAAACTCCTGAAAGTTTTGTTTTTGTTTTTGTTTTGTGTGTGTGTAAGACTGACCGCTTGTTCATTCCTCATTCCAATGTAATTGATTCCTGCTGCCTGTATGGCCATACCGACCTCGATGACAGGAAACCCAACGATGCCAAAGACATACTCAACACCCTGGATGAAAAAAACAAATGAAACAAAATCAAATGGTCTACAAACTGTGACTAGTGTCAGGCCACTTCAGCAATGTCCGGTTACTCCTAGAACTATGATGCTCCGCGTAGCAGAGCCTCATAGACAGAGAAACCCGCAAAATTGTTTGCTTGTACAAAACACCAACTAAGTACAAAACGTCCATCAAAACACAGACATTTCCCACAGAACCGCTGCACAGTTTGCCCCTAAACTCCGCACTATACCTCTTGACATACTCACGTAAGTTGCGCCTAACAAACATCGCTGGATTCAGTCAGTTTTTAGGCCAAAATGATGAAAAATATGCCCTTTCCGCACTGAGCCAACCTGACACTTGAAACATGCACGCAGATATGATCGATCGATGATTTTCGGTTTGCTCAGAGCACGCCGCGGGGGGTATGGTACTTGCACTTGTATGCATGCGCATACTATCATTTTCACTTGTACCGTACCCCCAGCGGCGCGCTCCGAGCGAACCGAAAATCATCGATCGATCATATCTGTGCATACGATTCAAGTTCAAGGATTAATGTCTGGTCACTGTTGACAGATGTTGCTGCAAGTAATAAACCTGTGAATTTGTAATTGCAACAGTTGGGTGCGATTACGTTGATTAGTGAATCTGTGCCATCGGGAAATTGTGCTGCATTATCAGTCATGCTGTCTCTTTTTAAACTTTGCATAAAACATCAAATATTAGGATCAGTTGTGTCATACTCAAAGAGCATAGGGGGGCCTAGATAAACAACACAGTAAACAAGAACCGAAAGAAATAGGGTAAAGTTTGTCTAGTCCGAAAATTTGGGACTCTCAATACTGTGTATGAGAGTCCCAAAACTTAAGGTATCCATATCGTGCAAAACTTTGTGCTGCATGATAAAACCAGTGTGAATCAAATTTGCAAGCTTCTTTCTCACTACAGTTTCTTCAATAATCCCTGAAACTTCTGCCTAGCAAAGTTGCTGTTGTGAGCATTGCATCACCAAAAATTCAGCTTTTAATTCTAATTTTGCAGAGAGTTATCGAAATCCATACGTGAGACATCACATTGATGTGTACTGCAATGCATTGTGCAAAAAGACTCCTCAGCTATAACATTTTCATCATGTAGATAAAACAGCGCCCTCTTGTTGATCTGAGTGAATGCAAAATGTTTCATTTTTTAGCAGAGGGCGCTATGTTCATTTGGCCATTGATTAAAAAACAAGTAAGCTGCAAGGCTCTTCCTACACCTACCCAGAATACATTGGGAATCACACACATGACACACCCATTTCCAGAGCATGGAGATTGACGTGGGTGGTTTTTGAACTGCCAAAACCTTGCCTTAAAATTGGATTTAAGGTCTCAAATTTCGCATATGACATGCTTGCAACTTTATCATTTTGATGTTTGTGTTGTGTGGGCATTAATCAGCCTAATGGTGAGTAAAAAAACGTCAGTAGTAATTTTGCACGTTTTTATGCACTCACGGTCCCAGTCTGAAGTTTGTCGTGCGTCCCATGGGGAATTATTTCACCCCGTAAACTGCAGCAATCGTTCACTTAAAATCTCATGAGGATGTTGAAAACTAACCTGGGCTTTAAGGGCCTCAGCAATCACTCTTGCCCCGTCCATTTTAGTGGAATTTTCACTCGGGAAAACAGCCTCCAACTTCCAGTCCCAAGATCGAGCAGAAGTGGTGAAGTTACAGCGCCCTCCATAGTTTGAAAGGAAGCTATAGACAATATTAAGGTGTCCTCGAAAGGACAGTGCTAGTGCAGCCATGCCAAGCAGTCATTGAAAACATTAATATGTACTAATAAAATAATATAAATTTTAACACTGAAGAAACTTAAAAAGTTGATTGCTAAGCTTTTATCAAAAAAAATGTCATCACAGATATAAGAAAATGGACAATCAAAGTCAATAAAATGAAATCGAACTTCTATTGCTAACTCTCTTAATCGATTGAAGTGACATAAATTAATTAACAAATCAATTAAGTAATCAATAATCAAATAATCAATCAATCTAGGATAATCTAAATCAAAACACGCTGAATCTACTCACGTGGCACACACACTGCGCACATATGTCATGCGTGACGACGGCGCCACACGCGAAAATGCATGCGCGAACATTTTCACTTGCGAGAACATAGCAGCATGAGCAGACGAAAATGGCAGCAAAAATCTTCACCTTTCTCCTTGCCGGAATAATTTGGTTTTCCACCGCGTCTGTCGTCTACTTCTTCTACCACGAGAGCACGCTGCAACCCACGAGCAGGAGGGAAATTTACTTCAGACTTGAAGGAGAAAGCAGAACAGAAAATGACAAGGAAAACCCGAGGACTCGAGTGGACTCCGAGATTGACGGCGAGCTGTTGGGCCAACTGGGCCGGGACGTTCTGCGCTTTGGCCCCGGGGAGAACGGGCAACCGGTCCTGCTGTACGGCGAGGTCAAAGAGCGTGCAGACGATACCATGAGAATACACAATTTTAACATGGTCGTCTCTGAAATGGTTTCAGTACAAAGAACTTTGAAAGATACGAGACATAAAAAGTGAGTAGACTTCCTTTTAAGTATTTTCACTATTCTTGGAGTAGAACTAGAAGGTCTTTCATCAACTTCAACTCAAGTTAATACATTTTTATTATTTTGGAAATAGTGAATAAAAGTTAGTAGAATCTAGATCGATCGATTTTTAATTTTTGTTTCAGCAGGTTCATCAATTTAATTCATACAAGATTTTTGTTTTGTTTGTTTGGTGTTGATTTTTTTTATTTTAAATTTATGTAGGCCTAGGCCTATAAAAACTGCTATTTTGAGCCATTTTTTATAATTTTAAGGAAAGAGTCCCATATTTGGCCATCATTTGTCACTCTGTGCACAAACCGTATGAGACTAGTCTGAAAATTTCTAAGCGTTTTCTCAGTAAATAGGCCTACTTCAATATTTTCCCTGTTAAATTTGACTTTTTAGGACATATTATCACTTTCTGATGGTCACTGAAGGGAAAAATTAGTGATGGCCAGATATATGGGAATCTTTCCAATTTGGAAATGTTATTTTAGCTTGGGAAACCAAACTCTATATTAACCAGTTTCTCGTCCCTGCCTGCTTCCTTTTTTCCCCAGCTGCCTCCTTTTTTTAAAACTCACAATGTTGCAATATATTTAATTTATGCATATCAATATTTGTTCTTTTTATTTGTTTCCAACAAATGTAGCTATGTAGAAAGGGTTACATACGGCTTCTTTGGACATCTGCAAAATAGTCGAAAAAAATTGAAGAATCTATCCGCCGTCTTGAACAAATCCGAAATCTTGGGAGAAAAAAGAAGACCAAAAAAGTCCCCGCCTCCTGCATTTTTAAAAAAAGGACCGACGGGAAACTATTTTTTTTTTTACTCAGTGGGATGAATGTTCATTGGAAATTTGAACCTGCAGTGAGCATTAGGCTAGGACTGTGGCTATAAATTGATGTGTAACTATTTTGGTAAAAAAAACATGATGAAATTTGTGTGTACATGTACATGTTCGTATACATGTACCAACAAGTGTTACCATGACACTGTATCTCAAGGATGCAGCCTGGCACTGTATCCGGGCCATGCCACTAGGGCAAGGTAAAAAAAAAATAGGGTTTGGAATATCAAGCCTAAGCATGCACGATTTTTGACAGTGGAAACTGGGTGTTTTTTTTTCAAGCAATGGAAGGAACTCTTTTTGCCTTAATTAATCCAAAGATGCAAAATGTCGCCAACCAAATGTGCATCATCAGTCATTGCAACCATGATTGAAAAAAAAAATGAATTTGCAACTAAAAACATTTCAAATTTTGGAGAGAGCATTTTTACAACTTTTTTACAACATTTTTTACGGTATTTTTATCCAACCTTGTGAGTGGCCTCAGGATTCTAACAGTTCAATTCTTTCCCAAAATGTTCTGTTTATTCTTATAACTGAATACACGGCATTTCATGGCCATCCAGTCATAGCTAAAACACGGACTTATAAAAAGAAAACATTAGATTAAATTTCCTTCCGTTAAAAAAAGATGCCTACAAAATTGTCCATGTTCTGGTGCAGTCAATACAGATCCTGTGGTAGTAGACTACAAAACAGGTCACAGAGGGGATTAACAATGCAGTAAACACAGAAGTCGTCACACTCGGCCAACTTTAGTTCAATAGCGGACACCTGTTCATTGTCCCCTATCCATTATTCGGTAAACGGATATTGGTTCTTAACAAACGATCAATAAGTTCTTGCGATCCCTAGTCTAGCAAACTTATGCGCGCATGTGTGTGTGTGTTGCTATCTGTTTTCATAGAGTACTCAGCAGTGTTTTTTTTTCACAGCAGGTGAATTTTGGTGGTGAAGAATTCTATGTATGATCAATGGACTAACACTATGGCACAGAGAGAAATGTGATAAAAAAAGCTGCCCAGGCAATTAACCAGCAGTTTCAATTTGAGCTGTGAAAATCAGACTTTCAAAATTCCGTCATTGACTTCAGACTCAAAGGGCACTTAAGGTGCAAAATGTGACTGAGCATATTAATTTTTGCTCACAGAAAAAAAAAATGGGTAAAATGGTCGAAAATTTCCAAAGTCTGACCACAATTTCACCCTCTGCCAGTGTACTGCCCTCTGCAGTACAAAAGCATTTTTTTACAGGTTATTTTGTTCTACCAATTTTTAAAAAGTGAAGAGAATAAATTCCATCAGTGATATATTTGTGTGGAGGGTAACATAGTTCTACATTCACGAGAGACTTTCTGTTGTGGTCAATGATTCACTTTTTACCCTAAATGGTCTTGCTTTGTCCAACTCTGGTCTTCTCCACACACACACACACACAAAAAGGGGGAAAAAAAAAAATCTGCCAGAAATTTAAAGGCGCTCATTCAGGGTACACTGACCACCCTTTTCACAGACTTAATCTATCAGGATTATCCTGGGGATAATGGGAGGAAATCTTTGGTCAGACTTAAGAGTCAGTCAAATAGGTGGGTGTCCCTTCAGGGGAGAAGGCCTTTTGTAGGGATTGTTGGTGGGAATTAATGTGAATTGCATTCCTTCCAGGCAGCCCTGTCCATCAGCAGGACATGTTCAAACTTGTTTTTCTGCATCCTATAAATTGTCTCAATGTCATGTACCGGTATGGCAGTTAATTTTTCCTTTGGTTATTTTCTCTCGCTTGTGGAAATCTTTTGGGCAATTCAACGTTTACTCACGTTACATTTTTGATGAACTTTTGAGTTTCCTTGGGCTGTAATTACCTTACTGAAAAGGTTTAATAACTGTTATCCCTATGGTAGATACATGTAGAGTAGACCTAGACCTACCTAAGCATCAAAGACGACATTTAGAAAAATGTGTTATGTATGATAAACAAGACGCACAAAATCGGTTACTCCCGTAACGTGAGTAACCGATTTTGTGCGTCTTGTTTATCATACATAACACATTTTCTGGATGTCATCTTTGATGCTTAGGTAGGTCTAGGTCTACCATGGGGATAACAGTTATTAAACCTTTTCAGTAAGGTAATTACAGCCCAAGGAAACTCAAAAGTACATCAAAATGTAACGTGAGTAACTGTGGAATTGCCCTGTTCCCCAAATAGAGATTTGCAGAATCATACATTTAGTTTCATAAACTTTCATAAGTTCTGGTTCAGATATGAAATTGGGCCATGTATAATGAGCCTATACGCTCCTTGGAATTGCATGTATTGAATTTCCCTACATTAAATTCGAAGGCATTTTTGCATCCTCAACATTATAAAATCATCAAATGTGCACAAACCCAATGGAAACTCATTAACTGTCAATAGTAAAAAAGTCTAAACTAACTGTGTAAACTAACTGTGGCTGGGCTCTACCTTCCTCAATCCTGCAACAGCCATCACTGTCAAGGAACCCAATGGCACACTCTTTGTACATACCAAGTTTCAAGGGTAATTAATACACTCTCATTAAACAGTGGCTGGCCTGTACCTTCCTCAGTCCTGCAAACATTTTTGAAGTGTCTTTTTGGGGGGCGGGAGGGAGTTTGGGGTAGGGTTATTGGAGTAGCTTTCCACAGGTAATGATTCTATTTCCTTCAAATGGAAAAAAAAACCTCTCAAAAATCTTACGACTTTAATCATAATCTTATAAATTGAACAGCTTTTCAGCGTAATCTTATCTCCCATAAAGATGCCCCACATGCATTCCAATTTATTACTCATCGGCTTACAGTGCTCAAACTCGAGAGCTCAAATATTGACATTGCACAGTTGTGCAGGAACCAAGTTTGTTTTTTGTTTTTCAGTTGTCGATTCCTATGATATAACCCAGTAAATGTGTAGGCTGTTCGGCACACATCACTATCATAACAAGGAAAACAGAAACCAGAAGGGTATTATTGCTACCACAAATACAGGAAATTGTGGCTTTGATGACTGGAATAGATAAAGTACATGTGGGACTTGACCTTAGGATTCAAGTTCACCAAATTTCAAGGATGACTTTTTTTTCAACAACGGGCACATAAACATGGAAGCCAGACTTTTTTGGTGGGAATCAAAAAACAGTCACAAAAAAGCCACAGTTATTTTTTTTTAATTGAAAATGTGAACAAGAAATTGACTGGAGCGGGGCTTGAACCTATGACCTCCGGATTACCGTTCTGGTGCTCTATCAACTGAGCTATCCAGCCCCATGTTGGCAGTTCCCCAATTCGTCAATATCTTTGCTCAAGGGGCGCTAGTCACTACTTAGAGGCCATAAACCCGTATACATACAGTGTATGCAATGCAGTCAGGGATCACGCCCAAAGGCACGATACAGACCTGGGAAATAGCAAACGGGATCACTCAAAGAGGATACGGCTTTTTATTACAAATTTTCAAATGAACCACAAAGGGAAATAATTATTTTAAAAAAGTTAATTGTCTTGAGCACAATTTTTATTTGACAATGGAAATTGTTTGATTAATTTAAACAAAGGAAATATTCTAGATTAATAAAGTGTGCATGTACCGGTATTTATATGATCTGGCCGTATTTTAAACTTTTTTGTTTAGATGTCTAAAAATTTCTTCAGTGAACTGAATGAAAGAAAATTATGTAGATAAAGAAAAAAATTTCTAGAATTATAAATTCCATTCTCATATATGTAAATTAACTTGAAAAAAAAGGTAAATATAAATGTAAATTTAGATCTTTTCATTTTGGGGCTTAAATTATCGGTCATGCTCCATTTTTATCATGAGATGGTATGTGGTATCAGTTGGCACATTCGGGTGTCCAATAAGTACCGGTATGTTGCTGTATATGTGTGCATGTACAGTCTGATAAAATTTGTGTGGGAGGGGAGTATGGTAATTGGTAGCACAGCAGTGTGCAAATGGTGCCTGTGGTGATGCCACTGATCCTAAGAACAAACAAAGACTTGAGACAAGTTTCGGTTTCTGTTACATCCCCACCGTTCTGGTTCCACTGAGGATGATTCATTGTGCAAATATTCTTCATTGAAGACACCAAAGTGCTGCACTGGCTTCAGAAGTTCA